CGGTTATCAACTGCGGCAAGAAATTTCCGTCTTATTTGTGATGAACAACGACAGGCTCTTGAAAGCATAAATGTTATCACGGAAAACTTTGCTAGTTCAACTGACGCGCGAAAAATGTACTCTTTACCCGTATAACAATGCGATTTATATTTATGTCGAATAAGCGTTTGTTCACACCAGATTCAGGTGACGCAGCCAGGTCTGTGGTAATGTTTAGTCTCAACAACCAAGCCTTTGTTTATAAGGAACATTTACAAAGAAAAGTTTTCTGTTCTGGAAATGTTTTCTGTTGAGTTTGTTTGTCAGTGACGTACGATCTTTATGGGCTACAACATTAATCTCAGTAAGTAGCTTGTTGGATTAACCGTAGATTAGGGGAGGCGTGCTCTGCACCACAACACCGCAAAACACATACCTATCCTGATTTTGATGTAAAACCGATTTGTACTAATCCAATGAGATTAGGAATGAACCCAACATTGTTTCAATCTTAATTCTTCTCACGATCTGTAACACTCAGTTATCCACAATTAAAATTAGTAAATCAAATTATCAAAAGCACCGATTTATTCCAGCGGACTCACTTTGGCGTGCTGTTGTGCACTAGGCTGGAGCTTCTGGAATGATACATCGGGTCCCAAACCTCTCATCTCAAGAAGGTTTTGTTAGAACTGAAATGCAATACAAAGTAGTCCGAAGGTAACGCTCAACTGCCTCAACTGCTCCACCGACGAATCGTTGTGACAAGAACGTAATTACCTCAGTGAAACTGCACAGCTAACACATGTTACTTATTGAAAGCCAATTAACTCGCAATTTGATGTTAATAAAGTTGTTATTTTTTCTTACGAAAATTTTGTGTGGTTAAGTAATGAGCTGATGCGACCTTCAATGTGGCCTATGTGGTCATGAAAGGGAGGCATTAACTGATTGAGCATTGGTCAACAATGCATTGATTGTGAGAAGCAGTTAAACATTTTACAAGCCATATTTTGGGCACGGCTTTCTAAGCCGGGGGTCAGACAAGAGTTCTTCGCATTCTATCTAACTTAAATGTCTGCTTCATTTTTGACCAAGTCCGGAATGGGGGGAAGAACAAGTACAAACAGGGGAGAAAAAAGAATAAACCTCTTCAGTCTCCTGAAGGCAAGCCAAGGGTTCAAGAAGTTTGTTTTCATGTTTTAAGATACCAATTTGCACCACCGTTGGGTTTCTTTCGAAGAGGTTGATATCCAATTTAAATTAATCGATCGATTTAGACTAGTTGTGAGGGAAACCACGGAATATTGATTTGATAAGACAGAGAGACACACAAATGGACTCGATGAAATCCGAAGGCCGGAACGAGGTAGGGAAGCAAACTGAATCGGATCAAATTGAAAAAAATTCAAGAATACTTTTTGGCAAAGCACGCACCGAGATGAAACTTATTTATTTTGAAAGTCAAATTAAATCCCTCGTTTCAATTATCTTTAATTTTGCTCTCATAAGTGAGAAGATATGTAACAAAATGTTATTTTCAAATTTCAGAAAATTTTAACCGCACCCGAATAGGGTTTACTGAGATAAAAATCGATCGCTTAATGAAGGTATGTCACAATTTCCAGAATGCTCTACCCCACATCTGTAGAGCATGTACTGGAGATATTTTTGGGTCTTTTAAAAGTATAGACAGGAAATCTAATTTTGGTCATTAGAGTTCCTTAACTATCAATCAAGCGTTATTCATGGAAAATAAGAACACTTATGAACCTGCAACTCGTCCATCTTCGAATACCCTGGGCGGCGCAGTAGTAGGTTGGCGACTAAATAGAATCTGCCGTAAATAAAATGCATTACTTCTGCGGTCAAAAATGTTTTGCCGCCGCCATGAAAGCTAATTATTTAATCAAGGAACAGAAAGAGAAAGTTAAAGGCACATTCCCTTCTCTGTATCTTGCTTATATCCATGACACTGTCGAAAGATTTCTGTGGCAATGACTCTGTAAGAGACATTGCAGAAACTCGAAGACAACAGTTCCATTTATTAACTCTTGAAAAACCTGAACACTGACTCGTCATCCGAAAGATCGAACTCTCGCTTAAATTTGAATATCCGACAATAATTTTCTTCTTCCTATGGGTGCCAGCGGCACACACAAGGAATCTTAAAAATCACATTTGCGTGTTCAGGTCCTAAAGCTATGTTTGATTTGTAGCTGATTCTTTTTGTGGTCGTTGATAACTTCGGAACATCAATGTTATCTGGTTAAAAATGAGAAAGGAAAGCTCCAAATAATAGTTTAGTGGAGTAGACAAAAATCAACAAAGTTTTCATGAGAAAATTATAGGGAGCTAAAGCGGAAAGATGGTGATCAATGAGATTTGTGTTGCGAATGACAAACCTTAAAATTCAAAGTTTAATTTCATAAGATTCTTCTATTGATTGTGAGTAAGCTCCTGCACATAATGTATAAATCTCACTCAAGAGCAACATACAAAGGTAATTTTGTTGAAGGATGTGCGTTCTCTCACATTTTTTAAATTAATAAAGGAGTGACACGATCAGATTGTAGAACTGTCTTTAATACTGACTGACTAGTTGGTTCTAATTTTGCGTGGGCCGAATCTTTATTTAATGCTGGTCAGTAAAGAGATGTTTATGAGTGTTTAAGTACTATCGAAGTGGTCTAGAATGAACTTTGAGCTTCGCCCATTCAGTTTACCCTCAAGAATATCAATTTATGACTGTTTTAAGTGTTATTTCCAATGTAAATTTCATGATGTTTCCGCCTTAGTCGTGCGGTTCGCCTGATAAACAAGACTAACATAACAACATGATATAAGAAAATCAGTGCTCACCACTCGGGAGAGCGTGAGTCCGCGGTTTCGATATCAGCTGTTCGAGTATAGTATATTCCAAGTTAGATAATAAAATATGTTGTTATGTGTTAAAAAGTGGTAAACAAATAATATAATAAATGTTAATGTAAACTCTGCGAGTAACATGGCCAAACTAAGGAATGGCAAAAAAGTTGATCGCGTACGTATCATCATACAGAGATTTGCAGAGAATCCTTAACCCTTGCAACAAAAAATTCATATGGAGCGTTTCTATATATCATTGACATAGGTAATAAGTAAATCGAGAAGTTTGTAGCCTTTTTCAGTGGTGTAGAAAGCTTCATCAAAAGAGTATGATTCTCTAAAATTCCTTTTCATTCGAACTGATCTGATGTGAATCACGGTTATTTCGAGAAAACAGACTGTGTTCTCAAGCCAATAGTTATCCAGTTAACGTCAAACTTCACTTCGGGTTTCTCAGCTTTCTAATTTACGGAAAGCACGAACTTGTAACTTTATGAAAATCATGTGGAGAATTTTGTTTAGAAGCAAGAATTTCCCGATATGTAAAACTCGACAGACATTCTTTGACGTAAATTGTAGTTTCGGTACGAAAGTTTTGAACATAACAGGCGTCCATCGCCATGGTTTGTTTCGAAAAGGAAACACTTACTGGTATTTGGCATTGTATCGTATCCTTATGCTCTTTCCATCTGACACCGGCACTTCTCGAAAGGCGGGGGAGGTCTTTGGGAAAGTCGTCATGATACACTATCCTCCCTTTTTCAAAGTATTTTCCCACAAGACAAAAGAGGCTTTCAGCCCACTGAGAAAACCGAACGCCATTCTTGCTTCGCTTGAACTGAGTACTTCATAGATAATGATATAGACCTTACGTTTAAAGTTAACAAATTTAATTTAAAACACTGAAATGAGGCCAGACGGTAAATAAAAGAGGAATTCTTTATGTAGATGTCGGATATTTTCAAACTAATTGCACTCAATCGGGCGTGGACACACGATCAATAAGAGGAACACGAGTAAACGGATAAATAACTTCCGACCCCACCGGAGAACAGGCTGTGAGAAATTAAGCTTGTTGACAAAATACGAGATTATTTCAACTAATTAGCTTTGGACTATTTTAAAATTGGTCTTCAGCCCAGAGAACTTAACATGGAAAATTCGATCCGGTCAGAGTGCAAACGCCTCAGATGTCTGGGCACGTTCTCAGCTGGATGGAATGTAGTTCCCTTAGTGGATCCAATAACCCAAAGAGGAATTCTATTCAGTCTTGACTGCGTATTAAATTTAAACTCGTTGATGAGAAATAGCACAAAACTAGCACCTAGACGAGCTTCATTATAACTTTATTAACCTTATAAACGGAAAAGATCGATACAAACAATGCCCGTAACTCAGATTTGTTTTTGTTTTTGTTTTCTGAGCAATTTATCTACGAGGGTCAAAAGGAAAAGTCAAGTTGTTGAAACGTCTGCAAAAAGATTGTCCTTTGGCCTGGATATCATCTTTGGTGCGCTGAAGGACTTAAAGTACATACAAGAGCCCTCCACTGTGATCCTAAGCTGTTCAAATGCCACCATAATTGTTAACTGCGGTGTCCCTTTTTCTTGGTTCTTTTCAGTTCGAAAAAGGAAAATTCATGGTAAAACTGTTTCCTGACGCAAGGCTTATGGCGAATAAAATGCCCGTCTTTGTCATCAAGGGTATCACCTATCCGAGTTACTAATACGCAATCTAACGTGATTCGCTGGTTGAGATCGAACGATGACGATACAAGATGATTGACAGCTCAGTAATGTCATCTGTAGTGTCACCTTATAAACGGTGACCCTCGCTTTTCTCATCAGATAGGAGTTAGTTCCCGTTGTAACAACTTGAGAAGAAAAGAGATTAAAGAAGAATCAACCAAACAAACAACGAGAGTTAGAGAATTTACTTCTAATTAGCTAGGCAGGTTCGCCACTGTTTACAATTTCATTAAAAGTATGAAGAGGTTTTTCTCTTACTAAACAATGTAGGAGACTGGAACCAAACTTGGTTTGCGGGGGGTTCTGGGATTAAGTTGCGGGGTGTGCAAAATGGCGGTGAAGGAATTCATGCATGGTCAAAGTTGAGAACAAAAATAACTGTGATTGTAGTTCTTTTACAAAATTATGGCATCAGAGGATAGAGAATTAGAACTGGAGGACGGGGAAATAAACGATCTCGAAGATGGTGAAATAGACGAAGATGTACCTTCGGCAAGGGAATCAAATAACAACGATTTGTATCTCCTAACACATCGTCATGATCAGTACTCGACACGCGAGCAGTACTCGAGCGATAACCCATTTGAAACGAAGATTCGTGATTTTGGATTTCAACAATTTAATCCTCCACCTGATCGGTGGGAAACGCGAGGTGGATCTTTCGGTTCTTTTCGCGGAAGATTTTCTCGACAAAGAGGCCGGGGAAGAGGGAAAGTATTTCGCGGAAATGGACGAGAAAAGACTTATCCCACGAGAAGAGGAAATATGCGCAGACGTATCCTTATAATCATTGAATTTTTTCTTTATGTGTGTGAGTGTGTTTGTTTCTTTTTGTCGTAAAGGGTGGGTACTCGAATTTATTAACGATTTAAAGATACATAACCTGACTGTGCAATGACGTATTAATCAATTAGGTCAGTTTCCCATTATGTGATTTTGGGATGCTGGGTTCCTTGCTCGTGAGATTGCTGTTTTTGGTGGAGATCGATTACAAAAAGGAATTGAAACTGTGAATAGAGAGTGTTGGAGTCCTTGAACAAAACAAAACAAAACAAAACAGAACAAATATTACACAATACAAACCAGAAAACGTTTAATATTTTTGATACTTGATAAATACTGATCACTATCATTATCAGAAATTGTGCCAATCCATTGATTACTTTCTGATTAGTTATCAGTTGTATCAATCATCAATAGGAAGCTTTTGCTTTCACAAATTTTTTTCAACAGATATGGAGACTGGTAGACCCCTTAGCGAATGCAATCAGGTGTCCTTACTAAGCGTTACCACAAATGCTTGACTTCTCATTAAATGAAAAATGAATGAAGGGGGTATCTTTTTAAAGACATTGCGACGCTGCACCAGTGGAGGAAAATGAAAAAAATAATAATTTGGTTTTATCAACTGAGTTGATAATGTAATTGACCACAATTAAGAGTTTCTAAAGGCGACATTTTGGGTATTAGCCCTTCATCAGTGAGAAAAATGAATGGCTTACACTCAAAACAACAGCTAAAGAAATTCTTTACAGCAGTAAACTTACATAATCAACTTATTTTATAAAGACAGATTATGTTGCTCTCCCTAAACTGTAATGTATATAGTGGATTGGTAAAACTTTCCCTATTTCTAAATTGGCCTACCATAAAGTGCACATGATAACTTAACAATATTTGAAAAATAAAAGACAAATTGTTCCTTTTTTTGAATTGGCTACCACTTTAAAAAATTTAGGAGCCTAGAGGCTATCAGAAAAAAAATTAATTTCACGCCCTGCAAGTATCTGTGCCTTGGGGGAAAGTAAAGTGAGAAGACGTCAGTTGCTTTTTGGAAACTGAAACATTATAGGATAAATTTGACTTAAACTGAAAATACGACAACTGAAGACTAACACTATGAAAACTGAAAGACAACAGATGATGGTGATCCATAATCTTATAAACATTTCTTAAAAACTGTGTAAACATTTGCTCAAAATAATACAAGGAACAGTTGGCTTGTCTCTTCTTGAAGTTAGTTCTTAAGGTGCAGTATGTATGGCAAATTAATCATTTTTATCAGAAAAAAAAATTATTTTCCAATTCAAATTTCAGCTTGATTGAGTGATGTTATTTGTTGTCTGGGATTGCACTAATATCTATTCATCTAGATAGTAGAACAACTATAAATCAAACTAGTTTGAAACCACTTCACTTGTAAATTCATTTTAATTTGCTACACATGCATGATGTGCTTACTTGAGATTTACGTGTACGTGTAGTGTTGTGTATGTTTCTTGTGTAATTTACATTAGTTCCTGTCTGTGATTGTGTATGTGTGCTATTGCTGTTGTACTGTTCCTCAGCCTTTGAAAGGATTGTTCTTTTGTTTCCAATATAACAGGGTCTTTCTCAACAACATATCTAGGTTTTTCTTAACAACGCCACCTTATATAGCTTTTCTTCAAAGACCCAATTTACCTTATCCCTTGTCCATTGAGAGAGCAAGACCTGCATACCCTGATGAAAGATTACCTTCATATACAGAGAGTGAAGGAGCAAGAATCATAACTCCACTTGAGACCAGACCACGATCACAACTCGAGGAAAGGAGGCAAATTTATTTGGATACTGATAGGCCAAGGCTGCCTCGTCCGTCACCTTCAGAGAGACATGTACAAAGACTGCCTCTAATGGAGCTAGACGAGAAATCACAACCATTTCAGAGAGAGATGAGTCCATCAGCTCCTGATGCCCATGAAGAACAACCTAGAAGAGTGCCATCCCCTTTTGATGAGGAATTTGATGATTATAGGATTCTACTACAACGTCATCGCCTGATTCAACAACAGCTTGCTGCCCTCGAGAATCAGGAAAACTCATCTGCGGGTGAAGACAATATCATTGATGACACTTTCATAGATATCCCTGTGGAGGATACAAAATCTGATTTGCCAATAGAAAATGAAAATGGCCATGAAAATTTTGAGAGTAGGGGACGGGATACTTTGTATTTACCTGCTGATATGAATTTGCTACACATGGGAAGTGGTAACGAAATGGATGATATGGAGGGAGCCAGTGAGATATTGGATAGTGAACCAACTGCTGAACCAGCACAACCAAAACCATTTCTCCCTTTTAGAATAAAACCTCTTTACACCAGTGTGCCTTCGATCAAAGAATTAAGCCAGAAAGATCTGGAACAAAGGAAGGTTAAGGTAGAAGATTCAATTGTAGTGGAGAATAGTAGAGCCGATGACCTGGAAACTATGTCAAGAACTAGAGAGAGTGTACCAATGTCTAAGATAAGGAAAAATCGCAGGAAAAGAAAGAGAAAGGTATTTCAAGGATCAGTGCAAAATAATGTAAACAGTCAAAAGCCTAGAGCTGCTGGTTCTAATCAAGGCCCACATGTTGACCCTCATAATGAACTGGAGGCAAGACTTATGTCCCTCGCAGGAAGCTCTGTTTCAGTGGAGTGTAACAGGTGTGGTGTTTTTTTTTAAGACTTGGTTTTTTGTTTTGCTTTTTTTTCGCAGAAGTTAGGCTAAAATTGTTGCATAGTATGCAGAGGTTATTTTACTTAGTACATGCAGTCCAAGTACAAAACCTGTGATGATAATGTAAAGGTTTTTTCAAACCTCATGAAACAAAACTTGACAACAATCTAGGTTTGCATTTTAAGTTTGATTTTGAGAGCCTGTTGATACAAATTGACTCCTCAAATTTCTCTATGGTAGAAGTATCATATGAGTCAGATTCAACTGTTTATATGGGGATTTGGAGAATGTGTATTCAATGACTTTGAAACAGATTCTAGCTGTCTCTTTTTTATGTTACTTCCAGGGAGGACATCAACAAGAAACAGGAGCGACGGGAAAGACTTAGGCAGTGGCAGGAAAAGATGAACACTGACAGGTTTTCTGACCAAAGGAATCAACAGGGAAACAAAGGGCGCAGTAAAAAGAAGTTGACCAAATCTGTTAAAGGCAGGAGAAGAAGCTCTGGTGTAAAGTTGGCTGGAACTGAGATGGAAGGGGACAGAGATTCACCCTCAAAAGAAGGTGATCCTGCTTTGTTTGAAAATGATGATTACTTTGAGATACCTATGGATTTGGAGAGTGACTCAACAGGTACGTATACCTTGGATGATTCATAGTAAAGGTGTGAATCCCAGATTAATGGTGTGACTGTCTTGGTAAGGTAACTGTAAGACTCTAGTTTGAAGTTAATGTATTGGCAACATGAGCAGAAGTCACCACCAGAATTAAATTACATCTTCTGCTTAGGGAGCCAATTTGTTATCTTCTTCAACCAGGACAGGTCTTTTTAAGGCTACCTTCTCTTCAACATTGACATCCCACAAATGTGTATGTGTGTTTGTGTTACTGATTTAATTCCTTCAGAACTGCAACCAGTTTGACTTCTTCTTTCCTCTGTTTTTGTATTGATTTTTGTAATCTAAAACAAAGGAAACCAGTTTGCAAAATTTTTAGTCAAAGAAAAATGTGAATCTTGACAAAAGTACCACACAGATGTGAATTAGTGAACAAGTAGGTTAAAAGCACTGCCATGGCAATCTTAGGGGAAGTGCTTCATTCTGAATGATGTACCACTGACTTTTTAAACCCTTTAACTCCCAGGATCTGATTGTTAATTCTCCTCTCTAGCTGGTAAATATTTCCTTGTAAATTGGTTGCAAGAATTTGGTGTTAGATCAAGATGACAACTTCAACCCTATAAGTTTGGGTATTCTCATTACCTTTTTGCTGGATAATGTATAGATATTCTGGGGAGAAGTTACATGTTAATCACTTCTGGGAGTTAAAGGGTTAACAAACAGATGCCATGTTGCTGTGTGTGTCTGTTCAGTAATAGATCACAGATGATGTCAAATTGTGATGATAACAAAAAAGTGGCACACAAGGTGCAGCAGATTATGTCTCTGATGTTCTTGTCACATTTTGACTTCTTCTCAGACTGATTACAGTACAGACACTGCAGCATGCAATCTATTTTATTGATTTGATTAAAATGCAAAATGTTGTTGATGATGACATTGTATATGTACTTTTCCATCTGTTCAGCTTCTCATATTAAAAAATTTAATTCATTTTTGTGAATAAATTTCCATTCAACCCTCTACAGATGGCCCAGCTCTTCCATTAATAGATGAACCAGCAGAAGATTTTCCCCCACCACCCCCACCCTTAGCTGGTGGAGAATCAGGTAGTTGCTCAATTTAAAGCTGACATTATGTATGATATGTGATTGTGCTTTAGGTTTTAAATCTTCAACTGGGCATAACTGATTCTTTAGATGATCATGAAATACAAAGAAGGAAACTGCTGATGTGTGTGTATGTGTGAGCTGACAGCAATACTTTGTACCACAGGATATCTTTACTTTAATAGAGACAGTTTATTACTTAACATGTGTTGATTTCATATATCATGTGAAGAGTTAATTTGAAGATTTTTTTTTGAAGTTGTTAAAAGGGAATTTTCTTGTTCTGATCTCATGACAACAGCTTCTCTTTATGTGGATCCTGGGCAGTCATCACTTATGGTGAGTTTTTCTACACTGAGTGTGGAATTGTAAGATTATGAGTATGTATCATGTTAATCTTGCATGTCCATTATTAGTGTTTTGTTTGTTCATTTGTTGTTGAGCCAGCTTATGTTAAGTCAATTGCTCTCTTTTCAAATTCCTCTGTCCTCACATTCTTAAATTTTATTACTCCTGTTTACAGATGTACCCAACAGGATATTTCCAGGTAAGTTCTTGGTTTTTTCTTGACTGACACAAAACATAGAGAATGTAAATCTTGAATCTGAAGAGCATACTGTCTAAAAGGACAGAAACAGTATATTTTATCCCTGCCCTTAACTTAATCCCCAGGAATTTTTTTTTGTACTGAACTTGGGGTAATTATTATTGTAGTTTGTTATTTGGTGGGCTTTTCTTTCTCCAGGGACTTATTTTGATTTTCAGATCAACTAAACCCTTCAAATAAGTGAAAATTAAAACTTGCACAATTGTTATACTATATGTCACATTTATACCCCCTCTGTTAAAAAAAAGAAACTTGAGGAATTCTGGGAATTCATTTTCTACAAATGACTTCTTTCCCAACAGGACTATGGTGACTGGTTTGCTGGTTCAGCTCCATTAATGGCAGCAGGCCATGAGGACCAACACTTTCAATATCAAGGTCTGTAAATATGCTTGCAAATCCTGTTGTCCATCAGGCACCTCTCTCCAGTGAGTAACTTATCTTGACTTTTGGGTTGGTTATGATCCATACTCCATTTTGAAACTCTTTGAACTTGAGCTACTTTGCAGTTTTGGGAACAATCTTCCTTGTTTGGCCATTAATTTCAAGTTTCAACCTCTATTAATATGGTAGTGGACAGTCCTTTTTTTCCACTTTGTTAGGCATCAGTTTTTCCTTAAGTGTTTGTTTTTAACCTCTTATAGTATGTGTTGACAATAATAGACCCAAAAAAAACCTAAATTGAAATGATTTTCAAAGCATGAGTGTACTTCTCATGCAGAAGGTTTGAAGTAAAGTGTGTAATAAACTTTCTTGTAGAATTTTTGGGCAAGGAGTCACATCCATTAGAGGTCGAAAGCACCAAGGAGCTGCCACAGGTTGATAGTAGGGATGTTTCAAGTCAAGACAATTCAGATGAGGATGATGAAGTTGCCCTCAGGGAACAGCTGCTAAAATCTTTAGCAGTAAAAAGGAAGGCTAAAATTGATGCTGGGGTAAAACATATTTCATTAATTTATGCATCTATCAATTTGAATTGATAAAGGCAACCCCTGAACTTGAACTTTTGAGGATTGGTTTGCCTAAATTCTTGGTCCCTGGGGCAAAAGTTGTGTTAAAATGCAACAAAGATCTTGATAGCAGTCTCATGCTGCTCCTAGTGAAGACTTGTCGTACATGATTTTTACACTTGAGCACTGTAACCATGCTATGCTACCACATTGTGTAATATGTACTTTTTCATATTAAGTACCGTGAAGAAGCTTGCCAATATACAACAAATATTTTTTACAGTGTACTCTTTTTGGGTGTTATACATTTACCTTAAAATGTATTTATACCAATGACCCAGTAAGTTTAGGAATATTACCAATGTCAGCAAGTCAAATTTTCCTTAAAAGAGGCATTTTCTTCATGTTTTTGTAGAAGGGGGAAGAATCTGTCAAGAATGGGTCAGGTTCTAAGAGTCAAAGCCCAAAGGCATCAAAAATAACAACAAACACTGTAAAACAAGTAAAACAGCAACAGGATTCCAGACAGGTATTATGATCATATCTCTTAATGAATGAATTTGTGTTTTCCTAATTTGTTCTTATTGTGTCTATTCAATGTTACAACATTGGCAGTGCTTTTGCAATGCAAGGGCATTGCCATGAAATTTTGCTTAATTTTTGCCAATTTTGTTTTGTTTTCATCCCTCCCTTCATCTCACATTTTGGGAACTATACTTTTCATACACTAGTTTCTTTTCTTTTGTAATTGTAGTGTGCATGCAGGTTTGTCTGAGTTTAATTGCCATGGTAACTTTGTAGCCATTAAGGAGATTGCTGCCTTGTTTTGTTCCTACCTTTATGGCACCTACCCATCAATACTTCTGCCTATGTTTTTAAAGTGAAACATATTTTATGCATGCTTACAAAGACATTAATCATGATCCACTCAAACATAGCAGGGCTATAGTAAGAGGCTTTGAACCCTCATAAATGTCAAATAATGATAAAAATGTTGTCTTCTATAACTTATACTCCATACTTACATGTAACCGTAAGGCTTTGTGTTACAGGTGAACAATTAAAGAAAATGAGAACTAATGTTGAAAATGTGTATCATTTTTATGTTTCTCTTCTTCTATGTGGATGTAGGTGGCATTTGTTGCTCCTCCTAAACATGACCCTGTGGTAATTAAGCTAGGAGAGGATTCTGACAGTGATGAATCTGATGCATCTGATACAGAATCTGTCAAAAAATCTGCCCCAAACAAGAAAAAATCTGTCGGTGGAGGCATATTTGGAGGACTGGAAATGATGATTAAGGAAGCCAGGAAGTCTGCTGAGGTAAAAAACTCTATTGATTTTTATTAGCACCTTAAGCTTTTGCTCTTTGTTTCTATGGGTTTGGGTTGGCACAATAACAGTGATTTGGTTTGCACATTCAACTATGTTGAGTGTAAGTCAATGTATCACAAGTAGTATTTCCTTCTCCCAGCTGCAAATGGGCACCAGCAAAATACAAGAATGTGACCTGCAGTGAAGTTTTTTCCATCTTGGTGAATAGCCTTTGTAATTGTCTCTTCTTGCATTAGAAACATGACTGAGTTCTTGCAGCTTTGTGAGTCAATCTTGTATGAAAAAATTTACTTTACCAATTTGATGGTATATAAAATTATGGGGCAACTTTAGTGGTCTGCCCTTTGGTTTATTTCCACCCACCAAGCGCCTGGCTCAGGATACCTTTTTTAACTGTCACTTTTCCATTTCAAGGCCTCTAAAGTGAAAGCAACAGAAAAATCACATGCTGGTGAAGGAACACAGAAAGGAAAAACAGACCATGTGTCACCAGAACCAACCACTCCAGATGCAATGGCTCACATGCCAGAGCAAATGAAGACAGAGTACAAAAGACTGAAGGAACAACTAGCCTTGCATGAGAGTAAAACAAGACAGCCACTTACTACTGTTAATCAGGAAAAAGGTAACTGTAATAATGTGACACCCACTTCAACTTCATATAACACTCAAGCAATCAAAATTAAGCTAAACTAAAAGGAGGTAGGTGTTTGCCTAGTGTTATTCATGGTTAAATTACAACAATTTGAAAGGGTTTCAAGCAAATAACGAAGACTAAGCAAACCTGTGATAGTATCCCCATGCAAAGAAGATTTTGGTTGTTGGGTAGTTATGTGCACTATATTGTTATGTATGTAACTTTCTGCTAATCACATGTACAGAGTTTGTGGTGACTATAATTTGACTGGCTTGAATTTGAGTTTTGATATCTGAAATCAATCTTTTCCAAAAATGCAGACTAGCCCCATTGAGTAAAGGTAATTGTAAACAAATTTGGTTGAGAGGCTTGCTTGTAACATTAATGCAGAACATAAAAACCACATTTTGTTTTAAGAGGCTGACAACTAAACCTGCTTATCTTTTCTTCAACATTAATGCAGAACATAAAAGCCACATTTTGTTTTAAGAGCCTGCCTATCTCTTCTTCATAGAAGCCATGTCACTACCTGTAACACCTGAAAATGAAGAAAGAAATGAAATAAAAGAGGATGACAGTCATTTGAAAGAACTACACAGTTATGTCACTGGTTGTGAAGAGAATCTTGCCAAACATAAGTAAGTTGTTATCTCAAAATCAGTTGTGGTGCTGATACATGGGGGTAGTTTGTATACATGAATTTGAAATGATTTATTCCTTTAACCCTTTCAGTCCCAAGATATGAGAGCTTTCCTTTCTCCGTTGACCAGTGCTGAGAATTTGGTGTCATAACAAGCCAATGACCCATTGTTGATGATTCTATTATCACTAATTTAATAAGAAAAATCTACTGATCAGCTCTGAGCATGAAAGGATTAAAGGCACTGTTAAAAATACCCTTTTAAAGCCCTGTCAAGCAAGCTTGAGCCAAGAGCAGATTCTTACAAGAATTTACGTTATCTTTTTTTTCATAGGAAGGTTATCCAGAAAGAAAAGGTCACTCTGAATAAACTGTTGAGTGAGCTTCTTCAGAGAAAGCATTCTCTTGCGGCTCAAGAGGAAAATGTGCGAAAACTTCAAAAGGAACTTGAGGCTGCTCAGAAAGTTAGTCTTGCCAATAAGATTTTTATGAATAAGCTCAGATCAAGGACAAAGCTGGTCAAAGATAGACTTGGCAAGAGACAGATTGCTTCAAGTAGCTTTGAAGAGGAACTCCTCAGAGCCAAAAGTATTATTTCAGCAGTGAAAAGGAAAATGCCCATGGCAGGGGAAGCAGGGTCTGGGCGAAATAGCCCTCAAGTGGAATTGCTGGGCAATGTCAGCAATGAAAACCAGAAATTCACAATTAGTCCAGCTGCTGCTTGGGAGATCAAAAACTCACTAGAGGCTAAACTTGAAAAACTGTCCACCTTCACAAAACAGGAAATAACAGTGAAGAGAAAACTTGATGTCAGTGAATCATCCTCAGAAGGAATTGTGAGTTCCTGATATTGTTATTTTTAATTTGTGTTGCAACAATAATTATTGTGTTTATTGTTAGTGAAGGTATTGAAGTTTTTGTATTTGCCTCGTTGGAACTGACATGTGATACTGCTTCAAGTTATTGAACACCCTTTATTTTCAAGGCATCTATTATTTCATACAGATACTTATTCAATAGCTGCACTAATTTCCTTTTCCCTAAAAGGTTGAATTAATCAAATTGAAAACTACTTAGTACAAGTTATTCATCTTCATGTACCAAATGAAAAAAAAAGGCATAAAAATAACAAAAAATCAACCACTTAATGGAAATTAGTCTACCTCATTTGTAGGTAGCTATGAGTAATTTGTCTTAGTCTGTATACTGTATGAGTCTATAGACAGTAGAAGTCTACAGTAGAAGTCCACATTTTACATCATAGAGGGGTAATTCTGTTTATCTGTCTTGGTGTATTGTTATTCATCATGCTTTCTTTCTCCCTCCGTTTAGTTGGCCAAGAAAGCAAAGCAAGTATTCAAAACACCTCAGGGAAGTCCAGCAAATTCAGCAACCAATACTCCAAAAAAATCACCTGTGGCAGAACGTATTGCTCAGGAAAAAGCCAGGTTGAAAAAACTTGAGCACGAGCTTTCTGAAAAACTCAAACAGTTTGGAAGAGAACGCGAAGGAGACAGAGGCTCTGCTTTAAAGGCATCAGGAGAAGTACTTCAGAGTATCACAGACAGTTCTGATACCAAGGCAATAGAGTTAAAGGAGAAGAAACCTAAAGCTGGTACAAGTTGCGATAATCCAAGTCATCATGAGTCACAGGGACAAGGTTTTGATTCAAGGGGAGCAAGTGGTCAGTTTCTCCCAGAGGCCACACCTTTTAAAGATGGCAAAACACCAACAACATTTGCGTTGGACATAACTAACCAGCAATTGGAACACGTGAGAAAATTGCAGGTAAATGATTTAGTTTTAAATGTCTGTTCTGATTAATTTAGGTGGGGTCACATATTGGTAAAGTGCCTCAAGAACTGTAAATGAACACACAATCGGTACATTACCTGTGATCAAAGGTTACCTATTTGTTTCAAGAAAGGGATTTCAGTATGTATCGGCCCTAGATAGCGGTATTTCTTATCCATGTATCATTATTTTTTACTTGTTACGTTGAAATAATGATCTATTTCATTCACATAGTATTATGAGTTCCATGGTTCCGTACAGTGGCACGGGAAGATGATTTGCTCATATAGTATTGTTGTATGGTACATTTGTCTCTCAATTTGATCACTTCTTATATGGATCTTGTCATTTTGACTGTGTAATGCTAGTCTTCCTCCGACAATGTCTGAGACATTGTGTTCTACTACTTGGGTACCACAGTCCTTCATGCTTCTGTTTATCTAGTTGCCTCATAAAGACTAGACTTGTGTAATTCATATTCAGTTACCCACATCACAAATGCTACCTAGAAAAACGTTAATACACTGATACACTTTTTTTAATCAGGCTGAAAAGGAAAAGATTGGTCCTCAGTTTCCTGCTTGCACTCTTAATGTCCCACTGACAGCGGATAAGCGTTCCAGCCACTGTGTTTGCTTACCCATTGGCTACGAGCTTAAAAGTTTAGTAAGCGAGCAGGACAACTTGACAAAGGGGGAGGAAAGAAGCACTGAATTAGCAGCTGGAGAGATCAGAAGAAGAGATGATTATGAAGTGGCTCCTCTGCCCTTTGGAAAATACCGCAGTAAATTGTTGCACTTCAAGTCATACAGGTGAAACCTCAAACATCGCAATTATTTCCCAAATAAACAAACAGATTAAGATAGGCTAAAGCCAAGGTAAAAAGTCTCATTTTCTAACGGCTGGAATTTTTCTCCCTCATTAGATACGTGGTATGGTTATCTACAAACCGAAATTTTTAAATCTATTTCATGATTAGACACTTACCTGCACTTGTGGGAAGAAACTGAAAAAAATATCACGAGGGGTTCATATACCTATTGTAAATTTGTTGTAAAACACCAGTGAATTCCTATTTACAGGTATACGTTGCGTTGTTTGGAAAACTATTTCGGGATTATTGTTAATTGTGGTGGCAATCACAAAGTTGCTTATTTCTTGACCCTTAAAATAAAAGTACGTTTGAATGGTTTAGGTGCCCTTTGGAATGTTAAAACTTGATAAGCGGTAAATTTTGTCTCCTGTACTTTTTAATGGTGGAGATGAAAAAAGTTGGTTTAGAGAGCATACACACATTTAATTAATGAGGAAAAATTATGTGTTGGGGCTTGTTCTGTCAAGCCGCTGACGAAAAATTGACTGAGTTTTACTGAAGCGTCTTGTACGTTTTGATACGATATTTGTAAGGGCCACCAAAGGGACATGAACTACCAGCGGTCAAAACGAGGTTTTGTTTTTTCAGGTTGAGCCCGTATTTCAGACTCAAAGATGAACTTTCCCTTACTTCTTTAACATTCTCCAATAAATTGGATCCTACATGGCCTCTTTGCAACTTTGACTTGCAAGGCAAATGTAATGACGATGACTGTAAATTCCAACACTTTGTCAAATGCAAGATGTCACAAGAAGAAATACTTCAGGATTTGGCGGCTTACAATCCAAACCTCACTGCAGATTTTAAAGATGTGAAGGAGATGCAAGAGAATGTTGAATCTTTTACAAAGGCTTTCGCAAAGCAATATCAAGACAAAATGTCGTGGGACGAAATTTGTATTTTATTGGTTAATGATGTGAGGAAGAGTAGGAAAGAAAATGGACCTTTTAACATCTGCCTTCAACCACGCACTTGGAAGCTTCAAAAGACTGATAAGAAAAAGATTGAATATGAAGATGAAGCAGTAGTTTCTGATATAGGGAAGGGAATAAATTTTACCAACAGAGATAAAGTTCACGGTGTAGCATCCAAAAACAGCAAGTCTGTAGGACATCAATTGAGGGTTTCTGGTGAGGAAAGGTGAGTAACAGATAGATGTACTGTATTTTGTTTTAAGGACAAACAGGTACACTTTAGTCATTACAGGTATGAGCATGCTGTAGGTTTCAATTAATTCTGGTAAAACACCTGTTAAAATCAAATTTTAGTGCCTAAGGAAAGAGAGCATCTTTACCCAAAATGCATTTGCATATACACTTTTACACCATGTATTTCATGCAAAAAGGCCAGCCAACATTTCTAGCTTTGGCTGGAAAAAGGTGTTTACCCCTTTTGGGGTTATGACAGCGGAGAGCTCATTTAGACAGGGACATTTTCTTTGGGTTCTTAAACTTAATGTAGCTTGGTCTGTCTAGGAAATTTTGATTAACCATCATCTTCCCTTTTGTAGTCAAGAAATACGCTATTTTTCGGAGGAGTACGACAACATTGAATCTCTAGAAACATCGTTAGAAAATTCTCCTGGTGATGTGGCTCTATGGCTCAAGTTAGCAAGGCTGAAACTTCATCAAAGCAACAACACTGCTGAAGGGGAAGAGGAGGACACTTACAACAATAATGTTATGCAGGCACTCAGTACACTTTCCAGAGGATTGGAGGAAAATAATCAGTCAGAGGTATGACAATGAGCTTTAATTGATTAGTACGTACTTAAGATCTGCCGTTAACCCTTTGAGCCCTAAGAGTGACTAGCATCTAATTTCTCCTTACAATATCATACCTGAATCAAACATTACGTTATCGAGAATAAAGGAAATGATCACCAACTTAAGAGGCCCTTGCTTGTTAAACAAATTCTCCTTGTCAGTGCCTTAGGAAAGTTATAGAGAACAGTATGGAAAATATGCACCTAACCAAAAGCAACCTGTATATTTTATAGTACACTGTAATTTGGACTGTGTGCACATTCTGAGGTTACCTAACACAGGTATTAATAGTTATTGTACAAAACTGAGACGGAGGCAGTCAACAAAATAATGCGACCTGTGAAAATGACGGTGCATATGTGTGATCATGAAGGGCTCATGCTTTGTTTTTTAATGTGTTTCTGGTTTCCTGATTTCATTATTTATGTGATTACAATTGTACCTGCGTTTATTTAGTGACAGCATAGAATTTACAACTTTGCCCTTTAATTTTTTTAATTTTGTAATTTTAGACTACTGTGTTTTGTAAACAATCATCCATAGTTCCTTTCTGCCCACGGAGTTTACAAGTATTCACACGTGTGCAGAGATTAGAATATGCTTATCTACATGTACTGAGTATGTGTCAACAGTAATTAGACTTCAATGAGGCCTTTCTTCACAGCTCGGCATCCTGGGTAAAACCCCACCTAAACAACAATTACACAGGAAATGATTGCTTTCGGTTATTTTTCTCGACTTTTCTGATTGGACTGGATTGTCATCTGTTTTATGGAAAGCAGTGAAAACTTTGCTCCATATGTCTTTGTTTTTCCTGCAGGAGTTATGGTTAGAGTACTTGGAGTTATATTCTTCACAGAGCAGTAGAGAGGAGCTCAACGAGATCTGTGACCAAGCTGTGGAGTTTTCTCCCACCTACAGTGTTTGGTGGAAGTATTTGGAGTATTCGCGAACGTACATTGATAAGAGGAATGTTTGTATACGTCTTATCTCTTTTCTGACATTGAATCCCATTGATCCAGTGGAGCTTCGTTCTCACTTTATCCTGGAAACATTGCTTTACCTCGTTCAACTAGAACTCTATTCTGGACATTACGCGTCTGCTGTACTTGTGTTCAAATCGGCTCTAACTAAGAAAACTCACGATCATGGTGATGTTCCAGAATTGTCCAGCTTTCTGTTGGCCTCAGACTATTGTTGTGCTTGGTTAGGATATATACATGTGGTTGAATTCCACCGTCTTCCTTCCTCATGGTTTGATCCTAGTCGTGGTGAACCTTCCAAGATGGTGACAAAGGAAAACTTTGTTTTCCCGTGGAAACCATCGCAGCAATCGAGAGCCCCTGGAAAGAAGTTACGAGTGTTGTTTCAAGGTAGAATAGTGTCCCTATCCTGTAACCGTTTCCTTACGCCTAAGTGGTTGTCCGACGTATCCTTAAAAATGCGCGATTCAGAAGAGAGACGGGAATGCCAAATGCCCCAGAATATCCAGATCTTTGTAGTGAGAGGATAAACTATGCATCGTTTCAATAGTCCTCCACCTTGTCATACACTTATCCTGTACTTACAAAGATATTTCAATGAACCCAGTTGATAATTAAAAATGTATGGAAGTAGTCAGATCAGGTAGCCATTAATTTTCACCCGAACGGTGAAATAATTCCTGTACCGGAACCTGCCAATAGTTAAGTTGTCACCCGTGTTGGAGAGGTAGCACGTATTGTAGGAATATTTTCGACAATTTTAAAAGTTGTAAAATTGTTCTGATCTAAGAGTTAAATTCTGTGAGTAACAATGCTTGCTAATTTCTTTTCTCTTCCTTTACCAGATGCATTGAAAGCTTGTGGTGAAGTAGCAAAACCTCCCGTTGACAAATTTGCCATTTGCCTTCCACTTTACAAGAACCTCATTGCTTTGGAGAGAGCATATGGAAGAGCTGACTCTGCCAGAGAAATCTGTCGCCATCTGCTAAAGGACCATCCGACTTCAGTGGTGCTGTGGCAGTGTTTTGCAGCACTTGAAGACTCGCCGGAGAAGGGTGGACATGCAGAACAGGTGTGCATAGAGGCGCTGGAAAAGTGTGGAGCCAATGCTGAGTTGTCTTACAGTGCAGCACGCTTTTACCTTCAGCAGGTCAGTCAACTGTCCAGAGTACTGTAACCTTTTGGTGCTTACATAACCTGTGTCAAATATTAAACTAGACAATTGCTGCAAGATGAGCTCTCTCTGTGACTGACTCATAACTGGGTGGTCCCCCACAGATCCTTCTCTGAGTACACTATCATCTGTGACAGTGTGTGGTGTGTTTCCCTTCTATTCCAAATGTGAACATATTAGTTTGAATTTCATTCACTCTCTATGATCTCACTTGCTGCTAAGGCTTAGATTAAAGGGTTCGGTGTCAACCTGCCAGGGTCAAGTTTAAGCACAAACTTCACCAGCTTTGATAGTTTTTTTGTGGTTTTTGTTATTGTTTTTAACGAAGAAGGTGTTTTTCTTGTTAGCTATTAAAGAATAATTAGCCACGGACCCCTTTTTCTACTGCTTTACTTGCATAAAAATCCAGTTACGTTACCTTGGGAGAGAACGAGCCAGACCGAAGTGATGTAAAAGCTTCTTTAGTGTTAAGGCGGTTTTTAGTGCTCTCCTAGCACGTATGAAATATTATGCCTGCGTGCTGAACGATCGGTACATGTAGTTTTATTTATATTGGCTCTCACCTTGTTTTGAAAAACAAAATCAACAGAACGAAGTCCAGAAGGCCGTATCAGTTCTCATCAAGAGTGTTCGTAACAAGTTTGCGGCGAAGAAAGAATCACAAGGATGCGAGGTACAAAGCTTGGCTGCTGTTTCTGCAGAGGACCAGGCTGGTGATCCTGTTGCGTTGTATCGTCGACTCCTATCCCTACCCCTCCCTTATGACTACAAGTGTCCACCTCTGTTGCCAGGAGTTGACCCACAAAGTCTGGGCAGAGAAAAGGTCTTTCTCTGGTTATCTTATTGGTAAGTTGTTGAAATGCATGCAAATTGAGAACTGCCATCTGAGCTCAGCGCATTTTTAAATTGATCATTGAAAGTTACATGTATCTGGAATTGCACAGGTATTGCGTCATTTACTACTCTATGGCTGGCATAGGAAATTGTCACCACTTCCTCGGCCAATCAGAAGCAAAACTAAAACTAATGGTGATCTTTTTTAACTCGCGTTTCTCCCCACTAATGCCCATCAAATAGATCTACTCTTTGTAAATAATTGGCTCCCTAAGGCTTACGACTTGATGTTCCCTTTCAAACTGCCAGCTTGTTACTAGAGATTGCTCCTCCACCAAATACTTCATGGGGTAACTTAACTCCCGAGGCAGCATTTGAAACTGCAGTGCATAGCCCTCTACCCAGACATGATGTGCAGGTACTGTGGACTGAGTACCTGTTCTATCAGAGATCCAAAGCGTTACATGACAGACACTCCATGGACGAGTTGGTTAACAGATGTTTAATGTCTGTGAGTACCAGCAGTTCTCTGCCTCATTCTTCAAGCGCTGTCTGGCGGGATTACAGATTTCACAATCAGGTGAGTTCATACTTTGAAATACGTCTTTGATGTACGTGCCTATTTAGATAAATGAATGTCGAATAGTTTGTTTCATGACCGCGACGTTTGGACAACTTAACCGCGAGTCTTCCGTAGGAATTCTATATCTAAGGGAACCCTTAGGTACAAGCTCTACCGGACTTGTGATGGTGGGAATGTTAACAATAGTATAGGTAAACGTTCTCCTTAATCTAGCTAAAATGCGTTTATAAAATTTGAATGGTCAGTTGGTCGGTCAGTTGTAGAAGACAGAACTTAATAACGCGCTGTATGAAAGGTAGTTGTTATTGTTGCTACTAATTTTGCAGATAATCAGTTTGTCTTTGAGCTGCCATCCACAGTCATCCTGGTCATCCGTATTTCAAAATTACTTGAGGATTTTTCCTGGGAATGTTATGTTAGCACTACGGTACGTATATCTATGTATAATAAACAAACTTGCTATTTATGAACCAAATTTTTCTTGGGAGCGCCCTTGAGGTTTAAACCAGGAACTATATTGTAAATGTCTATGCATGTCGGAATGCATTGCCATTAGTTTGATTTTCGTTCAAAAATGCGTTAAAGTTCTATTTCCAGAAGAAATAAACGCGCAGAATTTCCTCACAATTTTGATATATAATTCAACAAGCATGTGCACAGATGCACAGATGCACTGACCAGACCAACCGACAATAAACTACATGCAGTCTAAAATTTCATGTGTGGCAGCAGGAAGGATGAATTACTCGCCTGATTGTTCGAGTTATGTTTTATATTGTTGTTTGTTAATTTTTTCAGGGCTTGTCAGCATGAGGTAGAGAGTAAAAATTACGACCAAGCAAAAAGGATCAGTGCATCTTTCCTCTCAAGCAATCCTTACAGTATAAGCATGTGGAAAGTGTACCATTCGCATCTGTTTAATCTGCTTTAAAACGGAGAATTTTTATGAGCTTATTGTTAGGATTGTTAGGAACCACGGTAGAAAAAAGTATTTTGCATTCTCTGTCAAATGTAGAACATTGTTTGGGTTTCGTAGATAGTTTTCCCCCCTTTTTTTTTTTTTTTCTTTGAAAGGACTGTACCAGGTAATTTATCATATAAACACAGATTTAAATGACTGTCTCTTCCTTCCATTGTGTGTGTTTTTTTTCTCGTTTTTTTCCATTACAACAGTGCCATTTCCCTTGAGCTACAAAGGAATTGTAATAAGGAGGTAAGTCGTTTTATCTAGTTGAGTACATGTATTTGATCAGAAACCTTGTTCTATTGCAATTCCTGAATTCCCAGGCAATCTTCTTTTCCTTAGGACTACACGTTGTTTAGTAACGAGACGCCGTGTTTGCTTCCTACTGCATTTAGGGATTTCACCGTTCAGCTAAGATTCACTGAAATTTTAAGGCACTGTGGTCTAAAATCGTGTGCACTCGAGCCAACTAGCCCATCCAGCTGGAGCGTAGCCATGTTAAGTAGCGACTACGAGTAACCTGCGATGGACAAGCTTCCCATCCAAGGAGAATAGGAAAACTCTTAGTCGCTGCATACGACAAAAACTTGGATAGGCTCCGGCCGGCCACTTGGCTCGGGTAGAGACGTAGCCCTTCATTGCTTTATGCGACGTAAACTGTCCTAAATGTGGACTTTTTGTTGGGTGAAAGTTTGCTTTCCTCAGTCGTCTGTGTTTTTTAGGCGCGCAAGATGTACCATCAGGCTGCAGAAATTTTACCATTTGCCGCAACTATCTGGAAAGATGTAAAGTTGACTTAAAGTTGTTTGCTCTTTGCTGTTTGTGGATTGTTTGTGTGTAGTTTTCTCAGAGTTTGAATTCAAGGTTTCATTTTCCTCTTTTACTCTCACAGTTTTTGATGTTTGAACTTGCCCGAGGTGGCGATGGATCTGCCGTCCAAGAGATTCTAGCCAAGAGCCGACAAATCGGTGTCAAAGTTGAGGAATTTTTGAACACACTTTTGGGTAAATGAGTGCTCGTGTTCTTTTCGATAAAGGTGATCGTTTGAAAACGAAACGAAAAATCTTAGTTCAAGGAAAATGTGGTAAACGTGACAAGGTGTACAGTTTTGTACCGGCTCCGTTTCGGACACCATCAAGGTTAAAAATGTAAATGGACTGTCGTTTTTTATTGTCGGGTTAAATTTGGATTTCAGTAAGCTGCAGAAAGGTAAGGTACATGATTTTCCCGCCACAACAGCAGGACTGAAAAACCAAAGGAATCATTTGATTTAAGGCAAAGTATTTGTTCACTCACGATGATTGTTATTTATATAGTAGAAAATTATATATTTTTTGCATTTTTTCAAAACTTTTCTATATGCATTTTGGTTTCTAGAACAACCAGCTTTCGAATATGATTTCAGGCAGGGAGGGTATTTCTCAGACAAAGCCCGAACAATGGCAGCTGTTACTACTAGTTGCCGCGAATGATAATTTCAGGCGATACAACTGTCTTCGGTAGCCAATGAGTTGATTATCTTTTTGACAAATCACCGTATTTCTTAGTTATATTTTTAATTTATTAAAAGAAACAGGAACAGATCGTTTTTGTATTGATTCGTTCGTCTTTGTCTATGTTATGCATACGTGTTTTATTTTCGTGTGTTTGTTGTGCAGGCCACCCATGGCTTGTTACTGAGAAACTTGCTTTGTTTCGAGTGTCGTGATCATTTGTTCTCATCCTTCGCCGGATGTTTCAGTTTTGTTTCTTCTTTTGGTCCTATGTTTTTGTTTCGCGTTTTAAACTTTAGAGGAGGCGATGGTAGGTAGTCAGTCGGTCAATCTGCTGGTCAGTTGGTGTGTCTGTCTGTCCGTCAGTTAGAGGATCGTTCATTCAGTCAGTCACTCGTCAGCCAACTTTCTAGCCTCTCTTCGTTCAGCCATGCCGTTAGGCAGTAAGTCGGAGAGGCAGATAGTCAGATGAGTAGTCAGTCAGATGATTAGCCAGCCAGATGGGTAATCAGTCAGTGAATCAGTCAGTCATGCAGTCAATGAGTCTGTCAGCCAGTCTGCTGGTGCGTTCTTCAGTCATTGTAAGTTTTAAGAAGGAAGATTACGCTAGTTCTTTATCTCATTTGGTGTCTTACTCATGTCAAAGTTTACTTGTTTTTCACTTCACCGTTACAGACCTCTGTTTATATCGTGTTGTATTAACTCGTAAATTTCCCTTCCTTTTACCATCCGATTCTGCTCTACTACTCAATCGATCCTTCATCACAAAGGGTAGCGTGTATATGTAATGTTTTCTAGGGTGTTCATGAGAAAATGAGAGAGAGAGAGAAGGGAGACAGTTGTGTGACTGTTGGGTGTTTTGGCGTGTTGTTGCTTCGTTTTTCTCTGTAGGACTCTCGGAGCAGATTAATGAAGCTAATGAGAACAAAGTTACGTTTACAAGACAGCCTACATACACTGCATACAGTGTGTGCTTCGAAGGCTAATATTGTATGTGGAATCGAGACCGATTAAAAGAATGGCTTACATGCCTAACAGAGCAAGAAAATGGAAACAAGACCTTTAACACCTTGAAGGGTACAATTATAGCCTTACCCTTAACGAGATCGGATTAAAACCTCGAAATTCACCGAGGTTGCAAAGAAGACTTCTCAAACTTGGTGCTTTTCACACTGGTCCATTTTTAGCGACGAGTGCAGATGTAATTTTGTAAGTGGGACAAACAAGCGTTTGGTCGAGGCAAAAGAGTTATTTATTGTATAGTGCGTTCGTCGGTTAACCTTTCAACTCCCAAGTTCTGCTTTGAAATTCTCCATTCTAGCTGTTATACTTTTTCATGTGAAGTAGTTAAGAGAATTACACCCTAAATCTTCCTGTTCACATTCACCTTTTGGATGGTTATGTATTGACATTTTAAGGATAAGTTACATTTTACACTTGTGGGAGCTGAAGGGTTAAGTACTTTGAAACTGAGAAAGATTTGAATGGGATGGAAAACGAGAAATAAGAAGAACAGGTGTAAGGAAATGACAATTTAGCTCCAAAGGCGTTACCACGGTTACACTAAGAAATAGAATAGTTACAATGCGGTATTGCCTCTAGATTGCAATATAAGAGAAAAAATGTAGGAAAGGGGCATAAGCTTCCTTTCTGCCAACATTTTTTTCGTATTTACTGTTTGTTTGTTTCTCGTTTGCTTTTTAACTGGTACAGTTTCTGGGATGAACTTCATTTAATATTAAAACCTTTGTCAACTTTCTTTGCTTATGTGAAGGATGTACGATATTAAAATCGTGATATGTGAATATGGTGCGTCTGATAGAATTCTCGCTTATTTCATCTGAGGTTCATTGTGTTTTTTACTCATTTTAATTAAGGTTGACCACGTAACTCATTCTACTAGAAGCAAAAAAAAATACTATTTTACTTTTAAAGTATGCCTACTTTTCAATATTTCTGTTGCGTAATTTTTTGTATCACTTAAATTTGTTAATTAAAAATGTTTGCAGTAATTGTGTCTCAGCATGTGTTTTAGCGCGAGAACTTTGAGCAAGGCCCGGCAGTTCCTGAACCTTATTTAATATCCCGTGAATCTCTCTTTTCCAACAGATGAGCTATGTTGCTATTGCCCAGTTAGCTTTAATCATTAGCTCGAATGAGGACCTTCAGCCCGAATACCGAGCCGAGATTCAGCTTGGTTATTACAACCGAGCTAGACGAAAAAAAATCTTTTTCTAGCAATTCCAATTGGGAAATATTTTTTCGTATTAGTGAGGTATCAATCGCAAAAATATCTCGGCAACATGGCTCGCTCGATTTTAAATATATATATATATTTTTTGTTTGTTTGTTTGTTTGTTTGTTTGGTTTTTTTGTTTTTTGTTTTTTTTTTCTTTTTTAAACCAAATCTGTTGGGTGAGATTTAGTTGACTGAGAGAACTATTTTGAGCAGGTGCCTATAATCACTGATAATTGGTGCCGTTGTTTTTTGTTTTTGTTTTTTTACAATATTTAGCTGAAGACACTCAGGTTGGCCTCATTGTGACCCAAAACCTGTGTTCTTTCAGAGATTTCACCTGAGAATTTTTTTGTCTTATATCGCAATAATACCATCCAGCTGATGAGCCTGTTCATTCTCATATGTTGTTTGTAATATAATACATAGGGATCGCAAGGAGAAGTAACATTTGGATAACTTCTGGGGGTTAAAGGGTAAATACAGTTCTCGATGTACTACAAGCAATAAATATTCGGCCTCCAGGTGAAACATGACAACTGAACAATCGGCATCTGTCGAAAGCAGTGTCCTCCGCTCACAATTCCTTTGTCAATGGAATCCACGATTGACAAGTTCGTGACAATCGTTAATAGTTGTGTTTAAGGGAACATTAAAGGATTTTTGAACCATCAAACATCAGTTGACTAGTGGTAATCGGATCCTATCCACAGCTTGCACCTGCGACGTAAAGTTAAACGTTGTTCACTCGCAATTAGCGAGCCAATCGACTTCATAAACTTCAGCGAAATTAAAAACATAACCGCAGGTGATTAGCAACGGTAGTGTTTATACAATGCCATCAGTTGAAGCTTTGATTAAATTTTGATCCAGTCATCACTCATAGGCCGTCATCTTTGAAAGCAATGGTCGAATTTTGAAAAGATTTTAATCGTAGAATAAATAAGGTATTCTTTATACAGTGTGCCGCCTTTGACGTAATAATCGACAGCACAAAAAGCCATTCAACCAACTAGCATAAAATTGACTCAAAGGATGATATTGAAACACTGTGCATTTTTTCTGTTTTTTCTACAAACCCAAGACGATTAAACACAAATGGAGTTTTTGGTTTTAACAATTTCTCCAAATAATTACCTGCTATTTTTTTCTCAGAAAAGGGTAATCAGTACCGCCAACACAATCTAAAAACGTTTTGACTGTCAATATTTTGGAATACGGGTGGTTTTTCAAAAAAACTCATAAATGTTTTGCGCTTTCTGTTTACCAAAATCCACCTTTCGTCACCTCGAAGTCAACAAAATACTTTATACAACCTCGTTTCTCACGGCAACTCGTTCAAACAATTCATGACAAACAAATGGCGCTCGAGTGGCTCTGATATTGAATATATCTTTTTTTTCACACCTTGACCTAGTGATCGTCAGGGAAGAGGCAAAAAACGGATCTCATCGTTTCTTTAATAACGAGAGAGGCGAAAGCCAGCGGGAATAACGTACTGGAGTTTTTGTTCCAAAGTATGGTATGCCTAAGTAGTTTGATAATAATCTAAGTTGTCAAAGAAAGAACACTGGACAGGCCTAAATTGAATCTATTTGGCAGTGAAGTTCAGTATTCCGTGCATCGAGGAGTACTTTAGCATTAGCGCGCTTAACTTGACAGATCACAGGGTACTTTCCAGCCCAAACATTGAAGGTCTATATTTCAAAAAGGCTAAAAGGTCACCACCACAAAATATTAATCACGTTATTAGCCTGCATACCACCACGTATCAGTTATGAAGTAGTTTTGTACACTGTAAACATGCTACGTGAAAAGTCACACAGTATCCCTCTATACTGAAGGACGGATTGTTGCATTTCGTCGAGATTCATTATCAAAGGATCCCTAAGACTGAACCGCAGCAGAGGTGAAAAAGTGTGTCATGCGAAGACACGAATAAATTTTAACACATTAGGATTTGCATGAGTTGACCTGCATAATAGACTCTGGCTAACAGGATTGAATTACCTACATCATAATACGAAGGTCGAAGACAGAGGCTACGACAAAGGCAAAGGAATTTAAAAGACAAGGGAGCGGAACTGTCGGAGTTAGTTTACCTATCACAATGGAAATTAATTTTGGTGTGCGTCTCATAGTGTTTTGATAGCCGCGGCTTTTGTAACTAATAGTTTGGTTTCGAGTGAATCACATAGAAAGCCCTGTTTCAGTTTGGTCATCACGGAGCGCATTTCACCACTCAGGCAAACGGCGGACAAATTTTCATTGAAGAGGAAAGTTTATAGACTGTAAGGAGTGCGGTGTTTAAATCCACTTAGCAGCTACTTGTTAAACGAGTTCAAAAAGGTACATTTCCTTCTCATCACAAATTAGGACGAGCTGAAGTTGGAGCGTGGCACGTGTTTCACCCACAAATGATGGCCACAGCTGACCCAAACATAACAAATTTTACCGAAAGGGATCCATGTCCTTTTGAGCCTTATACGTCAACAGAGAAGGTTTTTCAGTGTATTGCGTACTTCATCATCATGTTCGGCTCCTTCGTCGGTAACGTGCTGGTCATATGCGTCGTCATTCTGAACAGACAAATGCGAACTGTCACAAATTATTTGATAGTAAATATGGCGGTGGCAGATCTCTTGATTACAATAGTCAGTATGCCGGTCACTGCAAAAGTTCTCGTGACAGGACGCAGCATCAATTGGTCAAATGGTGTCTTGTATGATATTTTGTGCAAGATAATCCCATTCAGCCAAACTTTGTCGATCGCAAGCTCTGTTTTGAGTTTGACAGTTATAGCTGTTGACCGTTTCCTAGCAGTGATGTACCCTTTGAAGAGATGCATGACTTTTCAGAAAACGTACGTTGCAATGGCACTGGTCTGGCTTGTAGGTATTGCTGTTAATTCACCGACTCTTTACGCCCAAAAAATTGTGTTTCTCGAATACAGTCAGAGCTGGACCTGCACGGAGAAGTGGGAACCAGCATTCACCGAAGGGGCATACAAAGGCTTTACAATAGTTCTTCTTGTGATTTTTTACCTGGTTCCTCTACTGACCATGTCAATTCTATATAGCTTCGTCATTTACAAACTCTGGGTGAGAAAAGTTCCAGGAAATCAAACTGCCGAAAACCAGCAGCGATCCAACAAATCCAGAAAGAAAGTTTTAAAAATGCTTCTTGCCGTAGTGATTCTTTTTGCGCTGTGTTGGCTCCCGGTGTACATCACCCAATTTATTAGTTTCTACGGTGAGGTGGATTTTCCTTGCGGTCCACCAAGTACTTTGGCATTCATGGGCTACTTTTTGGGACATGCTAACAGCGCTATCAATCCTGCTATTTATGTGATATTTAACTCTGACTTTCGTAAAGGATTTCGAGATGTTTTGCTGTGTCGTTATTCCCGCAGGAACAGAGTTGCTCCACAAGTCAATTTGGGAACCGTGACTGGAGGGGAAAATAGTTACATCGATGGTGCGACTGTTTTAGCGCGTATCCGTACGCGCGGAGGATCAAAAGTATCAACTTGATAGTTGATATCGTCAAAGTTGATATAGATAATGAAAACTGTAAGCCGTGTTACTACATTGCTGAGATGAAAAAAAAACTATTACCTGTCGTTTATTCGTCCTCGCATATTGTACGCATCCAGTTTAGACAGTTTAAACAACCTAGTCATTTTAACAGAGAAAGATTTTTAGCAAAAAAAAAAATGTTTCTAGTTGCTATGAAGAAACTGAAAGACATTTTACCACTGATATAGTTAATTTCTAAGTTTTTGATCACACTTTATTTCGTGCATTCGTCTTCACGAATTTATTACTGGAGTTGAGTTTCCTAACGCCGAAAGAGCTAGATAAAAAAGGTAATATAAGTCGGATTCTAGTTTTACAATAGAAATTTGTGACAAGTTTCAAGATGTTAAATTACGTACTCGCCAAGGAAAAGAAACAAAATTTACACCAAATTTCATTCGAAAGTGATGAAAATGTTCTTTAAAAAATCAACTCACTAATTCTAACGCTCCACCGAAGATCATTCTCTTGAGTGTTTGTTTACCCCCTTTAGCCGCAAAAAGTAATTGATCTGAGTTTCCGCTGTAGACATGTATTGTGAACCCGCTCTCTGTAAACTTGTCATTTGTATAACACGCTATAAAGTTTATTCATTTATTTATTTCGAAAAAAATTTATGCATTTTCCATATTGATTTGTCAGTAAAAAAGGGAATATTTCAATCTAGTTAGACATTTGGTCAATTGCCAAGAGGAAGAAAATAACCGTCTCATTTACTCGATGGTGCGACAGTTAGGCACTATTTACTGTCTTGGCGAGAAAACGGGATTTAATATGTTGTTTCTATAACTGAAATCTGACAATGTTGTTTACGTAGACTCTGAATAAAACTGAAGACTCCGACAAGCTACCTGAGGGTATTTCTTGATACACGGGTAGCTGACAAATATGCAGGAATTATAGGTCTCAGCTAAAGAACTAAATTTTAGATCGAATGAGATGATTCGCTTTGTAAACCAAGGCAACGAGAGTTTTCCAATCAGTAACAGTACTTTTTTCGGAAGCCTCACTCTATTTTACCGTTTAGTATTACTCACTAAATTTCCTCAGCAAGTGGCAGGCTAAATTGAATATGATTTGCTCTTGTTTTCAAAGTATGAGGCCGTGAGAAGCAAAATTAATTAAGCCTCGAGCCACGTGTAATCGGTACCGCATCAATTCTTGTTTGAATTGACTCAAAAAGCTTTTAAATAAAATAATTTGCAGCATTAACACTGAAACAAATTAAATTGCCAAAAACCTTTCCATCCAACATATGAATTTTCCAGTAGTAGATAAATGATCAAAACTGTTTTATAATGTTTCTATTTATTGGAATATCGATATCTCACCTAAATTATACTATATGTGGTAATGACTTCTTTATGACTTTGTTCTCTTGCCATAACATTGTGTAAGGTACCACTCAGAAAAGAGGTTTGTCTCCTGCGGAAACATCAACTCAAACGTTTAGCTGCATCAGACAGGGTTTAAAAATTTTATTGGGATTTTTCAAAGACAAGGCACCAGATTGTTTCAGTAAAGCAGTCTGTGCTTTGTTTAATTTGTTCCAACCAACTACTAAGTTGCTCTTTGACAGATGCTCGAATTCTAGATTACATCTTGAAAACACCTTTTAATTTAGAGAAGCCGTCCTGGTGTTCAAGTCCATCACTGATTTGCAAAAAAGTCTATTACCGAGATGGTGGATCTAGAGTATGAAATAAAAAGAATTCATTTACGAAAAAAACCTATAAAAACGAGGCTCGGCTGAATAGTGTAAGGGCTCTCAAGTTGAAGAACAATGTCATCCAGTTTTGCAAAGAGTTTTACGTAAGCACGTTTTACAAACAATAATAGTGGATTCTAAGTCTACCGTGCTCATGCCGGTATTTTTTTTGCATTAATTGGCGGTTCCAGAGTTTTCTGAATCACTTCCTCTTCAGATCATAAAAATCGGATTAAAAACTTCCTCTAATTTTTTCATGCCATTAAAATTTCGGCTCGCACGCGTTGAAATTTATTTTTTCCCTGCAGTTACAGACAATTATAACTTTTCCCTGAATTCGAAGCACAGTTGTTAGTCGTGACCATTTGAGAAAATATTTAAAACTTCGAATTGTTTGCCGGAACACACTAAGGGAAGCTCTGACAGATGTAAAAGCCATTAACTTGCATTTTATTGTCAGTATAGTTTTTCTTTGTCAATAGAATTTCTTAGAGATAATATCGAGCATCAGTTCGTCGATTTTTCTAATACTGTAGTTCTTTATTCCACAAACGAATTATGGAATTTTCATAAATCGCATCTCCTGATTATATTACAAAAAGAAATGATCAACTTCCAATTTGTTTGAAGACTCTGTTCGCTAGAGCGCTACGTCAATATCCCAGAATGGTCATGGGGCTGAATAGAGCTCATGAAGACAAGCGATGAAATTTCTCCTAAAATTCAGGGGGCGGGTTGTTTTAACAAAGTTTAGCCGTTGTTTAAAAAAATCGCGTCCTAAATAATTCTCAATTTAGCTGGACCTTTTATCGGATGGATGAAAAAAAGTTAATTTATTGTAAACATACTGTTAAATCTTCATCTGTCTTGGCTAGGACTTTCAAACGTGCAAGTAAATCTAAGGGCAGACCTGAGGCATCTTTAGTCCGGGCGTATCTCGTCCCTATTTTCTGTACCCCGGTATCCTGTATCCTTGGTACCTGGCTAGAGTTCCCGATGTATTTCAGTCCAATCCAAAGTAGTCCAGTCCGACCAAATCCAATCTTTCTCGTAGCGAAGTTGGCGAGCCTTTGTTTGAGTACCAGACTCTCTCAGGGTTTAAGAAGGATTTTCAACATGGCGGACTAATCCGAACAACAGCGTTAATTTACTCGTTTACTAAAAGCAACGAATTTGTATCTCAGTGGACACAAAGAGACTGCTGATCTTAGCTCATTTTCTGAGGTAAGTATAATATACTGGGAGTATTTAACTTAATATTTTTTTTGCGCTCGTAGCTTCACATTCATGCTGTAAATTTAGTTTCGATAAATACTTTTCCAAGCTTTACGCGGCCCTCTTTTAATTCCTTTTATTGATAACAGACCGAGGTAAATTAAGAGTTTATATTATAACCTTGGTGAAAAAAATCTGAATCATGGTAGAGGACATTCAAAACATCTTTGCTGGGAATGTCTACTTGTCCTGGCCTTGGCGCAAATACGGATGTAAACGGTAAACTAAATCAATTTTGCAAAGCATACCTTAAAAAAATGAAACAGATATGCGATATATGCAGTGGTATTCAAGCTTGCGGACCCCATAGGTGACCAAGTTGAATAATATTACAAAAAATTCAATTTTGTTGGTTTAATTTTAAGGTATCATGTTTTATTTCTGAAATTACAATTGTCAACAATTAAGGACAAGCATTCAGAGAGGGAGGGGCTGGTTGGAGGGGTGTCAAATTTACCCAACTGGGCCTTGCTGAGTGGTGTAAAGGGGGTGGACCCTATATAATCATTTTAGAACAGTCAGCTAGTACTTGTTAATGTTTTGGTATAAGGACAGCCTAAGGTATAAGGTAAGGTAGAATAAAAATTATTGAATTTGGTTTTTGTATGATCTCATGAATAAGCAAACCATGTAACTTAGTTGCATGCTTCAGCCTTTGGCTCCATCAGATAACTCAGACCTTGGTTTTGATAATTCATAATTCATGCTCAAATTCATCCAATGATTGCTTATTGATATCTTGAGAGTGAAGTGACAAAAATGAGAGGTATCAAGTTCACTGGCTGTCGCAAAATCTGTCTTTTTCTTTGGGAGGCATTTTGATAAAATACTGGATTAGGTTTATCAAAAGGTTGCAAGCATTAATTCAGGATTAAAAGATAAAACTTCGTTTTGATTTGTCTGTTATAAAATGATATATTTTGCTAAGTTTGTAGAGTTTTGTGCTAGTGGGAGGGAAAAAAAGGAATATACCTGAAATATAAGCAGAAAAACTGGAACTGGCATCCTGACCATGGACAACTGACTAACGAGAACATTCTACCAATAGACAGTTAGCTTGATCATGTTTTGAGTTTCAATATCCTGGATTTTAATGGTGTATTTTCTACTTTATTCTTGAAAGAACTGGATGTTGTTTTGTGCATCATAAAAAATTTGGCCAAAATTTTCTAAATTATTTGTTTCCTTATACAGATTACATACCAATTCCCTAACGATATTCTTCATTTTTTCTAAGTTTTTCTTTCTCCTATCCAAACCAACATTATACTGAGGGTTCCCTTACATAACAAAAAGGAAATTATTATATGTTAATGTAATAATGGGTGTTCATTCATCATTTTATAGGTACACCTTGATATTTGCTATTAGTTATGGGCAAGAAGGGGAAAAGGAAAATGCAGCAATCTGCAAGTCAATTGCCTGATGTAGTTGTGGACAAGGAGGTGTTAACTCTATGTCAAAGAATATTTGAACGTAAGTTAGGGTACTAAAATTTTTAGTGCCTTTAAATTCTAGTGTTATGTTGTTAAAGTAAATATGTAGTATTTGCATTATCATAGAATGTTTGTAAGGGTCAAAAGAAACTCCTGTCTTTTGGTTGGAAATTTTTAATTTCATTCAGTTCAATTCAAAAACCAAGTGTCACATTCTAAAGAAATACTTTTATTTAGTAGAGCATCAATTTTCATATCACAGTTGTAAATATCTAACATTTGCCTTATATTATGTAGCTGAATTGTTCTGGTTACAAGCAAGTGCGATTCCTTTGGCTTTGTGGAATGACAATCACTTGAAAAGCACATTCTTGCATATCTCAAAGTTATTTGACACATTTAATTTAGTGTCAGAGATTGATATGTTGTTGTTGTTGTGGCTAGTTATATCTCTAGAAACCCCTGTATTGCCAGTCAAGCAGTGGGAGGAACATGTAAAGCTCCGTGAAATGGTGGAAATAATAAGAAAGAGACAAGCTGGTAAATTATATATCAGGTTTCAAGTTTTATGTTGATAACATATGAAATGAACAGACCAAAAAAAAATAAAAACAAAGAAAACTCCTTCATGAATTTGGTGATTATTTCTTAGTACAAAACACTCATTGTACTTTAAAGATTTAGAATTAACTTTGATAGGGAACAAATCACACCTGCAATATTTTTCTTTTTCTAACACTTTTATGAAATTCATAATGATTATGTCACTAATACTTTGTTTTAGGACAGTCACTCTTTGAAAATTCAGATCAATGCAGAAGAGATCACATATCAAGTTTTACCCAGTGGTTCAATGAAAATGGTGGGGTAGCAGAGTCAGTGGTAATCGATGACTTTGGCCATCAAGGGTTAGGGCTTAAAGCTATCAGTGAAATTAAGGTAGAGATCTGTTATTAGAGAAAAGTAACACTTATTAATGTACTGCTATCATTCTGAAATAAAGCAGGATGTGGTTTAGGGTTAGGAAATGTAGAGCTGTGGGGTTGGTAAAATCAATATCAAAGTGAAAAACAATAGTTTGTGGTTAAAGGTCAGAATTGTTTATAGTCAGTATGAAACATTATTAACAACTAGATCATTTGATAATCATTTCAAGAGTTTTCATAGGCTTAACCATTATACGATGCTATACAAATATGGTAAACTCAAAATCAAAACATTTGTTCTTACAAAATAAAGTTGGGAAGACTTATCTATATTTTGGGGTGTTTTTAATAAAAAAATTATTCCACTCCTGCTTGTTGGACATGAGATGATTAATGCCAACTCAGCCCTAAATGCCTCATTGGCTACCTATTATCTCATATCCAGCAAGCACTTGTGGAATAATTGTTTATTGACCCTTTGACTGCCATTTGTTACCAAGACAGAACTTCCCCTTACAATTTCAGTGCAATATCAAGCTGAGACAAGTGACAAGTCATATAATAAAGAAAAATATCAGTTGTGAGATTTTAGTTGATCTGATACCAAATTCTCTGAACTAACAATAAGAATTTATGGCAGACAGTGAGGAGAATTACTTTATGTGATCTTGAGAGTAAAAGGTTTAATTAGTTTGATATTTTTTACTATACATGTAGAACCAATCATTTATGTTCACCTTTCATTGGTATTTGGAACTACTTTTTCATAATTTTTGTTCGGTGCACATTTTTCTCTTTGGAGTTACATGAGTGTAAATCCTGTATGTTAATTGCTTAATATTTAATGACCTCTTCACAAGTCATAGTTGTGAATGAGCTTGCCTTACTTGCCAACTGTTGGTCACTTCTGATTCTCAAATTGCATCTTAATGTCTATCATCATTTGATTAACAAATTTACATAGCTGTGAAGTTTCTATAAATCTATCACATGTCAGAGAGTATTTTCTTTAACATATGATCTCAATTGAAATAAATTTTTCACTTCCGTTAGGGGAAAGCCTTGCCTTCTCTTTTCAATGGTTATTCTTGTCATTGAAATCTTTACCAATTTTTTATTTTCTTCTCTTTTTCTTTTTTAATGGTATGTTTCATGATAATACCATTAGGATAGTTAAGAATATGACTTGTACAAACAGGTCCATGGGATTTCAAAATTGATTTGCGTAATTTAGTCATGATCAGTATTTCAGACACACTTTGTATTCTCTTCTCAGGAAGGACAACATTTTATCACCATACCAAGAACACTGATGATGTCAGCAGAGACTGCAAGAAATTCAGACCTAGGTAGCCATAGTGTGCAAATGATTTATTACACAGACGTAATTGACCACAGGAAATCCATTTTTTTTTGTGACAAGAGTGGAGATTGGTTTTACCTTTAATTCCTGTAAATAACCGAGACAGAATTTCTCCATACAAATTGAAAATTGCAAAATACCAAGTAGGAATTAATAGTTGATCCAACACCAAATTCTCCAAGCTAACATCGTAAGAATTGTATGATAGACACTTTGGAGAATCACTAACAAGATCTGAGAATGAAAGGGTTAAGAACTCGAAATCACAATTTTAAACTGTTCCATCTTCACATGGAAGCCTCCTATCATCACCATGGTGGCTTGTAAACTCCTTCTTTGTTCCATTTACACTGCTACTTTGAGATTATCCCAAAGAACATGAAATGGCATGTTTTTTCCTATGTTTTATTGAAGGACCATTGATTGACAAGGACAACATTCTGAAAGTAATGCAAAATGCCTGCTTAGTACTTCATGTATACTGTGAAAAACTGAAGGAGAACTCCTTCTGGAAACCATATCTTGGTATCCTTGAAAGCTGAGTTTGTAAGGTTCTTGTAAATGTATGTAGGACTTTGGGTTGTGGTTGAGCAATTGCAGATAATTATCGTCAAGTTATTAGTCTCTACTTTTAGGAGATCTGAATGGAAATATTGTTCACTGTTGTTGTTGTTGTTGTTGTTGTTGTTGTGAGAAGTAAAGTTTGTGGGATTTCATATTTTCAGATCCACCAGTGTCCACAAAATAAGAAAAGTTTAATCCCCCAAAAGTGTTCCTGCATTTTCGTTCAATAGGAATCAGCTTAATTGCAAGGTTCAAGGTATCTTCAAGGGTTGAATCAAGGCAGAGAGTAATTCCTCTTATATACGGTCAAATATTTTTTATTATTCATGTAGAAAAAGTTTTTAAGCAAGGTTAACTCTCCTAACTGCATTTGTAACCTTTTGCTGGGACCTGGATTGACTTGGCTAGCTAGTAGGGTAGCAATTTGCTTACTTTCACTTTCAGAAGTTAACTCAAGCTGGAAATTTCATTGAATTAACCATGATGTTAATGTCCTTTCTCCTGTGCCTTCATTATGATCCATCACCATTTTCCCATGCTCAAGTACTGTACACAATTTATATTTCTCATCATTACAGCCTATGTTTTCAGGGTTGGTTGGTGGAAAGACAGACCTGGTCAGTCCTAAAGCACACCACCTGCTTGTAGGGACTGGAAACCCAGATTTGTGTAAATTAAGGTGTATATGTTTAGTTTAAGCAATCTCTACCTGGGCTTCAAAATGATCTTAGAATAGTGTAAAGAGGCCATAAGAAGACACAGAGAAATGACCATCAAGGAGAATTTTGACAGATCAAAATAACCTTATTTGAATGCAAAATATTGTACCCATATTTTATACCATCAAACAATCTGTGAAAGCTCCTTAGCGTGTACTTAGATATTCTTCCAGCTTCGTATTCAACAACTTTATACTTTAGTCTTGATGAGATGCAGGCATTGAAAGGTTCTCCAGCATTTGGTGGGTAATTCTAACGATTTTAGCCTTATCTTGTGTTGAGTTTCTTGATTCTCTATACTCCTTGTTAGCATATAACTAGTTGTTACTAATAAAATTTGCTCAAAGTAATATAAGAAGAAGCAGAATAGCTTATATCCCTGGAGATATTTGCTACAGCGAGTTATATGGGAATGCCTCCACTCCCTTCTTACTATGAAAGCATCATGTTCTGTCTTGAGGGTTATAGCGATGCACGAGTTGTAGTATAGTGTAGGAGGATTTGATATTACTAGTCAACACTGGGTGGTTTTTTTTTTAAGCAGAAAAACGAAGAGTTACCACCCTCATTCCAAATAAAAGGGTCTACTGGACCATTATGATTCAAGATACTTTTGGTTTCATCAACTGAGTTGATAATATAAATCGGCCACCGTAAAGAGTTTCAAAGCTGTCGTTTCGAGCGTTAGCTTTGAAACTTTTTACGATGGCCAATTTATAACTCAGTCGATAAAACCAAAATGTTTTTGATATACTCCCGCGCCGACGCAGTACCACAATTTCTCTAGAAACTTACGTTCTTTATTCACTGTGATTCAAGGCGTGGTTAGCTATAGTTATCCCATTTGTTCATCAATATGAATTATTACTTTTTAAATCCCGCTGGGAAATAATATCCTTACACAACAACTCCCAAATGATCTGTTGCAGGTGAATCTCTCAAGCTGTACAGAAATATTGCGCGACAGTATTCTTATCTCTACCAACGTCTTCATCAGGTGAGTGTGGCGTGTCAGCTCACATTTTTGGGTATCAAGTCGTTTCGCACCCATGGACGTTTCGTACTCAGTCTATTCGTACTAAGTTTGTGTCGGTTCGTACTCAACCCGCTGGTTGATTCGCACCCGCCCAAGCATTAATTGACTATCAGATCCTCTTCAAAAGTGTGGAATAATCGAAAAAATATCACCTCTTGTTTTAAAGTATTAATAACTGTCATTCTAATCAGAAGTAATTGATTGTTGATAGGTTTGTCCAGAAACGGCCAAGCTTCCACTTAGAAGACATTTTACTTTTGATGATCACAGGTGCGTCTGACATCTTTAGCTCCAAGTTCTTTTAGAGTGAACTTGAAAAGGTTCAAGTATAATCAGCAATATTCCACTGTTCAGTTATAGTAACTCATAACACAATATTTCTCAGGTAAAATCATATAGACATGGGTGCGGTTACAGTTGACCCAAATATGCTTGTACATATTTTTTAAACTTGAAAGTTTGGTTGAAAGAAAATTGACTTGCTTCCTTTTCGACGTTCTGTTTTAACGAATGAGCAAGTAATCCTTGGAAAATTTTGACCTGGACTGAGGAAGTTAAAAACGAATTGACTTGTTCCTTTTATAATAACGTGTTCGATTTTGTCGTGAACAAGTCAAGGTATTACTGTGCAGCATAATTTTGATAAAGATTAATTAGGTGTTAAGTACCATAACCCGCCTCTTTAACACACTCCTAAACCTGTTTTGGAACAAAGGTTCTGATTCTCTGTTGTTTTTCGAGGCAAAGCCTCTTTAATGAAGTGGCTGAGTCAATAGATTGCCCTTCCATGATTTTTTAACTCCCAAATGCTTATTGTATCCGTTCGCAAAATTTTGAGTGGCTCTTTGTGAAATGAAAAATTAACTGCAGTTTTAGGTAAACCAGATGAAAGGAATTAAGTATTATTAACTGAGTTGACAACGTAAATTAGCCACTGTAGAGAGTTTCAAAGCCGACATTTCGAGCATTAACCCTTCGTCAGAGCGATTTGATGAAAGTAGTTTGGTATGGAACGAAAATTCCAAAATAGCTGAAATAAATTTGTGAGGAACTGTAATGTTTAAATATGGGAAAAGATATTGGTAAAGATTGCGAGTGAGCGTGACGTTGGTTCTCAAAATTGTTTTTCCAGATGGGCAGTGTCAACTGTCACTACTCGACAAAACAAGATCCCAAGCACCACAGGTGAACCAACTCTTGCGCTTATTCCTATGTGGGACATGTGTAACCACTGTAATGGCACGGTAAGAGAACACACAGCAGAGTAAATGTGATCCCTGCAGATTATTTAGCAATTTATTTGACTCATATCCTTCAGTCTGCAACCTGAAACAATGAAGAAAACAAGTGCTAAGGAATATATTTGTCCAACGACAGTGATTCAGGGTTCCAGACCTTGAGGAAGTCAGGAGAAGTCAGGAAGATAGTGGAAGTGGTTCTTTTTTTTTTTAATTTTTCCATGTTCTTGTTTCGCTAAAATAGATCTCAATGTCTTTTTCATTCTGTTTATCTGTCTGATACCATTATTCACATCCTAGAAACTTAAAAAGAAAAACAGTCGGGTTAGAATTGAAGGCATTTAGCAGTAAAACGTCATCCACCACAAAAGCCTGGCTCAACACATTCTTTTCCTCATACCTCTAGTTTATTCCGAAAACTAAATCATATATTCTGCTCTTCGGCTCAGTCGAGAAGGGCTGGAATGTGGGCCTTGAGGAATAAGTCATCTTAAAAGTTTTGTCAGTATGCCCGTATCGTAGACAAGCTATTTCTGTATATTTTTTTTGCTTAGATAACGACTGGCTATGATTTAGCTGAAGATAGCTGCAAAAGTATGTCTGTGAGGGACTTTCATGTAGGTGAACAAGTGTGCATTTTTTATGGAGAGCGTTCCAATGCGGATCTGTTGGTACATAATGGGTTTGTGTTTGAGGAAAACGCCCACGATAAGGTTTCCATCCAGTTGGGCGTCAGCAAGAGTGATCCATTATTCCAGATGAAGGAAAGACTACTGGCTTCTATGGGAATGACTGCGTACGTTTTGGAAAGGATTCTATTTTGCCGTTTATTTATCCATATATAACCTCGTGAGCTCACAAGTGTTTTTGCAAGAAGTTGTTAAACCTAAAAATACTGGATCATTTTCTTGTATGAAAAATTAGCACTGTCTAAATCTCTTCGAAGACGATTTCTTGTTATTGCCATCGCTTTTTTTTAATTTGCTTGTGGATTGTCTGTCTTATTTTGCGTTTGAACCATGATTTTAGAGGGAAGGCATGTGAAGGAAGAAAGGTTGAAATTAAGACCCATATTGCACATTTTTTCGCAGGTCAAGTCATTCGTTTCCAGTGGGTTATGGAGAAAGACCATTCGACTCTGAATTGGTCACCTTTTTGAGAATCTTTTCTATGACTGAAGGTAAGATAAACAATAATACAAGAAAACGTTCAGCTTATGAAAGGGAGAAAGTCTTCTTTGCGATGTCAAGCAACGCTCCACCAAACTAACGATAAGAGCGTTGCGTGACATCCCGACGAACGGCCGCGGAGGCTAAATAAGGGAGAGGAACAATGTCTTCTTTGAGAATCTGTAACACTCCAACAGAGCTGGTTTTAGAAAGTTCGATCTTTTGAAGTACGGATGACGGGGTTTGAAAAAGTCTTTTTGTTGTTGCTCATGGCTCCTTATGGCTCCTCTTGCAAGGCTTCGTTTTGATCGATTTTGATCGATTCCACCAGCGTCCAATTAACTAGTGACCTTCCATGCCTTAAAGACAGTGGTCTTACATTTCGTGGAGGCGTGTATTTGGTATTGTGAAATGTTGCAATATTTCGATGGCCCATACGCATGGTTTATTTTGTTGAAAATCTTGTGTGTTACTTTATATAGATGAGTTAAAAGAGTGGCTCATGAAAGCGAATGAAGACACCAGTGAGTTGAAGAAACTTTCAGAAAAAGAAATATTTGTCAAGGAGGAGACTGAAAACAAGGGTTGGCAGTTCCTGGAGACACGTCTGTCCTTACTTCTTAAACAGTACAAAAATACGGACTCGGTAAGTTTGGTCTCGTTGAAGAAAATTATGCTTTGTTGGTGAAAGGGATGACTTTGTTATTTAAAACACTATATGCATTTAGATTCTTTTAAGGTGAAATCAAACTCTTCAAAGTGCTACTAAGTTAGAAATATTTTCTCGAGTGAAATTAGTAGGAACATTAGACAGGAACATCGTCGTACGTTGTGCTATGCTCGCTGCATGTACGATGAAGGGGGGGCAGTTTTTTTTAGCTCTTATTATTCGCCCTTGGCAAGACGAAACAATGGAATACTGTTAGAAGTATTCCAATTTCCTTTTGAAAAATTGCCAGTGGAAAAGACCTCTCATTTCCCCTGAAAAACTGAAAAGGGCTACATTTTACACCATCATCTCCATTATTCGGCGCTCAAAACTCCCGCATGTTCCCCGAGTTTTGCGCCTAAAATCTTTAAGACTTAATGGCCTTACTTAAAAAAGAGTGTAGGTTTTTGTAAGTTCTAAAAACTGACCTGCCATTTCCATACAGAACGATCTGCTCGGTTAGAGCTAACAAATGGGTAGCAGCCCAAATGTGAAATTTAAAGCACTCAAGATCGAGTCACTTAGCTGGAATTTTTCCCGATAATTTAATTTGAATTCCCTTTCTGCTCTGTGGACTTAGTTGGGATCTTTATCCTTTACACCTTAACATCAGTATGTATATTATCCATACTGTTCTTTATACATTTCCTAAGGTGCTGAACAGGAGAATTTGTGTAACAATCAAGAGCTTCTTTAGTTGGTGATCATTTCCTTTGTTCTCATGAATTTAATGTGATTCAGGAATGATATTGCAAGGAAAAATTAGATGCTGGTTACTTTTGGGGGTTGGAGGGTTAAACGGTTTATACGAATCACCCGCGTAAAGATAATCACTCGCCAGTGCCTTGGTTTCAAGTCATATGTATTCGAACTTGGTTTACCCGCTGAATGGTAAATGACTTTGATGGTAAACTGCTTGTTAATTTTTTACTTCTTTTTTTAAACTTTAGGAGGACTCTGAGTTGCTTGAGAATCCTGAATTCTCACACCACAAAAAACTGTGCATCCGGTTGAAACGAGCCGAAAAGAAAGTGCTGCAAATTGCACTGAAGCATGCTACCGCTATAAGGAGCAAAATTAAAGATTCGTCTCAAAAGCGTGTTTCTGATTGTGATCAGGACACAAGTCGTCATAATGCTGAGAGTTCCACAGAGGAAAACACAAGCAACACGATGGATGCAACAACGTCTGCTGTGGATCAACTTTGTGTGAAGTGACAGTTAAAAAGTCTCAGTGACAATGGCAATGTCTTCCGTGAAATTTCATCTTCTATATTTCATCCATAATCATATCCTCCATACTAATTGAAGAGACTAATGTTGGAAGAGTGTATCGCCTGCCCTTTGTCGAGGGCAACTTATTGAGTTACTTTTTCACTAAAAGGAAGGTACGGTCTAGAAAAAGTGTAGCTGAATCGAAAGTTCTTGACTTTCGTTTTCTTAACTGGCTATTCATTTGAGCTGAAGATATTTTTATTGATAACAATCACGTTTCAAAAATAGGCATTTTCATGGAGGCTTAGGTTCACACGAAGTCGAAAATTTGCTTTACGGACAAGAAGATATTTTTTCTAGAAATAACGATATTTCATGGCTAAGGAAAGGGTTCGATCAGCGTTTTACCACATAGTGGATCGAAAACAACTAGTCCCTTCCGGGGTAAGCGAAAGATGACACACACAACTGAATTTTTAATGCCTTTATTGGTTATACAAAGGAACAACTTTGAAAACAACGGAACTTGTTAGTAGGATAAGTAGGTTATAAGTATATCGGCAGTGCAACACGTGCTTTGAAAGTACGTCAAACAAGGTGTGATAATGTTCGACCATGAATTTTAAAATACATGTCTTTGGTTAATCTTGCTAACTGCCATAAGTAAAAAAAAAAATAAAAGAATGTTAGTTGGTTAAATAGATGTTAAAGCTGTCCCTTTTCGATGTCCGGTTCCGTTTCCTGTGTTCCGTTTGGTCTTCTCACAGGTAGTCATTCACGTTCATAGTCGACCCTGTCTCCCGGCTGATCTCATCGGTAATTGATTGAGGTGGTACTTCTTGGTCAGCGGCTGTGGGTGGTGAGTCGTAAACTTGCGATCCTGGAGTCTTATTTGTGGTTGGGCTGGGGTCGATGGTGTTAGATTCTTGTGGTTCGTCGCTTTCTTTTATGGTAGTCTGTGCAACAGGTTGGTCTAGATATTGATAACAAACAGCGTATCAAATCAGTATTCATGACATCTTAATAAATGTTTTCCTTTTAGTCTCCCTGGGAGGTGCAATCGTGTGATCAATTATAAATTCTGGTTTATAGTGTCTTTTTTAAACTTATTTCAGTATCCATAACATGTATCAACAAATCACTTTTCAGCTTAAATCTCCCCATACCCTTTGAAGCTTGGTCTTATTTCTCATCAAGGTCTATATTTATAGTTTTCTTTATAATTGTAGTGGTAAAGGAGAGATTCTGTTCTCTTTTACTACTGTAATAGTGAAGGAGAGTGTCAGATATGGACCCAATTTACATAAGACACTTCAGGAAATCAATTTCGTGAGCTTCGAACCACCCAGGATTGCGCGTGCTACAACGTACCTTTCAGTCGTTTGAGGCGAAATTTGCGAAACCCTTGGCGCAATAACCTACTCCAGCCTTTCTTCCCTCGCATTTTGGCTTTTCCGTACCGAAGTCGGATTCGTCGAAGACGGCCACGTAACACAGCTTTCAGTTTGTTGCAGCAGTTCCTCACTCGTCGCCACATTCCCCCATAACGTATCTGCAAGGCTCCTCCCCTTGCAGGCACATATTTCCATCTTCCTCCGATAAAGATTCCAAATCGTCGTCCTCGCAGTAAGATCCTTCTGAGTTTGCCTTTGTAACGTACAGTCCACCGGCCTTTTGTTCTGTGGATGATCCTTGAAACGCCTCCAATCTTGAGTCTCATTTTCGCGTAGTTGGATCTTAATCTAAGGCCTCTCCATCTGCGATGGAACCAGACAAATGGCCGTCCGCTTCGGAATCGCACTAGTCGTCCTCTTCGCCTATAGTAGACCATCAAACGTCCTTTGCGTGGATAAATCCAGCGTAATTTGCCACGGATATACATCTTTAAGCGTCTAAGAGGTCGTCTAACCAGCCTCCAAGCTTTTCTGCCGGAGCGTAACAAGATACCTCTTTTGTTTCGGATTCTGTGAACAGCAGGAAAATTGTAATTTTAGAGACTTGTTTAGAAAAGGTAGCCTCTGGAAATGTGACCTCTAGAACAATGTTTGCGCGCCATGGAATCCTCGAACACGTTGAGTTTTGCCCGACCCTCTTCCATGAGATGATGAGCAGAATCACATTTTAGCAGTGAGAGCATAAATGGCATTGCACTCATTTTTAATTGGTAAGCTGTAATAAAATTTACATGTCTAACGTAAAATAGTGTATTAGCGCAACCTTGAAAAAGGATATTTGCAAAAATGAAGCATTGTGAATGAAGACGTTTTGTAGAAGAAAATTACCACGCACTGTTTCCGTTATCCCATACGAATAATTTACAATTATTGCGAAAGTTTGAGCAAAGCACCTTGCTTATTTTCAGAGGCGAATAGATCAAATATAAAGTAGTACCTTTTTCATGCTCACATAGGTGTTGATAAAAAATAATCATGATATTGTTGGGATAAATAAGTTTATGGTTCTCGGATTGTGTTAACAATTACTGTTACAAGAGGCCCTCCTACCTCAGGAAATAGTACTTTGTGCCGACACGGAAGCTGAGCCGTCCTTTCTTACTTCGAACGAGGTAGAATTTTCTACCCCATCTGAAAAAGATTCTGCCATTGCGCTTTCCGTATCGACGTCGACGCCTTCGTCTTCTACGCCTAAATCGTCTCCAATACCCTCTGACATTTCTTTGCCGTTGACGTCTCCTTGCTCGCCTGCCACGGATAGTGGAAATACGCCGCCACATCCTCTTGTAGTAAAATTGTATTTTGCCGTATATGAAACGAATTGGCGAGGTTTTGCCTCGGTAAAGGACACTGATATTTCTTCTCACTCTCTTTACTCTTCTGAACCGTCCTTTAACACGGATTCTTATCCTTGTGGTAGAACTGATTCGATACCATCTTCGACCAAAGTAGTATGAGACTGAACCACGCACAAATCTGATAAGAATACAAAAACCAACAATATGCAGTTGTAAGCGAGTAAAAGTAGGTCGAAAGGAGTTACTCCGATTCGTAGCTGTCAGCGTTGGAAGCACAACACTAGGTAATGTAGTTTCTTCCACATATCTTAGTTTGTCCAAGATAATTTAGGTGGTACATAGTGGTACCTAAGCCAAAGCCTTTCGTAAATAAAATCATTATATATATATATATATATCTTCTTTTACCTTAGGCTACAATTCTTTCGTCGATAACGGAAGAAGAACTTTCCTCTTCTTTGGTAAACTGATCTCCAACGTCCTCCAACATTTACACGCATCACAATGTAGCGTCTTCTTCTTCTGTAGCGTCTCCAAGGCCTTCTTCTGGGCTTCACACGTCTTCGCCGTTTTAGAAGTAACCAGCGTCTCCTTAGATACATATAGGTACCCTTATTGTTGACTAAGATTGGTCTGTACCGTTTACCAAAGCGAGCCTTAAGTTTTCCTCGCTGGATAACAATTCGTCGCCACATCCTTCTCCTAAACACGTAGAGTCGATACCTCTTCATCGGAACATGTCTCCAAGCTCGTTGGAAATAGTAATATAGCTTGCCACGAGAGAGCCTAAAGTGAGATGAGATAAAATATGTAGCCACATTTGAGGTAGAGTCGAACACATCAATTAATTACGGATTTTACATCGAAAGAAGTGGTTGGAAAGGGAAAAGGAAATGAGCTATGGCTCTTCGTCGGAGACCTATAAATTAAATATAAAGATGAGTTCAGAAATAGTTATCAATATTTTGTTCTATAATCTGTATTTGATTTCAGGCTTTCGGAGAGTCAGTTATGACAGTGGAATACCACTCACAAAACATTTAGTTGGATGCCATTCCACCAAATGTCTGGAAAATTAGAATTAGTAGCTGACACTGAATACGGACATCTCCATTCTTATCGGTCCAAGGAGCTGCGATTCTTTCAAACGAATTTCTCTCATTAATTAAGAGCATTTGAACTGCGACTCTTAAGACTTGTTTCCGTCGCCGTAAAAGAATGCGATTTCATATGTGAAACATAGCACTTTTTGTCCCCTTTGCTGTGCTTTATTACTTCAAGTCATTTTTATCGTATTTTTTAAAGCAGTACTTAAATGTTCCGGTACTACACCTACTGTATAACTGTCCTGATGGTAACCTACTGTATAACTGTCCTGATGGTAACCTACTGTATAACTGTCCTGATGGTAACCTACTGTATAACTGTCCTGATGGTAACCTACTGTATAACTGTCCTGATGGTAAAAGGACGATTTATTGTTTTTTACCTGATTCTTCTTCGCTTTCCTCCAAGGCGGAACGTCAATCTTCCTTTCCACCTGAAAACAACTCTCCTCTTTCCGCGATAGTAGATCATGAAGGAGCTGCTAAGTCTCTTGGATCGTCGTATCCGTCTCCTTTTTCGCCTCATTCGTCGACGGTAACGCCTTAAGCGACGTAATTTTCGTAATTTGCGTAGATATTTACGTCTCTTCTGGCGACGGCGTCTTCGTGATATCCTACCTCTGTAACGGATTCTTCGCCATTTCCTACCTTTCCTAAATGCAGGTGTTCCGCGTAATAGCTTGAATCGACGGTATCTTCCACGTACACGAACAGTGATCTTGCCTCTGCGTCGTCTTATACGACACCATCGCTTTCTGATGCGGATGTAAGGTTTGATATAGCGTCGTCTTCCTTTGAACGTGAATGAGATCTTTCCTTTCCGAGACTTGTACCTGGAAAAAAAGATATGTTTTAACTCTCCCGAAAATAATCTAGACGTGATTTTATATCAGTTGATATTTATCTCATTGGTCCTACAAATCCATCATTCACCTTTTCAATCTAATCATGTCTTTTTGTTATGTAAAGCCTATCTGAAAACAAGCGAGGGAAAAACTAGCAAATTTTATTGCATTGTTTCCGAGTCAAATATAGTCATGCTTGTCTCCGTGAGTGAATTCATGAATATTTAGAGACAGCTTGCAAAGGGTTAGCTTTTAACAAAGTAAATCTCAGTTTACTCTACGACAGGGCTATCCTTTTTTTTTCGAAGGGGAAGAGTTAGCTTATTGATAGTGGTCGGGTGACTTCAGCTGTTTCCTAGTCTCAGTGAAAGTGATCTTACATAATTATCAGAGAAAATCACAATCATAATGATTTCTTTCACCGGTCTTATCCTAATGCTGTGCCTGTGTTTTAGATCAAGTCCACTTTTTTTGTAGCCTTGTAATTCTCGCGGCCCGCTGTCCAATTAACCTCACCTTACTCTCTTGAATCTTCTTCCCCAGCGCATTATCAATCGTCCTCTTCGCTTGTAAATCTTCCTGAATCGTCCTCTGAATCCTACACGCATCACACATCGACGTATACGGCGCCTTCCCCGTCCCCTTCGTCGGCGTCGACGTCTCGCTCGTCTTTTTCGCCGCCTTAACCTTCTTCTTCGTCGTCTTCGTCGTCTTCTTCGTATCATTCTACGTGTCCTTGGTCTCGTCCATCTTCTTTTGTTTAGTAAGCGCAATTTACCGTAAGCTATACGCAGTTTTGTCAGTTTTCCTCTAAATCTTATGCGAGGTTTTCCACGGTAAAATCGCAGTGATCGCCATCGTCGGCCAAAGCGGAATTTAAGTGGTCTTCTACTCAACCACCTCCATCTCCTTCCATATCGGATTCCGATCCTTCCTTTACGGTATCTGAAAAAATAACGTTGATTGATGGGCCTCCATACAGGGAGAGCGTAATTTACATATTCTAACATCTAAGACTAAAAATCTTGCCTTTGTAAGTGGTATTTCCCTTTTGAAGAAACAGCAAATAATACAATGGCGCCCATGGTCGTAACCAAGCGCAAAAAACGAAAAAAAGTGAATAGAAAATAACTTAATCACCTTGGTGTTTATCTTATTATCTGTGCGGTTTGTCGTAACCTCGACAAACTTTAAATTCAATGTGAACATGATAAAATGCTTCTCACTAAACCACAACAAAGGCATGGTCGGTGATCTAGCCGAGAACACTGGTTAAAAGCTGAATCTCAAAGATTTTTGCCAAATGTCGGTTACCTAAATTAAATTCAGTAGTTACTGCAATTGTAGCAGCTAGCAAAATAACCATGACTTGTTCTTTAAGCGAGTTTTTGGTTCGAACAGCTACTCTGGGTCTAGGCCACAAGTAATAAGTTCGCAGTAAGAGGAGCTTACCGTACAAGTTTCCATCTGCCACCAAAACGACATCTCAATGAACTACCTCTACGGAACACACTTATCCATTTTCGACCATAATAGAAACGTAAAATGTTGCGCTGTCTTATTCGTCGCATACGTCGTCGGTATTTACGACGTTGCCGTCTCACGCGTCGCCTTTGTCGTCGTCGATGTCGACGTCTCCATCGTCTTCGTCTCCTCGGGCTTCGCGGTTGTCTCTTAACTGTTTTCCATCTTCTGCGGTATCGTAGCCGGATCCGGCCGCCTGTTAACCTGAATGGCCTGTAACTTCCGAACCGACGAACCACAAGCCTTCCACCACGTACTTTAAGATATCTCCATCGCTTACCCAGACGTACCTTGAAACGCCTACTGACGCGACGTATTATGCGGCTCCTCCCTTTGTAAGTAACTCTAACGTATCGCCCTGTTCGATAACTGTTAAAGTTCAAGAAATATAAAGTTAGTACGGTTCTTAGTGACGGTGCAAAGACATTGAACGTGCCATAAGTAAATCATAACTGGCATAAATATCGTATAGGCGTCTTAATGACTGCTTCTTCAGTACAAAGACCTATGTTAAACTATTTTGACTCTTATTAGAGTCCCATATATAAACAAATAAATAAATAATCTTGGTACATGAATCTGTTATTCTAAACCGTCTAACTTGAGGGTATTTAAGGATAAACCAATTTTAATTAAATCTCCTTCTCGCACGGCCACGGAACGTAATCTATGGCTGAGGCTTACTAAGTTAAGATTAAAGGCTTTCGCCTAGCCAGGAGCCATCACTGCTTTCTAGGCTTTTTTTCGTTACCAACCACAGAAGTTTGCATAACTAAAGGACAAGCGCCTGTTGGACAATATCAAGGTCTCCTTTCTTTATTAAAGGTCCGATTTGGCCCATTTTGTTTCATTATCAAAGACCAGCTTCTCTCGGAGCTTTAGGCCTTAGAACATTAGGTCTCCCCATTCTCATCGTAGAAGAGCAAGTGAGACGAGTGAGAAGATGTTGCTCCTCTCAATGATTTAACTTCAACGTGGCTACGCATAATTCAATTTGTATTCACTCTCCTTCTCGCAAGTGCACGGACAAGTTATGGTAGTAGCTTACTCTTTTTTGTCCAATTCATTCGGTCTCATCTGCACTTTCAGCAGTCTATTTCGACAATTTTCACCACCACATATTACGCCCTATTTCCTTTCCGTTGCTGTTGAGAGCGTCCGCTTCCTTCTCTCATTATGGACCAGCCTGTAGGACTGGTTAGAATATGTTGCTACATGTTATCTCCGCTAAACTAGGTCATTCGGTGGGATCATGAGCGATTCGATTAGGGGATCAACTGTTTCAATAGAAACTTAAAGCTGTGGACCAAATAAAAACAAATTTTACTCACTAGAAGGTTATCCATCTTTTACCGTAACGCAATCTATATTGACCACGCCATCTGATAATCGACCGCCAGCGTCTTTTATAATAGAAAAGGAACAAAGGTTTTCGCCGGCGTCGTATGTAACGCCGTCTACGCCTTCGCCGTCGTCGTTGAAGTCGTTTTCGCCAACGTCGCCGTCTTCGGCGCCCTCTTAGACGCCCATAACGTCCTTTTCCACGTGAACGTGGTCGCTTTCGTCGTATTGGTCGCGGTTTTGGCTTTGGCTTCGGTTTAACAGTTTCGAAGTGTGCTGGAATGAACATCTTTACTCGACCATGATGGATAGAGATCTTCATTACTTTACGACCGTACCTAATAGCTAGCATTCTCCTTCCCCTTCTCCTCATTGTGGTCACGTACCTCCAACGTCTGTTATAAAGTACCTGTACTTTACCTCGTACTCTAACTCTACGCCATCGTCTTCCAGAGCGCATGTAAAGATAACCACGATTACATCTGTAATAGGAAAGAAAAAAATTACATGTCAACATCTCTCCGCTATTTTCAACAGCTCAAAGGAATATATGTGCCAATCTGGACAGAATATTCTGCTTTGTTTCTAAATTTTGGAAGAAACAAAATGTGTAAAGATTTTAGTACACTTCTCCTATTGGGAGATTGCGAAGCATGCAGAGCGGACTGCAATTGCTTCCTCCTGTTAACTTTGAATAGTTCTGTGTTTTTTAGTACTCATAATCTCATCCAAATCCAGTTTTCTTTTTCATCGAGAATTAGACAGACTAAAAGGACATGAGCAGAAACCATATTTTCATAATTGCTCAAAACGTGCTTTCCCTCGATTTATATTTTGTTATGTTTTGCTGCATTGAAAACTCGCCTTAAATAGCGTTTTAACTCTCAGATACCACTACCTCTTACTAGCAAAGCTCGAAGTCCGCAATATAAGTTTAAGACTAAGTGTTTCCTTAATTAGGAATAAATAGGGAACTCTTTTCGCAACCAAAACACTGTCAAATTTTAGCAGTCTGTAACGTGCGTAGTAATAGCTTAGAAGAATAAGAAAAAGCCTTTTGCGCACTAATCTTCAATCTTCGGCACTTGAATAAATGCGGCTCTTCAATCTTCTTATAAGTGAACCACCGCCTTTACTTTGTTACCTCTCGCTTCCCTTCTCTACTTCAGTGTTACTACGCATACAAAGTTCTATGTCCAGAAAAAATTGGCATTGTGCTGGCTGTCGATAGTGAATATTCATGTATGGCCGGGTGTTCCGTACTTTGCTTAAAGACTGTACATTACTGCGGTTACCGAGTACGATTTAATTAGCTTTTGTCCATAAGATAATTAAAAAAAAAAAAAACGTTTGAAGGCAAGCCAACTTAATTAGGAAAGTAAAATGCCGGTGACATTTGCAGTGCCAGTACAAAAATAGAGGTTACCTTATTACTTTTGTTCTTCTATGGTATCGGACTCTCAGGCGACCTCCGATTCGATATGCTTTTCTCCATCCCTTGATATAGATCCGAAGGACACTGTACAGTTTTCGGCTTCTACGAGTTTTTCGACGTCTCGTCTTACCCCTCCTTAGTCGTTTAGTAATCCTTCTCAATCGTCTTCGTCTTCTAGTTCGTCTTCTTCGCACTCTTCGCCTTCGACGTTGTCGCCTCTTTCGTCGCCGGGTTCGTCGGATTCGCCTTCGTCTTCTTCTCACTCGTCGTCGTCTTCTTCTCCTTCTTCTTAGCCTTCTCCTGCGCCGTGAAACCTTTCGGCGGCGGATTCTGATACGCTTCCAGTGTCCTCGCCGATATATAGAAATTAATCCCCTTGTAAAGCGCATGAGATATCCTTTTCTGCCGTATCTTAGGAGTAACCCTTGTCTATTTATCTTTACTGTTCGCCAGCGATTCCCGTAAAACACTCTTATGCGTCTGTTTGGTCTCCTTAGTCGATACCATCGTCCACTGCGGAATATGCTCACCTTTCTAAATCCATATCTTAAAATAAACAATAAAAGACTAGTTTAGGAAGGTAATTCAAAGTCAAATCTCAATCATAAAAACAGAATAATTTAGATAATAAAATAGTTTTTTAAACATTTTGTACTATCAAGGCAGTTTTGTATCCATAGCCGCTGAGCAATATATTTTGCTACAAACAATTCATATTTGGTTTTGGTGAAATCTAATGAGTCGCACTGATGGTGAAAAACCAATGGCAAAAGAAGCAAGGATTTAAGGTGAAGACGTCGGTCAGTTTTTAGAGCGGAGTGTCTCTATATCGTATTAAAAACGATTAAGTCTAAATTGAATACGATTCTTGATGGAAAATTCTATGTGCTACTAAATTGAGATGTAGAAGCAAAATGTATTTTAGGATGAGAAGAGGTGATTAAAACTTTCTGAAGCACATGTTTTCATCCTTCCCAAATTAATAACACCTGTTTTGACCCTTTCACTCTAAAGATTTCTTCTCACTGTTTGCCAAACAATTCTTTTGATGTTAGTTCGGAGAATTTGGTATTGGATAAACTTATATTCTCCTAATTGGAATGTTCTTTATTCTCGTCACTTCCTTGCTTGATACCGCATTAACATCGTCGGGAGAAATTCTTTCCTGGTCACTCTTGGGAGTGGAAGGGTTTAGCTCTCCATCATTAGTTTCAGTTTACCTGACCAAATATTGTCTTCGTCCGATTCTAAAGATCAGTCTGGTTCCCCTTCTATAAATCATCCTCCATCTCCTAGCGTAATAGATTCGCATTACGCTGCGTCTAATTCGTCTTCGGATCCTCCGTCTGCGTCGCCTTCTTCTTCTTCTACGCCTTTTTCTTCTCCTGGCTCGTCTCCTCCTTCTCCTGTACCTTCTCTTTCTTCGTCTGATCTTTCGTCTGCGCACTCTTCGCCTTAGCCTTTGCCGTCTCCTTCTCCTCTTCCTCAATCTTCTAAGACGTCTCAGACGTCGCAAAGATCTTGCGCGTTTTGCGAATCCCTTGCGGCCTAACCTTGACCATTTTCCCCTCCTTGTATATCCTTTTCTTCGCCTTGTTATTCTACGTGTAGACCTAATGATCAATCGTCCGCGGCGGATCCGTACTTTTCTGTATCTTCTTCCAATGCGCACGACCAGCTTGCGGCGTTTGTAAACAACCCGTCTCCACGTCCTGTGATAACGTATTTTAAGAAGGCTTTTCCCAGATAGAGTAAACCATCGTCTGTTGCGCCACATCCTCCAGCGGCCGCCACGATATCTGTGCGTGAGAGTATAGAAAGTTAACAGGAGTAATTTTATTGGTGTCTTTCAAAGTTCCTTTAATATTTCTGAAAAAACACGTAAAGCTAGATATTCGTGAAAACAAAGCAAGGCATCCCTCAGCACTCAAGGCCTCTTATCGCGATCCAGGTTACTTACTGCGTAATCGCGAAGGGTAAACTTTTTACAGTCAAATGTTTGTTAGCGTTATAATGGATGAGAGGTCACGCTGTAGGTCACCTTTCCCTGACCTCTTGCAGGGTCATCTTTCCTTGACCACTTTGCAGGGTAACACTTGTCAAGACCCGTGTTGACCCGGGAAGAATGATTGAAATCTCCCCAATTGTATCAGCAAAACATCGGCCCAAAAACTTAGCCGGGTTGGCAATCTCACTCAAATAGACATGATTGTTTTGTTTTACTTGTTTCAACATTATGATCTTGTACCCCTTCGGTCAAACAAGAGTTTGCTGCCTTTAAGGCCTTAATCTTCTGGATTTTGGTCAGTAAACGTGTTGACCAGGGTCATTACGAAACCAAACCACATAAAACACAGACAGACAACCTGCTCTCTCGCAACATATTGTTTTCATTACTCTTTGCGGCTACAAATCCAAATGATGTAAGGAGGCTCATAGTTGGAAAAATATATGCCTCGGTACAGTTATTAAGATAAAATTTCTCAGGGTCTGCTGCGAGTTTTTTTTTTATATCTCTATAAATCACTAGCATATAAGTCGCAATAATATGGGAATTGCCCGAAAGGGATTTCGTACATCATGCTAAGTTTCTTTAAAGAGTAAATGACAAAAGTAAATAAGTGAATGAAATAAATTTTTTGTAACAGGCATCAAAGCTAAATACTTTAAAATCAGTTGCTTCACATTATTGAGCTAACTGATTTTGAGATAACTGATCACATCAGAGCACGAGGATGGTATTTTCGAGCAGATTTTATAAAATTTGCCATAGAATAACATTATCTTGACAAGTTAAAGAATTGGGCGTCTGTTTGCCAAAATTTAGTCATAGTCATGTCACAGTCGATCAATCTTTTTAAAAACAGATATCCATTTGGGAGTCAAATTCTAAAACTGTACCTTATCTTTCTCACTCCTCTCCTGATGCGGACGCACAAGTATCCTCTGCGTCTGAACGCTCTTCTCCAGCGACGTTTATATAAAAATCGCATCTTGAAGCGACGAGATCTCGGTCTACGTCTTCTTCCTCTCCACAGCCTTCTTCCTCGTAGTCGTCTTCTCATATTTCGCATTCTTCTTCTTCTGTATTTTCTTCTTAGCCTTCTTCTACGTTGTCTCCTCCTTCTGTTTCGTCTTCGTCTTCGTCTTTTAATTCTCCTTCGTCGCCTCCTAGTTCTTCGGCGTCGCCTTCGTACTCTTCTTCTCACTTTTCTTCGTCGCCTTCTTTTATATCCTCGCTTTCGCCGTATAATTCTCCTCCATTTTCGTCGGATTCTGACTCTAACCCTTCCTCTTCGGATCTTCACTCGGCATCTTCGCCTTCCATATCGAACACGGAAAGCTCGATTGTATCTTACAACTTTTCTCCATTTACGATTTATCTTGATTCTGAGTCGCCTCCTAGTGGGTATCCACCTCCCACGACGACGTACAAATATTCTGCCTCTGCCACATCTTAATGACAAATGAAAAGGAAGAGGAGATTCAATCAGCGCTGTACAAACAAAAGTTAGCTATTGAGTTCTAAGTTCTGAACCTGGGGGGATATTGATCCTTCGAAAATAGGGGTATTTAAGTTAATTTGCGTGATTTCACAGCCCCCATCCAGAAGTTGACGAAAGCTAGCTAGTATAGCAACAAAAAAGTAAATAAATTAAAGAAGAAAATTTAGCATTTTTGAACAGGTGCACATGGTTAAACCGATGAAAAAGGGAAGAAATTTCCCTTTCCGTCCCCCTTTCTCAACTCGCCAAGCAGATGCGGGCTTTTTCTTTTTTTCTTCTTTTTTTTTATTGCTGAAATGTTTCAATCAAAGCACGCATGTGTGAGAAACAGATGACGATAAGAGGAACAATAGTTTTACCTGATTCTTCTTGACTTTCCTCTGAATTGGAAGTATAATTTTCCTCCCCGGCGATAAACGCTTCTCCACTTGCGATAATATTTCAGTCTTAAAACGCTGTAACGCTGTCGCCTTTGTCGACGGCGTCTTCTTCTTCTAGCTCTGCGTCTTCTCCTTCGTTTTTGTCTTCTACGCCTTCGTCGTCTACGCCTCTTTCTCCTCGTCCTCCTTCTTCTCCTTCGTCTTCGTCGGTACCTCCTTCGTCTACGAAGTCGTTTCCTTCTTCTCCTGATCCTTCTCAATTTTCTCTTTCTCCTGAGGCGTCGCCGATGCGATCGCCTTCGACGTCGATACTTTCGAACTCTGCGTCCCCTCCATCGGTTCCTTGGTCTTCTTCTTAGCGGCATCCGCCTATTCTTGCTCCAGATTGCTACTGGCGTTCGTGTTAGATCTATTTTTCTGTAGGTTCTACGGTAGCGCACAGCTAATCCTCGTCTTCTGTTGGTCACACGTCTCCATCTTCCTAACGCATAAACTCTAAGCCTACTAAGGGGTAGTGCTGTCGGTCTTCTTTTCCGTCTAAAGATAAGTCGACCTCTCAAGTACCTAGGAAATTTCAAAGAAAAAAAGATATTATTGCAATTGGTGGTATTATTGGTGTTCTTTTGGACACACACACACTGAGACCAATATTTGAATGCAAGGAAATGTCGGAAGTCACTTTTGACTACATTTAGACGACCTCCTTCCCCGAAAAAAAATATTAGCACAAATTTCAAAGTGATCGAAACAAGAACGTTTTTCTCTCTTTTCAAGCTCCTAAATGATCCTGAGAACAGTGTAAGCACCTGATTGTTTTAGTCCTCCCCATGAAACGGAAAATTAGGCGTCCATTACGTTGGTACACCTTTCTCCATCTTCTGTACAATCTTATCTTCAGTACACAACCACGTCTTCGTCTAAGGCGTCGACCCCGTCTTCTGGTTCCATATCGTCTCTGCTTCCGCCTTCTCCTCATTCGTCGTCTTCGTCTTCTCCGCCTTCTTCTCCTCCTTCGTCTTCTTCTGAGCCTTCTCCTACGTTTCTGCCTCCTAAACCTTCTTCGCCTTCTCCTTCTGACACGTCGACGCCTTGATCTTCGCCTAGTCAATCGAGGACGTCGATAAGAAAACCATCGCCGCCCTATCCTTAATCCATTTTTGTAGAATCTGAGATGTTGGGTTTTCCTCTTGTAAAGAATCTTGAACCTCGGAAGGAGTTTTCGCCAGTACCTTATCTTGACTTGAATGCGCGTGCGCGGCAAATTAATTGATCTCTTCCCTCTGCGGCTAAGTCTAATTGAGTGGCGGTGGAACCTGGAGTAAAAAATCGAAATGAAAAAGAAAGATAAGGGATTGGACAAAGTTGATGACAATATTTTCTGGTACCACTTCCTTTAATTTCCCTACGTCTAATTATTGTGTTTATATTTCATCTCTACCACGTCTTCGTAGCATCCATCTCAGTCACAATTCCTTCGAAAAGTGACAAAGCTTAAAGGTGCCGGCGAAAATAGCAATTGTACAAAAGTCACATGAGCGTAGCTAATTTAACAAAGAAATCAAAAAAATATTACCCAAATTATGTCAATAATCAATATGAAATCATTAAAAAAATTAAAGAAAAGTAACATTTCTATGGTGAACCTTTCCTGAACCTTTTCTAACACACAAAGTACAAGGGTGTTCAACCATGAGAAGGAAGAAGGCTGTTTACCACCCCAAATCACATTTGACGGAAAAAAAACCTAAATTGATAAATTAATCAAAATATTGTCACCTGGCTCGGTATATTGTTCTTTTATATCTGACGATATATCCTCTTCTTCTTCTGATTACATAATTCCATCTTCCGTTGAAATAAACTCGTATCCTACTGCGACGCATTTGTCTTCTTCGTCTTCGTCTACGCCGTACTTTCCTTCTCCTTCGCCTTCTTGTCCTTCTTCGTCTTCGCCGCCGTTGTCGTCGCCTTTTGCGTCTGTATCTCCTCCTTCTCCTCAACTTTTTCTTCCTCCATTTTCCTCTGCGTCGTCTACCTCGCCTGCCCCAGCTTCTTCCACGGACTCGACGTTTTCTAAGTTTACGCCACCTTCTTCCCAACCTTAGGCAAACTCTTCCACGTCGGAGTCGAATTCTTACTTTCCTCTTTCGGTAAGTAATACTCCAGCGTCTTCGGTATCTTCGCACATAGCGCCATCGTCTTACCAGAACTTTTAGGCGTTTGGAGGTTCTCAGTACCTTATGCCAAGTCTTTCGTTTCCCTCTCAAGTAAATAGAACCTCGAAGGAATCTAGTCAAGCAAGAAAAGTATCAGAAAGAATAAGTAAGATAGAAACATCAAGAGGAAACAGCTATGATCAGATACACGAACATATGAAACTACTGGGCTCGTTAAATAACATTGTCACCCGGCGAACATTCACATATTCATTCACAGTATAAAGTGATCGATTCATCTGCTTGTTGTTCTTCGTTACAATATGAGTTTTTCATGCTTATTGGCTCCGTAGTTGTATTGGATAGTATGTTTGAAGATACCTTGATATCGGCGCTATATAAGTATTATTGTTATATTATTATACCTTAATGGTCTTTGCCTTCCACCGTACGTGAACGTATATTTTCCGCGAGATCGGATTACTGTACGCCACCTACGCCGCCAAAAGAAGCGCAATCGGCTGCCCCGTTTCTTTCGTCGTATGTAATTCAACTTCCGACGGTATCGTCGTCGTCTTCTACGCCTCCTTCGTATTCTCCTTCTTCGTCTTCGCTTTCGACGCCTGATTAATCTTCGTCTTCTTCTTCTCCATTTTCTTACTCCTCGTCGTTTTCCATATCGTTTACGCCTTCCGACTGTTCTCCAGCGGTTTCGGACACGTAAACGCACCTTCCCTCTTCTGAAGACTATTCTTGTCTGCCGTCGGTGGATGACAACCCAGTATTTTTTTCTGTAAAATCGTACATTCCTGTACCCTCCACGTAACCTGATCATAATCTTTCCATAAAGCCTTCTCCATTTTCGTCCAAAATAGAAGTACACGCCCTTACGACGGAATCTGTACAAAAATCAGAACATAAGGGGTCATACCACGAAGGAGATATCAAATAATCAGTGCATTTACTCATGAAAACTACTGTTTATTTACAAGGGCCACAACCAATTGATCAAGCAGAATTATCTTAAAATATAGACTACAAATTGAAGGAATCTTGCCTCTGCTTTTAATGCAGAAGCTGACTTGAGATCAATATAAGACTTTCTTTGAATTAAATAAAGCGGAACATATTCATTATCAGAGTTAAGTCGATAACATCCCAAGAATGTCTCAGTTTACTCAATTTTAGTCTTGCTTTTAATTAATGGAGAGTACTTAACTTTCCTGAAACTCGTTTTAAGAAACGGAAACTGAAATCTTGATGTCATACCTAACTGATCTTATTCTTCGCTTGTATCGTAATACAAATCTGTTTCGTCTTCGGTATACAACCATGGATTTACCGCGGTAACGGACAATGATCCGTGAAACATTCCTCCTGACTCGTCTCCTTCGGCGTTTTCGTTTCCTTTGTCTCCTTCGTCGCCTCTGCCTTCTTCGTCTTCGCCTCCTTCTTCTTCGTCTTCTACTCCTTCTTCTTCTCCTTCTTCGTCTCCTACGCATCCGCCTTGCTCTCCTTCCTCTTCTATATCTTTGTAAGGGTACCCATCGACGGAACCGTCGTATTGTCACTCCCCATTTGCGGAGTTTCAACCTTTTCATTCTTCGACCCACCCGAAGGTAGACTCTTCCTCCTCGTAATACTACTCTACGCCATGTTTTGTAAAAAACTCGAACAATTCTCACCGGGTTTCTAAAAGTACGCCATCGCCGTCCAAATTTATATTGGAACTGTCTCCTGTAAAATCTGACAATCGGAATGACAAAAATTTCAATTTTGAGTTTTATATGAAACTGAACTTAAACGCTTCTAGATACTTTAAAAAGCTGTGCACATGAAAAGTTTCTTGTAATGGCAGAAACAAACGTTTCCAAACTCTCTTTTAAATCATTCAGCTCTCAAGAAATCACCCATTATTAACTGTTTAACAGAATCTCGCTCACCCTATCAACTTATTGAGTACAGCGAGTACGAACTCTACTCCATCACCATGGATTGGTTGATCTGTGACTTACAACCATGGTTTTCGGTTCCCCTTAACAAAAAGCGTGTTGGTGAAATGAGAACCACTCAATTTTCAAACAGACAATATTTGTCTTTTGAGAAACTTGGAATTATCATGAAGCTATCTCTCCTCCTCATCACCCGCTATTCTTTGCAAGATGATGATGATGTTGAATTTTTTTTAACAAATTCAATACACAACCCAAAGGCAAATTCTGTTGTGAAGTTTTCAAGTACGCATTAATAATGACTATGGAGCATACCACATATCTCGCTCTCAAAAATCATATGGTTACCTGACTATTACTCGTCGTCGTTTATAGACAAAACTCAATAATTTTCCTCGCCGATACACTGGTCTCCATCTTCGTCGCCATCTAATTCGAATGACACATCTGAGACGCCGTCTTCGTTGTCGCCGTATTCTTCGTCTTCTGCGCCGGATAAGCCGTCTGCGTCTACGCCTGCGCCTTCTTGTCATGCGTCTTGTTCTTCGCCTATTAAACTTTCCTCGTCGGCCTCTCAATCTGGGTCTGATTATTTTCCATCCCTTTATGGATCGCCACCTGATCCTTCCTCCACGGATAAGCAACTTACGGTACTTACGCTTGTAGCGCAGGTATGGGCGTTTTTTAAAGAAACGTACGCGGCGCCATCTTCTAAACCAGACTTGGACATTTCGTACTGTTTTCCATCCCCGCTTTCGCTTAAACATCAACCTTTTGCCCACGTATCTGTTAATCGAAACGGAAGAGCATTTCCTTAAGGATACTCGACACTCTGGCATTAAAATCGTCTCTTTGTGACCTCAAGAAAAAATAAAGTTTGTTTTTTTGTTCACTGAACATTTTGTACTGATCTAAATGAGTTAAAGTAGCAAAGATGGGCTTGAAGAAAACTGTTTAAAATGAGATATAAAATAGATGGCCTAAAAAGAAGGAAAAGACAGAGGGATCGTATCAAATTTTACCGAGTTACGATCTTAACTAACAAGTACACATAGCTCACATGGTTTGAAAGTTGAGGTGAACATACCAGGTACATGATCTACAAGTCGATTTCTTTCTTAAGATAATTACTCACCGAACATATCGTACTCTGTTTCCTATTCTCACTACTAGGCGACCACGTTTTCGATACACTGGCCTCCAGCGACGCCCGTATCGAATACGCATCACACAACCCCGTCTTCGTCTTCGACGTCTTCGTCGTAATCCTCTACGTCTTCGTTTCTGGCGCCTCCTCCTTCTCCTTCTTCGCCGGCGCCTTTTACTCCTTCTTCGTCTCCGGACCCGTCGTCTTCTTCTTCTCAGTATTCGCCTCAATCTTCTGCGCCTGTGTCGTAGACTGTAAGTGCTAATTTTCCTGTAGGTTCTATTGAACTTGATAAAGAACCGTGCATGTCGTGTCTTAAATATTCGCCGTCTTCGTTTGTAGGTAATCATCCACCTACCACGATATGTAACTAATCTACGCCATCTGCCATTCACTCGCACTATTGTAGTGGGACGCCGCAGAGTTAGTCGTCTTTTTCCATAAATAGTAAGTCTTCCCCTGTGGTAACTGTGGCAAAAAATGATATGTAAGGAACAAAGCCGGAACTCTAGGGGCGGGAAAAACTGACGTAAAAGTAAAGGAAGCAGTTACGAAGGCTCAAAAGGTGTCCGTGGTTGTTTAATGTCTCAATCAAATCGCTATCTTTTTGCCTATTATAGTATCATAATAATACCCGATCAACACCGCCAATTTAGGGAGTCCCTCCCCCCAGCACAAGAAGTTACCAAGACAACACATCCTCTTGAAAAACACCCTTTGATTCAGCTTTTTTTAGCCGTAACTTTTAAAACCAATCCCGAGACACCATTCCTTTTTTTTCTGGCAAAATAGCAATCAACAAGCCAAGTTTTATCTATTAAAAGTTCCTGCCTTATAGGTTCAGAGTCTGTTTAATTGTTGAAAAATCAAGGTGGTTCTGAACCTACACTAGGGATGTTGTCACCTTGGCAGAGAAATGAACTTGCTAAGCAGTTATTAGGGATACTTTTGATACCATTTTCAAGGAAACAATAATAGCGTTAGGCAATCAAAGAGTTTAGTCTTACAAAAAAAAAAAAAAATTGTTCTGAGCCACCTAAATCATGAATAATCTCTCTATCAGATTAATCTTTGTGTTCCTCGTTTTGCAGCCACTCAGTTCTCTGAGAGTTTTCATCTTCGAGGTGGCCCTTAAATTCTTCAGTTGCGAACTGTTTCTATCAAACTGAAGGATGGCTAGTCCTACTCGCTGTCATATTTTACTTTTTTGACTCACGTAATTTGCTCGCTCTGCACGATTGATTTCTCTTTGCTACCGAACCTTAACGATACGCTGTAAAAAATGACCGAATTACAATACCAGCCAGCTAATCTTGAAAATTTTGACACCAACAATCATAACAGTTTCCTACAACAGCTAACGATTTACTCGATCAGTCTGAAAAGAGACACGTAAATCGTACTGATAACTCGAACGGCGATCATTTTCCAAATGACAGTGGACATATATCACTTTAAAATTACTACGTACGGCAAATACTCACCTGATTCTTATGAACTTTCTCCCTCTGCGAATTACCAGTCTGTTCCCAATACGATATACCTTCCTCAATCTTTTTCTGTACCTGAAACGCATTACACAACGGCGGCGTTGTCGTCGGCGACGTCTCCTTCGCTTTCTTCGTCTCCTCCTAAGCCTTCTCCTTCTTCGCTGCCTTCGCCTTCTTCTTCGTCGTCTTTGTCTCCTTCTAGTTCGCCTTCTCCTTCTTCGAAGTCTTTTTGTTCTCCTCCTTCTTCCTCTCACCCTTCTGAAACGACGACGGAGTCCTTTTCGTACTCGTCGGCTTCTTCTTCTCCTCTTCCTCCGTCGAATTCGTCGCCTTCTGCGTCTTCTTCGTCTCCTTCGTCTTCTCCTTTTTCTTCGTCGCCTTAACACTTTCCTTCTATGTCGGTATCGTATCCTCTTTCGCCTTCGCAGACGTCTCAAAAGTCGTCGCCGCTTCCTGATAATTCTACGTTTAATCCTCTTTCTCCTTCGCCTGGAGGACATCCATCTTCTTTTAAGTTTCCGCCAACGCCTCCCATATCGGTATGATACCGATCCTCGTATGATTCTTAAAGGCCTCATTCTTCTTCTGTAACGGAAGGCGAAGCCTTTGCGATACTTTCGTAGCGTACGCCAGACTCTGGAGATTCGAACTTGGACTCTTGTTCTTGTAAGAACACGTCTTCTTCGCCTGTAGTAAACTATTAACCTTGTTCTATATAACCTGGAATATGAAAAGAAACAGAGAAAGGCGTCAAATTTATCAAGTATAGGGGAGACCTAATGGCTCATTAGTGAATGAAAGACAATGTATATTGGTAAAAATTTATTATGTTCTTAACCATTAAGGGAAACCAACATTAGTAACGGCAATCTGATCCTGCGAAGAAAGGTTGCTAAGTCGTGGAGGATGCTACGGACTGCCGGAAACGTCGAAAGTTTCGTGAAATTATCATGATAATCAGATTGTTCACAGAATAAAAATCCACAAGTTAAATTCTGAATCACATAGTTTTTACGTTGTTGCTAAGATAGAAAACGTTTCTGGCCGCTTCATAATGCTCAGACTTGCTCAGACTAATACAAAAACCACAAGGTGCGCGATGTTCTTCACGCATACGACTTATGACGTCATTCGAAATGGCGCAGAGAAAGCAGACGGTCGACGAAAAAATCTTAAAAGAAATCACCCCAGAAACCACAGGAAACCCAAGATTATGAATTGCGTTCTCTTTTGTCGAACACAATAAATCATGAAAACTTCAGGAGGCCATAGAAACTGCCATAGGTTTAACCGCCTTACCTAACACGTCCATATTCTCTCTTCATACGGAAAACGAACGTTCTTTCTCTGGGATAAAGCCTCCTCCAAAGTCCTCGGAACCTGAAGCGCAGAACACACCGACGTCGCCTTCTTATTTGCCTTCTTCGTCTTCGTCTCCTCTTTCGCCTTCTTATCTTTCGTCTTCTTCGTCTCCTTCTTCTCCTTCTCCTTCTGCGTCGTCTTCTTCTAGATCTTCTTCTCCTTCGTCTTCGATTTCTTTTTCGTCTTCTCCTTCTCGCTCGTTTTCCTCCTCTTCGTTTTCTTTTAATGAGTCGCCAGCGTCTTCTCATACGGAGCCTTAGTCGGCCGCGATAGAACTTCAAGACCCGCATCCTATTTCTGAAACGGATGCCAAATTTTCGACCGAACCGGACCATGCGTACCCATTTTCTTCCCATTCGGATGTTAACTCGGTAATTTCTCTTTATCCAACGCCTTCCGAACTTGATGTAGGTTACACCCCTCGTGAATCTAATAGTAATATTTTAAAAGGAAAAATAAATATTGAAAATCTACGTAACGCTATTTCCATTTCCAATTCAAACATCCCACGACGACACCTTTTTTTTTCATCTTCAATCAAAATGTGTAACTATTTCTTCACTATTAGACTCAAATAACTGAGGCAATTAATTATTCCAGTGAGTCTGTTCATCTTATTTTCTCGTATTGAGTGATAAGCTTGGTTAGACTGGTTTAAAAAGGTTTAAAGTTTCTGGTGGCTGGCACTGGCTAACTGTAGATATGCTTTATCAGCAAACTAAATTAGATCCACGAAAATGGTTTTGTCTTAAAGACTTGTGTTCTTTGAAGGCAAAAACCTCAACTAATTACTATGTTCTTTTCAAGAATGCATGTAATGCATACTGGTTGAAACAACACCAACTGAAAGGGAACTGTCCCCTTTGATCGGACACTATCCGGAAAGTACGAATATATAAATTACAATCAAATCAGAGAACCATTGGCTACACTACCTGATGCGCCTAAAAACCCTGTGGATTCGTATCTTCAAAACACCTCTCTTCCTAATGATAGGAAGCCAGCGTCGTCCACGGCGGACTCGTATGACGCATCTTCGAAGCCGTCGACGTCTTCGTCTTCTTCGCCGTCTTAGCTTTCTCCTGTATCTTCGTTTTCGCTTTCTTTGCCTTCTTCGTCGCCTTCTTCTTCTTCTACTGATCCGTCGCCTCCTTTTTGTCCTCCTACTCACTCTTTTTCTGATGCGCCTCCAACGTTTCCCGATTTTGATTTTAGGCAATCCTCTGTAGAGTGTTACCCTTCGATATCTGCGTCCATATTTAGCAAACAAGTAGCGACCCTTCTTACGAATCAGTCTCCAAACGCCTCTGATATAGACCCGCAGGCGATATCCCAGATTACGGACTAGAATCCATCTTCTTTTCAACCTGAGCCTGAGCACTCCGCGATGGTACCTGAAACGAGAGAAGGAAAAATACTATTTTTTTTTAACTCGTGGTACACACACAATGCAAATAATTAGTTATTGAAGTGACTTGATATGCCAATGTATTAGTGGCCTGCTCCGGTGTAGACTATGCCATCAGAGGACCGCAGACCAGAGTAATGGGGTTATTGGCGACATATTTCGGATTCTTCGTTTTTGTCGATTTGTTTTCATTTTTTTTCTTGCCTTAACAAATGGTATTATTGAAGATTTCCCAAACGATTCGAAAAATCAAGAAATCAAAACGCATGAAAGTCTCAGAAAAATCGAAGTTTGAATAATTTTATTTCACAAGCCATAATTAAAACGCATATGGCATCCTTTTACACAATTAGAGAGTCTGAGGATACGTTACTCTCTTCAAAAAATTAAAATATTTTTTTTATGAACCAATCATCTCATCGGACCTTATTAGAAAGAATCAAAGATCGTAGATATAAATGGGGTTACATGGTTTTTCCTTCACATTTGAACCAAACCTTGGTTGAGTTTCTGACTAATTGGCATATTTTAAAAAGTCGGATATCTATGGAACGAAATAAGATATTTGAAAACAGCATTTTTCATCTTGAAGAAACTATTTGTATATACTTAAAATAGCTTAGATTAAATAGATGCAATTTCACAATAGTAAGAATTGAACAGATCAAAGGCATCCGTAAAAGTTTATCGTGATTTTTTACGCCATTATCTTCTCTTTTTTCACTTTCTTGTATAAAAGAAAAAAACAAACCGTAGATTTTCATCTTGAAGCACCAGTACAACACTGAGCTGTTCGAGTGACAAGGGACTATGAAACCCGTGTCTTACCATATACTTACCACTTGCCGATCAATTTCAAAGGGTAAGACAGCGGAAAGCCGTGAAGCTTCCGCGATTACATCTCCCAGTTCTGAACAAGAGGTTTGGAACCTCTGACCCTCACAGCAGCTATACCAAGGAAGCCTTTACCTCCATAAACCCCGAACAGCCACCAAAGGACAGTTGTGTACAAAGTGACGACAATCAATTCAAAGTAAATTGCGTAAAGCACCATGATCGAAAGACTAAAAGGAACAAAGGATTTCCTTACCTTAGATAGTGGAGTTTTCCATGAAATCGGAAAACCAGGCGTTTTTTCCATCTGAAAATGCTTCTCCAAATTTTTCTATAACGGAAACGCAGGGCACAGCGGCGCTTTCGCCTCAAAAGCTGTCTTCGTCTTCTTCGACGTCGTCTTTGTCTCCGTCGTCGTCTTCTCGCCTTTCTCCTGAATCGTCTTCTTTTTCTCTTCAGTCTCCTTCTCAGCCTCTTCTTTCTTCCTCGTCTTCCATAACCGCCTCGTCTACGAAGTCTTCGCCGCCTTCTACGACGTCGTCTTCGACGTCTTCTACGCCGCCTTCGTTTACGTCTTCGTTGTCGTCTTCTTTTCCTTCTTCGTACCTTTCTGAGTTGTCTTCGTCGCAACTTTCGGAGCCTTCGAAGTCTCCTCAAGTATTTCCTCGTGTACCTTACTCTGCGCCTCCTTCCTCGGTACCTTAATCGTCTCCACCCTTTACGCGTGAAAACTCTTACTCCCCTTCTCGTTAGTCGGAGTTGTTTGCCTTTGCCATAAAGTTTAGCACCAAGTCGCCGCACCTTTACCCATCTTCTCCCCACATATACTCGTATTCGGCGGCTTCTCACGAGAACCCGTCTCTTTTTGAGGCGGATATATAATCGTCGGTTCCTGTAACTATAATTTTAAAGATAAGAAGGGTATTACTAATCATTGAAAAAATGTGATACGGAGTCATCCGAGTAATGAACTAAATTTTAAAAGCTGTAGTGAATTTTATAAAGGTGGCGTTTCGAGCATTAGCTCTTTATCGGAGGAAATTAAAGATTGTAGTTTGTATAAGTGTTTATATGGTGAAAAATGGGGTTATACTGTTGAAGTGGACAGACTAACAGATGATATCTGAATATACAAATAGATTAAATGTGGGTCGTTCTTTACTTGAAGAGGTAGCCAAGGTGCTGATTTGTAAAGAAACAGTTTTGTTGTTGTTTTGTTTTTTTTTGCAATGTTCTGTGTTACCTTTGTGGAAAGAAAGCCCACAGACAACTATGGTTTTAAAAAATGACCGGGAAGATTAGATCGGGCATAAAGACATTGTTGCCGTAGCTTTGAGGTCTCTCCGATGTTCGCGAAAACGATCCTCTGCTTTATTACAATCTCCCAAATTGCTCCGAAGAAAGGGCAACGATTTAAATGTCAGAAATCGTTACGGCGGTTCATCTCCCTTTATCAACTTAGGTACTTATGGTGACGCACCACCACAATTTCTTTTTAGATGATCATCGACATGATCCAATTTTGCTACAATACAATTCATTTTGTACAGGAAAACTCCCGTTGGAATGATATGTCATCTATTTTGTCACGATTCAAAACTCTAGCTCCAGTCTATATGACATAAAAGTTCATGAAAAGTGTCTGAGCGACACTAAATTTGCAAAATACCTCACTGTCACATATCGCCTCCTTAAACGCATCATCAGCCGGCCTCTTCTACTATACACTGGTCTGAATCGACCGCCATAACGAATACGCAACACACATCCTGATCGCCTTGTGCGCCTTCTCCTCCGTTTTCTTCTTATTCTTCTTCGCTGTCTCCGGCGCCGCCTCCGCAGCTTTCTCTGTCGTCGCCTTCGTCTTCGTCTCCTCCTTCGCCTTCTTCGCCGTTGTTGTCGCCTCCTTTTCCTGCGAAGGATTCTTCTTCTTGGATATCTCCTACGCCTCTTTAATGTTTTCCATCCTTTTCCGGTAAAAATCTTTAGTCGCCTCTTCGTTATCGACACAGGTCTTAGTCTTCTTCTCCACGTGACCGTCAATTTACGGCGTCTTAGCTTTATTCTCCTCCATACTAAACCGACCCTTATCTTGAGCCGGTTATTAATTGGTTGATATCGTCCCCTTTTTCCTATTTTTACACGGGACCCTCGTGGTCTGAAAGATAAAACAACGCCAATTGTTTCGTAGTAGGCCTGGCTTTATCTTTGTCTGATTACAAACAAAGTGTCCACTTAATAACATAATCCTTGTAATCTCATTGACTCTGAAAAATTAAATTTAGTCACTGATCACAATTCTTTTATCTCAAAGTGGCATCGGAGTGGAGCAAAAAAACAAAACAACCAAGCAATCAAACTACGAATTTTTTTGAAAGAACCAGTAAAATTGCATGGAAAATAAAGAAAAAGGAAATGATACCTGTTTAGTATTAAGTCAATCTCACACGTAAAGGTCGCACGAGTTTCAATCACGGATGTGATTTTACTAAGTTAATTCAACCCGGTGAATAATTCGATTACTATTTCTAATACTATCCGTCTTAATCGAGCTTTTACTTTTTTCAAGGTAGAGAAATGACATTTGCCGTTCACTATCCTTGCCAGAGACTAGCACTTATTATGAATAAGCAATGTCAGTTTGGTTAACTGCGGTGTAAGTATTTAAAACCTTGCATTCAAAGCTACCCAACTACTTTGAAAGTGTTAGAGAAGTTATCCAACTCAAAACTTTCAGTATATAATTAAGAATGGTACCTCCATGATCGCCATCTTCGTCCTATTTTGATGTAGAAACGTCTGCCTTTTCGAACGACTTGTCTCCACCTGCGGCGAAGCTGATAGCGCATCACGCACCTTAGCCTCCTCTTTCTCAATTTTCTGCGCCTCCTTCGTCGCCTTCGTCGCCTTCTGCGACGTCTTCGTTGTCGTCGTCGTTGTCGTCTCCTTCGCCTCCGTCTTCTCCTTCGTCGTCGCCTGAGACGTTTTCTTCGTTTGATGAGCTTTCGCCGTTGTCTTCGTAGCCGTCCAATCCTCTTCCAACCTATTCTGTAACGCACTCTGACTTGACCTCCTCTCAATATTGTGATCTTTCTGTACTTCCTTCCTTTACGAATGCACAGTCTTCCGCGACGAACCGTTAAGCGAGTCCAATGACGTCCTGTCCAGATCCTCACTCTATTTCGTAAACTTCGAATTGGACGCCATCTGCCTCCCCGCTTCCTTACATACACGACACCTCTGAGGTACCTAAGTTTAGGTTTAAACCAAAATAAACACGTTAAAAAATGCTTCTGTTTAAAGTCATTTGTTTAAAGTAACGTGGTAAAGTCAACTGATTTGATAATGTTATTTGGCCACCATTAGAGTTTTAAAGTTGACGTTTCGAGCGTTGGCCCTTTCGTCAGAGTTTCGCTCTAAAGAAGGGCTAACGCTCGAAATGTCAGCTTTGAAACTCTTAACGGTGGCCAATTTACCTTGTTATACTCTCCCACTAACGGAGCACCACAGTTTTTTTAGAAGCGTACCTCACTAATTCATTTTGCTCAAAAGCCTTCCAGCGGAAAAAAAGAAAAAATTGTACTATCTAGCTCTTCTATTAACCTCCTTTCTTACCTGAATCCCATGTAAACCTTTCCGACTCGGAAGAAAAGTCTTCCCTTCCTTGGGAACACTTTCCTCACACGTCTTCCATATCGGAACAGAATAAGTCTCCTGCGCCTTCTATTTCTTCTCCGCCTTCGCCTACGTGTTCGTCTTCGTTTTCTTCGCCTGTATCTCCTTCGTCGCCTTCGCCGTTTTCGTCTTCTTCTAGCTCTTCGTCTTCTGCGTCTTCGTTTCCTAGCCCTGTTCTTTCTGAGTTTCTTATATGGTCTTCGTCCTTTAAAGCTGATCCATTTCCTATTATACCTCAGTTTTATAACTCGTCCAAGTATGATCTTTCTGTACTTTCTCGCGTATCTTATGAACAGCCCTCGGCGCCTTACTAGCACGTACCGCCACCTTCTTACAAAGTAAATCATCAGCCGCCTCTGTAGAGGAGTTTTCCTCGCACCCACTCTCACTGACCTTTTTTGGAACCTGAACAAGAAAAGAACTAAACTGTCTGTCCTCGGAAAAATATGGCAAGTTTTTGATTTTTGAGTTATAAGCACATTAAGCTAAAATTGAAGGTTTTTTCTAAGAGGCTGTGGTATTTTTATGGTAGGCTTACAAAAAAAATATACTTCTCAATTGTTCAGGAAAAATTGCGCTTTTGGTTGATACTATTTTAAAGGATAGAACCCCAAAAGCTGGGTAGAATCAATTTCCGTGAAGACAATAACGTAACTTTTTACGAAATACCATATAATTTTGAACAAACATTGGTTTGGTGTTTCAAAACTTTATTTTGTTTGCAGTAGATATGACCCATAACCTACCTTATTTTCTGCCATCGACGTCCATAAAGGAATTTCCATTCTCCTCCAATCCTGCGCACAGGCCTGAAGCGCCTTCCGTATTTGAATAGAACTGCAGAACGTCTGAGTTGCCTCCTTCGCCTTCGTAACCTTCGTTTTCTTCTATGTATTCTTCGTCGTTTTCGTCGTCGTCTCCTTCGCCTTTGCCGTCGCCTTCGCCGTCTTAAACGTCTAATAATTCTCAATCGCCCCCTCTGACGTCGTCCTAAAAAAATATTCAGGTGAGTAACCTTTAATACAAGTTTAATTGTAAAAAAATGAAATATCAGCCCATTAGTATCAGCTTCTGAACTTATTCTTTTAAAAAAGACTTAACTCAGAGGCTGATACTTCATAGGACCACTGGAAATTACCCTTTACAACAGTTTCATACCAGCACCAGAATATGCATCAAGATCCAAGAAATTGGGAGTTAAATTTAAAAGATAACCGAAATGTACTCTTGGTGAGAGCTCGATGAAATAATCTCAGTCATACAAAGGTATGAGATATTTCATAACGTCTCTTCTCCTGGTTCTAAAATGAGTTGTATTCAAGTGACATTTTCAGTATACCATAATGATTCGATTTAGCGCCCTCCTTCCAGTAAGCGCTCCCTCTCTAATAAGCGACTCCCTCAAATTTTTTTTTGTTATTAAGCACCCCTATTGAGTAAACACCCTCATTCCTATAAACGCCCCTATTCAGTTACAGTAATAGTACTGTTGGAGTACATTTACACTGAGATCAACCTTGGTTCATCTTCTTTTACTTGCTCACTTAAAGCCTCCCGACAAAAACAGTGGTCTTAGTCTCAGTCCCTCAACTATTATGTCGCCGTGAGTGCCGAGTTTCTTCAAACGAAAGTACCGTGTTATACATATACATACATACATATACTTTATTGATGCTCCCTAAGTGGGCTTTTCAGCTCAATATATAAATTAATTGAGAATGTAAATACAATAATATTATAATTACAAAATATATATCAATAATATAATATATCAACTTAATAAAACGTTTGCAAGATGACGTCTAAAATTCCTGGGGCATTTTAAAGACTTAATGTTATCATTCAAGGAGTTCCAGAGTTTGGCTCCTCTGAAAGCAAAGGAGCGCTGCCCTGTTGACAGGCGACATAAAGGTATATCCAAAGCACCAGATGATCGAGTTTGTCTATTATGGACTTGAGAACGTAATTTAAACATATCAGCAAGATAGTCTGGAACAAGCTTGTTAATACATTTGTGCATCATAGTAGCGTCATTTAGAATGAGTTTCTCTCTAATAGGAAGCCATTTCAACGATCGCAACCCATCCGAAATATGGTCATACTTTCTTAGTCCCAGAATAATTCGCCCGGCAAAGTTTTGGACTTTTTGTAACTTGTCAATATTGCTGCTGCTGGTATTACTCCAGACAGTTGAACAATATTGGAGTTTACTAAAGACAAAAGAATTTATTACTAACAGAAGTGTTTTCCTATCCAGGAGGTGTTTGATTCTGTTAATTTGGTACAATTTAAAAAGGCATTTAGAGGCAATCTCAGTGATATGTTGGTTATAACTGAGGTGTGTGTCGAGAAGAACACCCAAGTCCTTAACGACAGGCACAGGTGTTATTTCCTTGTCAAAAAGTGTTATACTGAAAGATGACAGTTTCTTTAAAAGTTGTGGTAATCCAACAGCTAGAACCTTAGTTTTGTCCGGATTAATCAAAAGAGAGTTTTTACAGCACCATTGAGATATTCTCGTAAGATCTTCGTTTAAGGCGAGGATGGACGTGGGTAATTCGGCAGGTGAAAAGGACAAGTACAATTTACAGTCATCAACATAGGAGGCAGATAGACAACGTTTAGGAACAGAAAGGAGGTCGTTAACATAGATTGTAAACAAAACCGGACCTAAAATAGAGCCTTGCGGAACTCCGAACTCAAGTGGGAGTACTTTAGAAACTGCGTCACCTATTCGAACGCACTGTTGTCGCACTATTGTGTTCCATAATAACCGCCCTGTTTCGAATAAGGGCCCTCCCTTGAGATACCAAAAGTAACATAATAAGCGCCCCGGGCGCTAAATCGAATTATTACGGTATGCTATACTAAGGCCACCCTCTTTCCTGTTCCTAGGGATATTTTGTATATTAAAAATTTTTTATTTCGGTCGTGGGTTTCGAGTATTGCTCCATTAAAAATACTTCCGACAGAAACTGCAAAGAGGCAATCGCCATAAAGACGTATTGTCAAAAGGAAGAAATTCAGGAAGGTTTTTTACGACAATCGATGTATTTTAAGACATTTAAACGATTCAATATACCGAGACAACAAAAGATAACAAATTGTTCGCTTTTTATCTTAACGATGCATGGTTGTTTTCTAGAATAAACCTTTTGCAATTCAATTTTACACCTTCATAATTAAAACTGTAATAAAACCAAGGAGGAAATATTGACGGCGTTAACTCCCAAGATCCGATTGTTAATTCTCCACTGTAGCTGATCACGTTTCCTTGTGGAGTAGTTGCGAGAATTTGGTGTTAGACCAAGATGAAAACTTTTACCGGATAAGTTTGATTATTCTCACATCCTGTTTGCTGGATAATGTACGGATATTATGGGGAAAGTTACATGTTAATCACTTTTGGGGGTTAAAAGGTTAAAACGAGTCGTTTCTCAGTGTGGAGTTCATCGTAGTACTGTTGATGGCTCAGTAGCTGAGTGATTTGTCAACAACCTCTTCAAGTCATTTTTTAAATCTCTTCAACTCAATTGGAGAGGACTTCATGGTTGCGCTCTTATAAAAGGATTTCCGAACGGAAAAACCTCGGTCCACATCTTACAGTAAGGACTGAGAAAACGAGGTTTGTAAGAGCTATGTACTACGGACGACGATATTTTCTCCTCACCTCGTATTTTGGGTCGTCTATAGCGGATCCTTCTGGATCTTCTCCACTTCCCCCGCCATAGGACACGTGCACGCCGACCTTTCCTCCTCACCGTAACTCTTCTTCCCTTGTAGTTAAAAAACAGCTTATAACGATGATTCATTAGCCGGACTTTTCGACCAATCTTCACATAGTATTTCTTCCCGATACGTTTCAAAGGCCTGAAACGTTTCGCAAGATAGATTTTAAATGTTCCGAAATTACGACGGAGAGGCCTCAAGTGTCGTTTGTATGATATATACCAACGTCGCCTTTTACGAATGACAATACGCCATCGTCGACCAACCAAAACATAACATCGGCCTCCACGATATCGCAAAGGACGCCACTTCCGCATGAACTTGATTCTTAGCCGTTTTATGATTTTGCGTATCTTTTGAATGCGTCCTCCAATTCTCACGCGATATGAACGTCTTCCTCGTCTTAACTTAAAGTATCGTTTTTTGAACAATACTTTGGGCTTCCTCAGTCCTAATAAAAGACGAAAAAGAAAGAAGAATACTCAAGAACTTAACTTAGACAGCTATCGTGTGAGGAGCCACAGGAAATACCTTTCTGTTTTCGCATAAAAAAAACTACTCACTTCTCCTTCCTCGGTAGATTCGTCCTCTCGCTGCAAAACAAAATGGAAAATTTTTCAGTAAAAGATAAACGATGATCGATCATCTGGCTGGTCAACGACCTCACTTACTAACCAATTCACTCAATCTCACGCGCCTCCTCTCCTTCCCTGCCTCTCTGCAAGTCGCTCAGTTCACAGCGGTTGTTTTATCAAGTGAAAAATAGCAACTTACGCTTTAATCTTCTTCGCATCCTCCGCATAGTCCACCTTCCATTTATTCGGAACTTGTAAAACAGTCGCCCTCCAAGTCTCTTTGGCCGTACGATGGTGCGCTTTCCGTGGAAAACAAAGAATAGAGAACGCCTGAAGCCAAAACGCACTTTACGTCGTTTGAAGGTGATGTAAAATCTTCCCCTGCGCCGTGTTACCATTCTGTACCTACGCTGAAAGCGTATCATAAATCTCCGTATAGAAATCCAGCGTCTCCTGTAGTGTACTATCCATCTCCTGCCTCGCCGGATAACTCTGCAACTTTTCTTTCCAAGGCGTAAAAACCACTGACGTCCGCGGTGAAAGGGGCGATACCATCGCCTTCGGAAGTACAGCTTCACTCTTGATGTTACTCGGCTGAGTCGGTATTTACGGCGCCCACGTCTAAACCGTATAAAATATGGACCGCGTCTTATCCTGCGCTTTCGTTTCCTGAAAAGGATTCTCCTGGAGCCTAAACAACAACAAAAAAATTACCACGAGTGTGCGTATTTATCCCGTTCTATAGTATAGTTTATACTTCGCATATGTACTTTGTATATGTATGAGAATAAAACCAACATTTGTGCAAAAAACAACTGCCATTAAGTCACAGGTAATTCAGTATTATCAGCTGAGTTGATAACGGGAATTGGCCACCGTCAAGGATTTCAAAGCTGACTTTTCGAGCGCCAGCCTTTCGTTAAAGCGAATGGAGGAATTGTGGGTTGTGTGTGTGCGTCCATATGCAGAAAATGGAGCTACGCTATAAGTTGGAATGTGGGTGAGAAAACAAGTCTAGAGTAAATTAACTGAATGAAAAGTGCTCGCTGACAACGTGGGGATTTTGAAAGAGTGTCGATTTGATAAATTATCGCTCTGGAGTTTTACAGCATCTGCCTAGATGTAAAGAAAGGCTGCAAACTACTAACTTTACGTTGCTTAGTCCCGAAACTAGGACGACTTTTGTACAACACCACGAGCTAAATTCAACATGTAAACACAATTGTGTTAATATTAAATGCACCTACAATGGTTTTAAGTTTTCTACTTTTTTCGCATGCCAAATACTTACGTCTTCCTCTTCGTCCTCTTCTGCCCCGTCTTCGCCCTGAAACCAAACACACCGAAATGTGACCAGCTATTCGCGTGAAATAAACATGAAGTCGTGCAACCAGGGATGCGATTTAATTCTCAAAACGCGTCAGTTTTAAAGATCTTTACACGTATAGATGGTTATACAGCCAAATTGTCATAATAAGCCAAAGAAAAATAAGAAAAATCTTTCAAAACAAAACTGGTTCCATGTCATTCTTTTACATTCGTTTTCATAAGGTATTACTATAAAACAGAATAATGAACATGAAAACTCATAACTCAACTTTTGAAAAGGATAGGACTTCCGTATTTTACTCAATGAAATTTTTATAACACATCTCCAATTTGATAATCCTGCAATGTTAGCCTCCATATATTAACCTTACCGTTTTTCTTTCAAGAATTTTCCAGAATACAGGTTTACTTCAACTCGGAAGGTTTTAATTCACCTCTTAAACAATTTGGTAATTACTCTTTCGTATTGCACTCAGTGGAAACGTTCTAAGGCTTCCTTTTATGTATTTGCTGATTTTTTTCCTTGTAAACACATGTATACCCCATTGAACAAGACATGGCTCATCGTTACTTTTATTAGCCAACTCACGTCTGAAGCGAATCCTCCTCGTTTTACCCTTCTTGGTGATTCTTACGCGTCTTCTACCAATCAGCCTCACCCTCACTCGCCTTCCTCGAACGCGGATGCTGCAACGAACTCTACGCCTTACACGCCCCCATCGCTTTCTTCGTCGTACGTACCACTTCTTCCTTCGCCGTCTTATCGGAATTCTTTTCTTTCTATATTTCAATCTAAGTGTTACTCTAGTAATCTTTCTCCATTTCCTTTTTCTCTTAAAGTACCACTTTCGACCGACTCTTCGCAGTCCGCACCATCTCCTTCTAATTCGCACTCGCCATCGCCTGCCGAAACGTTTTATTCTCCTGTATTTTCCTCGGACCAAAATCCTTATTCTCCGCCTGAACCTACGAATACGTTTCCGTCCAAAGAAGTATTTCCTTCTGATCCTTACACGACGTCGTTTTCCACGGAAGCGGACGTATCTCTTTCCTGTGTAAAAAAATACAATTTATGGCAAATGTTTCTTCTCCACCAATTGTTCCTTTAAGCTTCTGAGACGATTTTCGCGAAAAGGAGATACCCCAAATACTTTGAAATGTTTGCTCTTCTCGCAAGTAACTTGAATTCTATTTTTTTTTCAAGTGATGAGCGATATTATGTCGATATCAATTCTACATTTTTACAACTGCATCTCTTAGTCGTCTTGTATTTTAGATCAGGTTAATGCTCCTTCAGATAAACGCAAACTCGACTTAAGTAAAATCACAGAATAACCTTGAAGAAAATGGCACAACGTTAGTAAATCACCGTGAGCAAAATTTAACATGAAAACACAATTGTGTTAATTGTTAAAGCACCTACAATGATTTGTAGTTTTCTGCTTTTATTTCGGACGCCAAATACTTACGTCTTCCTCTCCGTCCTCTTCTGCCGCGCCTTCGCCCTGAAACCAAACACACATAAATGTTATCAGCTATTCATGCGAAACTAACATGAAGTCGTGCAGCCAGGGAAGCGATTTAATTCTCAAAACGCGTCAGTTTTCAAGACCTTCACACGTATAGATGGGTATACGGCCAAATCGTTTTAATAAGCCACAAGAAGATCAAGAAACATCTTTAAAAAAAAACTGGTTCCATGTCATTCTTTTACATTCGTTTTTAAGAGGTATTACTTTAGAACAGAATAATGAACATGAAAACTCATAACTCAACTTTTGAAGAGGATAGGACTTCCCTATTTTACTCAATGAAATTTTTTGACACATCTCCTATTTGACAATCCTGTAATGTTGGCCTCCATAGATTGACCTTAACGTTTCTTTTTTAGAATTTTCCAGAATACAAGTATACTTCAACTCAAAAGGTTTTAATCCACCTCTCAAACAATTTGGTAACTACTCTTTCGTATTGCACTCAGTGGAAACGTTCTAAGGCTTTCTTTTTATGTATTTGCTGATTTTTTTTCTTGTTAAACACATGTATACCCCATTGAACAAGACATGATTCATCATTACTTTTGTTAGCCAACTCACGTCTGAAGCGAATCCTCCTCGTTCTACCATTCTTGGTGATTCTTACGCGTCTTCTACCAATCAGCCTCACCCTCACTCGCCTTCCTCGAACGCGGATGCTGCAACGAACTCTACGCCTTACACGCCTCCATCGCTTTCTTCGTCGTACGTACCACTTCTTCCTTCGCCGTCTTATCGGAATTCTTTTCTTTCTATATTTCAATCTAAGTGTTACTCTAGTAATCTTTCTCCATTTCCTTTTTCTCTTTAAGTACCACTTTCGACCGACTCTTCGCAGTCCGCACCATCTCCTTCTAATTCGCACTCGCCATCGCCTGCCGAAACGTTTTATTTTCCTGTATTTTCCTCGGACCAAAATCCTTATTTTCTTCCTGAACCTACGAATACGTTTCCGTCCAAAGAAGTATTTCCTTCTGATCCTTACACGACGTCGTTTTCCACGGAAGCGGACGTATCTCTTTCCTGTGTAAAAAAAATACAATTTATGGCAAATGTTTCCTCATTCTTCTCCTCCACCAATTGTTCTTTTAAGCTTCTGGGACGATTTTCGCGAAAAGGAGATACCCCAAATACTCGACATCACAGAATATCCTAAAAGAAAGTGGCACAGTTTTTGTACATCACCACGCTTAAAATTAAACGCGAAAACAAAATCGTTTTGATATTTAATGCACCTACAATGGTTTATAGTTTTCTGCTTTTATTTCGGACGCCAAATACTTACGTCTTCCTCTTCGTCCTCTTCTGCCGCGTCTTCGCCCTGAAACCAAATACACCAAAATGTGACCAGCTATTCATGCGAAACTAACATGAAGTCGTACAGCCTGGGAAGCGATTTAATTCTCAAAACGCGTCAGTTTTCAAGACCTTTACACGTATAGATTGGTATACAGCCAAATTTTCGTAATAAGCCACAAGAAAAACATCTATCATGAAAAACTGTTTCCATGTCATTGTTTTAGATTCGTTTTCAAGAGGTATTACCGTAAAACAGAATAATGAACACGAAAGCTCATTAATCAACTATAAGTTTTTCGGTTTTTTTTTTTGGACGCCAAATACAAAAGATTGGAACAGATCCCAGTAGAAAAAGGAACACTATTGTTAGTGTGAGTACTATGAAAATGACCTCGAAAGGACTAACATAACTCCTGCAGTAATGCCGTGATACACATTAAATAGTTTTGAGTGTTTTACTCGTTTTACGGATGCTCAATACTTGCCTCTTCCTCGTCGAACTCTCCTGCCGCGTCTTCGACCTAAAACCAAACACATCAAGATGTGGAACGCTATTTCAAGTCTATCAAAACGTTAGGAAATTCGGATGAAAAAAGATTCAGTTAGGTGTTCGTGTCCGGTGTTTTTTTACAAAACCAGGGTTATTTTTGTCGGAAGGAGTTACGAAGATGCGTATTCCGAGAGTGAATAAATTTTACAGACCGTATTCCGTAACCCCTCACGAAATGGTTCATGATAAACGAATCCACCGGTAATCTGTTCAGTTCAGTTGTCTGTCAATATTTTTTTTCTGTCTGGTTAACGATGCACGAATGAGTCCTATAAGTCAGTATATATGAAAAAAAATCAGGGAAAGTCTCCTGAGCCCCACGCTTGTCTTACTAATCTACATTACCGACTGTTACCTCTCTTCAACACGATGTGCATAGGAATACATTTTTTCTGTTTGAGCCAAAGTGTTTATTGAAAGAATAAATGCATTTAACCAACTATGATTCTATCAATAGAGAATCTCTGATTGAAGATGATCTCCTTACCACCACGACGTCGTCCTCGCCCATATTTCGGTCTTTTTGGTCTCAACCATCGCCTGCGGAACCTTATTTGATACCTTCCTCTTGTTTTTCTCACTGAAAGTTTGCGTCCCCCGTAATTCATGTAATAAAAGCGACGTCCAGTAAGTCTTATCCACTTTCTATTGAGATAAAGCCATCTCCTCTGACGGTTAAGTTTCATTGTTCTCCACTTTCGCATGAACCGTAATTGGAGCCTTCTGATAGGCACCTTCCTCTTGCCATATCTGACGTAGTAAGACCCTCTCATGAATAAAATACGGTACCAAAATCGACCGTATTTCAAAAACTGAACACCGCGTCTGCGTTTTATTATTCTCCATCCTCTCTTAAAGTAGACTCGAGATCGTTTTCCACGCCGTCGGACGCGATAGCGTCGTCCTCTGAAGCGCAGATACCAACGTCTCCTCCCTGCTCGCACACGTCGGCGTTTACCATGGAAGAAAATTCTTCGACCGCGCCACTCTAGAAATTTCACAGAAAAAAGTCGTTAAGATCAGAACATCTCCTTTACCGTTCCAACTCAAAGTGCCCACATAATCAGAATTTGTGACTTATTTACGATGAAAAATTCACATTTTGCGTTTACCATAAATTAGATAGCCCCACTTCCTTTCAAGAAATGAGAGTTAACTCTCCCCCTAGATGTCGGACCGTTTTCACCTACCCTAATTTCATATTCCAGCTTTTAACACTGTCTATGTTTGCATTAAATACTGCTAAAAACTCTCAGCCGTTAGTACCCTTCGAAACCAGTTCAGCGCTCAATTCAACTGTGCTATCGAGTCAACTGAAAACGGGTCACGTCGTGAATTCTTAATATTTTCATAAATATATTGAAAGGAGTACATAAATATAATATACTTGAAGTGGGAAATACGTTTTTTTAGAGTAAGAAGAAAGGCCACCACAGTTGTTAGAAAAAAAAAAGAGAGAGAGAGAGAGAGGAACAGCTCCAGCAAGGAGGATGTCCGTTGGGCGTATATCTTTCAGAGCCCCCTCTTTTGGAGCTAAATATCCGGAACACAGTAAATATTCACATACTCCGTCTGTATCTTCTTAATATTTTTCTTCGTCGTCTTCTTCTTCTCACTCGTCGCCTCCTTCGACGCCTTCGACGCCGTCGACGTCTTCGACGTCGCTGACGCTTTCTCCTTCTTCTTGTAACTCTTCCTGCGTGAGAATTGATGATAATTTTCAGCGGCTTCTACACAGAATAATTATGAAGTTTTCCTGCTCTAGTTTTCCTTATTTCATTTTCGCGAAATGTTGAGGTAAACTTCGCTTGTTCTTACAACCAAGTGGGTCAATAACTAATTCAGAGGTTTCAAAGAAACCGACTTATAATCCCATGAACCATCCCTCAGGCTGATCTGGTCGCATTTTTTGCTCTGCTTTCAACTTTGGGTGGCTGTCGTGCTAAATAAAAATTCGATGCTTGGAAATATGGTTATAAGAATGAAAATTCAAACTGATATTTACGAAACATTAGAAAAGTGAAGTTTCCTCTTTATCATTTACATTTTTTCCCAATATGTCATTTTTGCAAAGAAAGAGCCCAGTTTTCAATAAGTGCGCCAACTAACAGAGACCCTGTGTCATCTACTATCTAGGAACATACAAACGTCCCTTGGTATGTGAAAATCGTTAGACCTTCAACTCAAAGCAATAATCTATTAACAACCTTACGAATTTCAAAGAAAGGAAGAGGACGGAATAACAATTGAACGAGCGAAATGATGGATTCTGCAAACGATTCCTCACTAGAAAAAATGATTTTCAAAGCTGAACGAATATTCTGTTTGATTTTCAAATGCTTTCTTTGCCCAAAATTACGCGGCACGCCGAAAGACAATGACTTTACTTTTCATGTGAAAGGGTTAAGTGGACAGTGCATCAGTTTTGTAAGAAGGATTTACATCAACTGACAATTTTGTTACTTTTCATATTGAACTGATAACCCATTGTAATAAGTTTTAATTCAGATAAGTTTAAAGTGTCTCAAATGCATGAAAATAAATGGTCGGCAACTGACAAGTTACACATGAGCAATTTCAGTGGACTTTCTTAGCCATCGGCAATTTAATGGCAAAAAAAAACAAAACAAAACAAAAAAAAGGGCAAAATGCCATTTATAAAGTCACTCTTAGGAGAAAGTCATATCAAAAGGAAAAATGAACATATAACGTAACCAATGGAAATTTTTTGCTGCCTTTCTAATTTGTCGAGCCGTTCCTTCTTTGAACAATTTATCATTGGTCATTAACTTTCGTAACCATCTTACTTCTAAAGCGAATCCTCGCAGTGACCTGCAAAAATTCATACAATGGTACAATGAGGCCTAAGAATAATCCACGAAGTCAACGGAATTCGAGTCGATAATCTTGAAGCTACAATTTTTGTTTTAGTCATGAAGATTAAGCAACCTTCCTTTGTACAACAGAGTTACTCGTCAAACTAGTCAGAATTACTCGGACACCGAATACTTACGCCTTCCTCGTCGTCCTCTTCTACCTCGTCTTCGACCTAAAACCAAACACACCAAAATGTGACCAGCTATTCATAAACATTTAACAAATGCCATACAGCCGAGGAGGCGACTTAATCTCAGAACATGTCAGTTTTCAATAATTCGTCAAGTTTAGCTTATCTATAGCCAAATCATACTACGCGAAAAAAAAAAGGTATTTACGAGTTATATTTACAGTCTCTTTTAAGAGCAACCTATATCAAAAGCAAACACCATGAAAGCTTAAAGCCTAACCAACCAAGAGGAAAAGACTGTCGTATTCACTCAATGTAAACGTTTTAACACATTTTCTATTTGATGATTTTTCAATCTTAAATTCGTTCATGACTTTCCCAAAATATGGGTTTATTTCAACTCGAAAAGTTTCAGTCCACACCCTTAGTATTTAGGTAATAAGTCTTTCGAATTGTACTCAAAGGAAACCTTTTGCTGCATCTTTTATCTGGTGGGCCGTTCTTGTTCAACACATATATGATTTATCGAGCAAGTTGTAATTCATCGTTAACTTTCCTAGCCTACTTACGTCTGAAGCGAATCCTCCTTGTTCTACCATTCTTGGTGATTCTTACGCGTCTTCTACCAATCAGCCTCACCCTCACTCGCCTTCCTCGAACGCGGATGCTGCAACGAACTCTACGCCTTACACGCCTCCATCGCTTTCTTCGTCGTACGTACCACTTCTTCCTTCGCCGTCTTATCGGAATTCTTTTCTTTCTATATTTCAATCTAAGTGTTACTCTAGTAATCTTTCTCCATTTCCTTTTTCTCTTTAAGTACCACTTTCGACCGACTCTTCGCAGTCCGCACCATCTCCTTCTAATTCGCACTCGCCATCGCCTGCCGAAACGTTTTATTTTCCTGTATTTTCTTTGGACCAAAATCCTTATTTTCTTCCTGAACCTACGAATACGTTTCCGTCCAAAGAAGTATTTCCTTTTGATCTTTACACGTCGTCGTCTTCCACGGAAGCGGACGTATCTCTTTCCTGTGTAGAAAAAAAATAAAATTGTGGCAAATGTTTCCTTATTCCTCTCCTCCAACAATTGTTTCTTTGGCTTCCAGCGCCATTTTTTCGAGAAAGTTAATTAGATACCCCTAGTACTTTGAATGTTTGCTCTTCTCGCAAGTAACTTGAATTCTATTTTTTTTCTTTTTTTCTTTTTTAGCTAATGAGTGATATTATGTGGATTTAAATTCTACATTTTTACAGCTGCATTTTTAAGTTGACTTTAGTCTTGTATTTTCGATCGGTTTAATGCTCCTTCAGATAAACGCATCCTCGACCTGGGTAAAATCACAGAATACCCTAGAGGAAACTGGCACGACTTTTGTGTATCACCACGAGCAAAATTTAACATGTAAACACAATTAATTATCAACTTGTTATCAATCGTTAACTTTCGTAACCACCTTACTTCTAGAGCGAATCCTCACAGTGACCTGCAAAAATTCATACTATGGCGCAAAGAGGCCTGTGAATAATCCACGAAGTCAACGGAATTTCACTGGACGAAAAAACCGATTTGCACCGTATTTGCGCCGATAATCTTGAAGCTACAATCGTCGTTTTATAATAATAAAATTTAATCAGCCTTCCTTTTTACAACAGAGTTACTCGTCAAACTAGTCAGAATTACTCGGACGCCGAATACTTACGCCTTCCTCGTCGTCCTCTTCTACCTCGTCTTCGACCTAAAACCAAACACACCAAAATGTGAATACTCAAAGGAAACCTTTCGCTGCATCTTTTCTTCGGCGAGCCATTCTTGTTCAACATAAGCATGTTTTATTGAGCAAGTTGTAATTCATCGTTAACTTTCCTAGCCTACTTACGTCTGAAGCGAATCCTCCTTGTTCTACCATTCTTGGTGATTCTTACGCGTCTTCTACCAATCAGCCTCACCCTCACTCGCCTTCCTCGAACGCGGATGCTGCAACGAACTCTACGCCTTACACGCCTCCATCGCTTTCTTCGTCGTACGTACCACTTCTTCCTTCGCCGTCTTATCGGAATTCTTTTCTTTCTATATTTCAATCTAAGTGTTACTCTAGTAATCTTTCTCCATTTCCTTTTTCTCTTAAAGTACCACTTTCGACCGACTCTTCGCAGTCCGCACCATCTCCTTCTAATTCGCACTCGCCATCGCCTGCCGAAACGTTTTATTTTCCTGTATTTTCCTCGGACCAAAATCCTTATTTTCTTCCTGAACCTACGAATACGTTTCCGTCCAAAGAAGTATTTCCTTTTGATCTTTACACGTCGTCGTCTTCCACGGAAGCGGACGTATCTCTTTCCTGTTTAAAAAAAAGATAAAATTGTGGCAAATATGTTTCCTTATTCCTCTCCTCCGACAATTGTTTCTTTGGCTTCCAGCGCCATTTTTTCGAGAAAATTAATTAGATACCCCTAGTACTTTGAAATGTTTGCTCTTCTCGCAAGTAACTTGAATTCTATTTTTTTCTTTTTTTCTTTTTTAGCTAATGAGTGATATTATGTGGATTTAAATTCTACATTTTTACAGCTGCATTTTTAAGTTGTCTTTAGTCTTGTATTTTCGATCGGTTGAATGCTCCTTCAGATAAACGCATCCTCGACCTGGGTAAAATCACAGAATACCCTAGAGGAAATTGGCACGACTTTTGTATATCACCACGAGCAAAATTTAACATGTAAACACAATTAATTATCAACTTGTTATCAATCGTTAACTTTCGTAACCACCTTACTTCTAGAGCGAATCCTCACAGTGACCTGCAAAAATTCATACTATGGCGCAAAGAGGCCTGTGAATAATCCACGCAGTCAACGGAATTTCATTGGACGAAAAAATGGATTTGCATCATATTTGCGGCGATAATCTTGAAGCTACAATTGTCGTTTTATACTCATAAAGTTTAATCAGCCTTCCTTTGTACAACAGAGTTACTCGTCAAGCTAGTCAGAATTACTCGGACGCCGAATACTTACGCCTTCCTCGTCGTCCTCTTCTACCTCGTCTTCGACCTAAAACCAAACGCACCAAAATGTGAATACTCAAAGGAAACCTTTCGCTGCATCTTTTCTTCGGCGAGCCATTCTTGTTCAACATAAGCATGTTTTATTGAGCAAGTTGTAATTCATCGTTAACTTTCCTAGCCTACTTACGTCTGAAGCGAATCCTCCTTGTTCTACCATTCTTGGTGATTCTTACGCGTCTTCTACCAATCAGCCTCACCCTCACTCGCCTTCCTCGAACGCGGATGCTGCAACGAACTCTACGCCTTACACGCCTCCATCGCTTTCTTCGTCGTACGTACCACTTCTTCCTTCGCCGTCTTATCGGAATTCTTTTCTTTCTATATTTCAATCTAAGTGTTACTCTAGTAATCTTTCTCCATTTCCTTTTTCTCTTAAAGTACCACTTTCGACCGACTCTTCGCAGTCCGCACCATCTCCTTCTAATTCGCACTCGCCATCGCCTGCCGAAACGTTTTATTTTCCTGTATTTTCCTCGGACCAAAATCCTTATTTTCTTCCTGAACCTACGAATACGTTTCCGTCCAAAGAAGTATTTCCTTTTGATCTTTACACGTCGTCGTCTTCCACGGTAGCGGACGTATCTCTTTCCTGTATAAAACGACAAGATTATTCACTGACTCCGCTTACTACAATTCATTCAGTACACTGATTATTGCTATTCACGTGAAAGCAATAAAATCACTCTACGGATAATTAGAGACGGATATTTAGATGCCCTTGTGGTAAATACTTTTCTCTCCTCCAAAGAATTTTATTTATGTTTTTATGACTATTCTCGCGAGATTACCTAAACTAATTCCATGCTATTTCCAACCCCTCTTGCGAGTAACATTATGTCGATAGCAATCCAAAATTTTAACACTTGCACCTTTTAGCCGTTCCTAGTATTGTAATTTGGATCAGTTAAATGCTCGTTCAAATATAAACGCACACTGTGGCATAGGAAAAAAAGGAATAATGTAGTAGAAAAAGGCACCCTATTGATAAATGATGAAAATAACCTGTAGAAAGGGACAAAGCGATCCTCAAGGTGACGTTCAAATTCGAATGATCGCGCAAGGGGCTGCTCACGATCCTCGAAGTCAATGGAATTTAAGCCGATCATCTTAAGCCAAGTTATAAAAGTTCATCACCTTTTTTTTTTTATAATAGATTGCCTAGGGAGCACAATTTATCATGTTTACACGCATCCAAAAATTGTCATGCACATAAAATGGTTTTCCGTTTTTATTTTTGCTCGGTTTTGGACGCCGAATACTTACGCCTTCCTCGTCGTCCTCTTCTGCGGCGTCTTCCACCTAAAACCAAACGCATCAAAATGTGAATAGCTATTCTTAAATATTTTTAAAAGTGTCATACAGCCGCGGAAGCAACAGAAACATGTCAGTACTCAAGAGGCCTGCTTAAGATCCACCAAGTCAACGGAACTTTGGTCGATCATAATACTGTCAATTCGTTGAAGTCATGACAGTTCATTTAATTTTCTCTTGCAAAATATAATTCCTGACTTTCGTACATCACCGAGGGCAAAGTTTAAAATGTAAGTAAACTTGTGACATTTGCCAATTCACCTGAAATGTTAAAATGTTTTTTTCAGGATACTTTTCTCTTTTTTTGGACTCAAGCTACTTACGCTTCCTCGTCGTCATCTTCTGTTGCGTCTTTAGGTCTTTCTGTATGATGCGTTTTTTCGTGAAATAAAATTGTACTTAATTTGTTTCAATGGTAAAAAGCTTTATTACACGCGGTACATTTAGGAATAGAATTGAGGAGTGAACTGTGGGTTTCTTGAGATGGAAATTCGAACTTTTTGCGAACCATTTCCGCCCTTTTACTTACAGATTGGCGCATAATAATTTGTAATCAGGGAAAGCAGACAAGTTTAAGGGATCTCAAACGCTGGCAAAGTAAACGAAAGTAACTGACAATGTACAAAATAGCGATTTTATTGGACTGACTCGGCGAATGGCGAATTTAAATAGTCCTCACTAAAACCGGTATGCCCGGCTGATGATTTTCACATCAACACCTTTATAGTAGTATGGAATCGACTGGCTTTCTGCTAGCTTAAACAAAAATACATACGTCGTGGTCGTCGCCGTCCATATCTCCTAAGCTTCCGTCTACGTCTTCTTCTTCGCCTTCTTCGTCTTCTCCTCCGACGCTGTCGTCTCCTAACCCGCCTCCTCCTCCTTCTTCGCAGTCGCCTTCTTTGTCTCCTCGCTGAAAAAAGTGGAGTGCCTATGATCACTCACTAACTCAGTAGAAGCGCCAGGTTTGTGATAAAAAGCTTCACAAAGAAAGCGCTGTACTTTGTGTTTTTAAATTATGTCAAAATGAAATGTATTGCCTAATTATTCCAAAAAAGCTTGCCGGTGTAGGATATGCCACTTTTCCCCGTTGGAAAGTTCTTTTTCTATTCGTCTATTTTGAGGGTAATTTTCCACCATTTTTTACACCCCTAAGGTGGCAAAAAAATATATTGAAAACGGAAGAAGGTTCTGCTTCTTATCAGGACACGCACTCAAAAAAGGTTCGAAGTTTGACTTAGCGCGTATTTATGAAACGACAAAGGACATTGAAAGAATCAACAATACTAATGAGACAAATTTAGTTCTCACAAAATTTAGAATGAAGTCGGCAAACGGAAAGGAGAGGGTTTCTGTAAGCACACTTTGAACGTGATTCTAAAGCTTATCTTCAAAATCATAGCTTAGGTCTTTTTTACGGCGGGATTAAAAAAGAGCTAAGTTCTTATTTCATTATGTGATACATGCACACTGCAACGTCCTCGTTTCATGTCCGGTAGTAGTCACTATTCAAGTCTGATATGATAAAGGCAAACGATAAAGATGAATTTACTTACACAAGCGACGAGGTTGTCTCTTCACTATCCTTCTCCTGCGACACCAACGTCTGTGATATCGAACAGAAGCGCTTTTTCCTTTCCTCTTGACCAGAAGGTTGCGGCCGTGATAGCGTATGCGATACATTCGACGTTTAACCACTCGATTCCATTTACGACCGATCTTAACGTACAGCCGCCTCTTCAGCATCATCATGCGTGCCCAGATCCGTCTGACCTTGATCATTAACAGATTCGCCTTCATTCTTAGCCGTTGTAGGCGCCGACGGATTTTCACAAACCAGTGGCCTCGACGCCTCACGATAGGCTTCCACCCTCTTCCATACCAGATGTACCACTTTCCGCGTTTCTTATTACTTAGACGCCATCGTTTCTTGTAGTAAATTTTCACTCGACGACCGGTTCTGCGAAGTATGAATCTATGTCCACCAATTTTCGCGTACCATACTTTTCCTCCCTTTCTCAAACGTCGGTAACGTCCTTTGAAGTAGAGTCTTGGGCGACCTTATTTAGAGAAGAAGATGTGTAAGACGTGTCTATACGGCAAGTCTTAGTTCTCAAGTCAGTATGGGTTTCTGAAGCAAAGTATTGGCAAAGAATAAAATGGTGACCGCCTGGCTTCTTCAAGTTTTACTCTTTACAACTAAAAATTTCACAAGAAAGAGCCCTTCGAGTTTAAGCTTAATTTCGCAGTCGCTCCTAAAAAATCACCCGATATTCCATGTAGCTGGAAAAGGCCAAAATCTTAAAGATATGATCTTCTTTTTCATACGAACGTCTAGATAAAAAGACCCTTTTGATAATAGAAATATTTCAAAGAGGCGAATCACTAACGACGCTCCTAATATTTTGGAAAGAAAATCGGTACCCTTAACGTGGGGAAATCCAGCTTACTTTAATGATAGATTGACCAAATACTACAATTTTATATTCATTATCTACTCACAATTTTCGAGAGTTTAGAGGAAGGAATTAACGCAATTACCTTTTCAAAGGATGACCTATGAATTGCATTGCTTTCGTGTTGATCTATGCTAATTAGATAAAGTGCTATCATTTCCATTCCATAAACACCGTTTCAAAATTCCTACTGGGTCAATCGTTAACCTTAAAATTGACAATTAACACTTACGCCTTCGTCCACGATATCTCCTTAACCTGTAACGTCTACCACGTCTTCTTCGTCGTCGACGCCGTAATCTATATCTTCTTCCACGTCGCCGTCTTCCTTTTCTTCTTAGTCTGTACCTTCTACCACGTCTTCTTCGTCGTCGACGTCGTAATCCGTACTTCCTTCCACGTCGTCGTCTTCCCCGCCGTCCTCTCCTTCTTAGTCCGTACCGTCTCCTCCTCCTCACTTGCCTTCCCCTTCTTCGTCGAAGTCTTCCGCGCCCTCTTCTCCTGGTTCTTCTTTTCCTCGCTGTAGTTACAAATGATTTTGGTTACGGTATAATCGTACTGATGGAGAGTATATCCTATACAGCTAATTAAATATCCAACTAGCCTATTCCAAAATACTTTGAAAAGTATCCATGACAAAGGGACAACGCCTGAGCAGCACGACTGGCTTGAGCTCACTATTGACTTTAAACTTCGCTCATCAGTGATTCAAACTCACAGAAAACACTGCGACCTGAAATTCTTATTTTCTCATCATCACTCTAATCCCCTCTTAGACTTCTATTTGTAAATGTTGTTTCATCCATCTCGCCCCTGTTATTTCATAACGTTTGGTCGTCTCGCCTCTGTTATTTCATACCGTTTGGTAGTTTAATTCTTATTGAAGAAGTTAGAAGCCACAACGTTTCCTTGAGGTTTCTCCATATTTTCCGTCAAGCTTTTCAATGGACCCCTAGTTACTTTTGGGGCGTCTGATGGATAGATAAATAATTTTTTAATTTCGTCTCCATCTTACCTCTTCGAGCCTTTCCATAGCGACCCCCAAAGCGTACTTTGTATCCTTTACGTGTCCTCTTCACCCTTAATTTTCTACCACGATAGCGGATGGTATACCCCTTTTGTCTTATGACACGGAACCAGCGCCGCATGTACCTGATGTATAGTCTTTTCCCGCTACATTTTGCCTGTCGCCATTTTCTCATGAAATAGTACCTCGCAACCTTTGGTAAGCGGAGCAATCTTCTCCCTCTTCTTATATTCCAATAACGTCCGCGGATGTAGATGCGGTATAAAGTCTTTCCAATCTTAAGGTACGGTAATTTCCCTCTGGATATCACTACTCTATATTTTCCGCCGTACCTGATCCTCATCAACTTTCTACCTAGATGGATTCTGTACCGGATTCCTTTCACTTTGATACTTAATCGAGGTCTAGATGTACGCAAAATACGGAACCTTCCCCTGAAATTAATTTTACGTCGCCTCCAGCCTGTTAACAGAGAGAGGGAAGTACGAGCAAATGAACGTCAAAGGTCAATAAATATTTTGCAAAGGTACCACTTTCTAACTATATTCATGGAGCCGACGAAAGATACTGCAAAATGGATGATTGCCCCTTTAAAAACATATTTTTGGCTGTTGGCCACCAAAGATTTTTTTTTGGGGGGGATGAAAATAGTCGTGAAGTGTTTTGAAAAATTTTGGACAGCATCGCTCTATTCGTTTTGACACTAATATCACTGGAATGTATTCCCCTGGTTAAAAGAGAAAATTGATAAACAATCACACGCTGTAAAAATAGTTCAACAGAAAAACATAAAGCATTCTCTTTGAACCATTCTCTGTTCCACGCATTTTGTGGGGGAATATAATCAGTCACCATGTTAAATCGTATTTTGGAGTGTGATGAAAGCGTTCACTAGCAATGGAAAAGGCCACTCTCTTCTATGAATTAGAGACACTACTCTTTTTCAAAACGATGTAAATGTTGTTTACCTCCCAGTCGTCTCTTTCGTCTCATTCGTCTTCGTCTTCGTCTTCTGCGTCGCTGTTTTCGACGGGTTCGTCTCCGCCTATAACGTCGGTTACGACGTCTTCGACGTCGTCTCCTTCGCCTTCGTCGCCTTCTTTTAATCATTCGCTTGTACCAATTTGGTTTGCCTAACGAGACAAAATCAATCAACAGATGTCCGCGAAGTATCTTTCCCCTATCTTTGTAAATGGAATAATATGCATATACAAGAAAACATGGGGAAAATTACGAGACCCTATTTCAGGATGTGCTCTCAGGTAAACTCTTGAGCTTTTTTAAACTCGAAATTGGAATTTTGAGATAGTTGGAATGGCCTAAAATATACTTGGAGAGTGAGAGTGAGGTAATAGCCAACCAACTTAATATATGACCCTCCACAGGAAAACATGTGAACAGGCGAACGTACGGGCACGGTAAAATGGCATGCTAAATAACAATGAACGACACGGCTGTTTCTAATCTGTAAAAACAAAGGAGTATGTCAAGGGGAGCAATAATAAGTTTTGGAGTTAATGGTACGCAGTTTAAGTGAGCAAAATTGCACGCCCGCCAGTGAAATGGCACGCAGTTCGAGTGAGTAAAATGACACGAGAAACCGTGTCAAATGACACAAAGTGTGTCCACGTATGAATAATGTAAAAGGTCTTCGAAAACGGACAAAACCCACTCGCAATTTTAATGGAATATGAAATCAAGAGTACCGGTATATCGTTCAAATTATTCAATCTACGTTCTTTAAGATAATAAAATGGCAACAGTTAAAAATGGTGAAACAAAATTCCATGTATCAAGTGTGCATGCGTACTCCTTGCAAAAGTACCTTTCAGCTTCATTGTACTTTTGCTGCGTTGATTACTCAAACTACCTTCAAATACTCGAACCGTTGGCGACAATTCCGTTTGTTTCAAAAAATTATCTGATTGTTTATGATTAGAAGTTTGATTGATAAAAAGCTTTACTTCTTTTAGTATTCTTTCCTTTTCAACAATAAATGATAGACATGCGAAAGTACCGGTTCCAAATTGAGAACTGACGCAGTCTAAATAACGATATCATTGGCGCACCAGAAAAGATGTGATATCACAAAGACAGCAAAAAACAGTCTTGACTATCTGACGAAACGGGCAACCCTCGCTAAAGTACAGCCCCACTCGTGTCCATCTATACTTTCTTATTAGCCTGGTTTTTATTGGGAAAGAAGTCTGAGTTTAAAAAAATTATTAAGTTAAATTCAAACACAAAGGAACACACGCAACACCGAAGCCACAAATAGAACGGTAACTGTGAGAACAAAAAGTCCGAGACCGCGGTCTGAAAGTGATTATTGAACTTCTAATTTCCGAGCCCCAAGAAAATCATATAAATGTCCAGAGTGGTAGTTCACTCCTTCGGCGCTCAATTAATTCTTTGATCGGTACGAACTCAGCGAAAAATACGCGCCAAACGAAGTGCTTTCAGCTAAACCCTGTTGACAGCTGTGAGAAGGAGAATGTATCGAACACTATGGTCCAACATATTTTTTACCCGAAAAGAAACTATCAATCGCACTTAGCAAAATTTTGTTACTTACGTCTTCGCCGCGGTCGTTTGACTCTCTTTGCTCTACTCCATTTCGTTTTCACCCATATACGATATCTTCCTCCTTTTGCTTTTTTCACTGGATATCGTCTCCGTCCAGCTATGATGTAGGGTGTTCTGCGTTTTCTAATAAGTCTGAAGCGTTTTCCTATACGGATTCTCCAACGTCTTCCACGACACCTAATCACCCGCGTGACGCCCTTAAAGCGAATTCTAAATCTCCAACTCAACCACACCCATTTTTTTTTCCAGCGTATAGCGTGACGGCGGCCACGTCGCACAACACGAACCGTTCTTCGTCCTATCTTAATGTACCATCGTCTGCGCACTCTGAAAATTCGCCTCTGTCGTTTAAATACACGGATTGTTAGTCCACGCCGGTTGAAATTAGGTAATCGAGTTGTTCTTTTGTTGTATCGGATGATGTACTGTCTGCGATATTTTATTGTGCGATATTTACGTCCAAAGCGTATCCTTGATGCTCTTCTTCCTACAAATTGGAATCAATTTCGGTAAGTACATCTGTCCAAAAGCGATTTGAAAAGCTTTTGAAAGCGTATTTAAACCTTTTTATTAAAATTCTACCATTTAATTAGGTGACACAAGCTGTTTCTACAAAAATTTCGCCTAATTTATCTTAGGGAAAATTTGCTGATTCAGTTCCCTTCCGATGGAAAAAAATGACACACAAGTCCTATTTCGACCCTGGTTTGATGACAAATTTTTAAATTTGCGCGTAAATTACCTTCCAAACATTTTTATTCCTTTTTGAGACGGGATAGCACCCTATCGATTCGTAATACTTATAACCAATGTTGCTTAACCTTTTCACTTCCGTTAGTAATTCTCCTTGCTGACAGCTGTACAATTCTTAGGATTTTAGTTTTGAGAATTTGTTACTGGATCAACTGATAATCCCCAGATTGCTATTTCTCTTTATTCTCATCACTTGTCTGCTTGCAATTGTATTGATAATGTAAGGAGAAATTCTGTCTTGATCACTCACGGGAGTTAAAGGGTTAAAGCAAGTGCGATCAATATAAACTTCGATAGGATCAGAAACTCAGCTCATATTTATACTTAAATTTTCTTTTACCACTCCAAAATTAATAATGACCTAATAAAGTTCTAGTAATGATTATCCCGTAAAGTGCTAGTAACGAGATCATTCAGGCAAATTATCACCATAAATGCTCAAAAATTCTAACTGTTTCTTCGCCCTTTCTGCTTGACATTGCCTTTACCAAACCCCGGTTCCGCTGAAAAAAAAGGTTAGTGCCAAAATTTCATGCTGCATTAAACAATGTCAGCACGAACACCGCTGGGGTACAACCTAATATACTTACGTCGTCTGAGCTTCCTTCTGATTCGCCTTCGTCGCCTTCGTCGCCTTCTCCTTTTCCGTCTTCTACGTCGTCGAAGCCGCCTCCTCTTTTGTCGTCTTCGACGGATCCTGTAACGTCGCCTTCCTAAAAGAATCCATCGACACACCAGGTAAATGGCTACTTTCTTGGCTTCTAATAAGTTCCAAAATGCTCGTACGTCATCCTTGCCTCGGGCAACCTGTACCCGTAATGATTCGCCCGACAACATTTTCAAGCTGATATATGTACATCTGACCATTACAGGGCGTGGCCAAAGTTAAAATCTTTATTTATCATTCTCTCATTTTCCAAAAGATCAATCTCCTCATTGCTTTTTGGATATGAAATGGAGTTTCCGTTTCATTCAAAACTCGGGACAGAATTATGATGTCTCTGATTAGAAAATAAAGGGGAAAAAACTATCACCGCCATAATACTCAAACCTATTCTATTGGTACATAGAATAAGACAGATGCTAAGTTTTGAGCTTGGTAAAGAAATGGAGAAAGATGTTCTTCGTCTTGTCACGAGCGTGGGACAAAGAAAAAAATCTGAGTCCCCACGAGGAATCGAACCTCCGACCTTCGGATTCCCCTCTCCTATGCTTTACCAGTGAGCCACAGAGACTCTACGGTGGGCGAGGTCTATTACGAAGTTCATATGAAACGCTGCATACTGCTAGGATCTACAATGTCGATAGCGTCATGTTTGTAAATAATGTTTATGGGGGCTCAGAATTTTTTCTTGGTCCCACGCTCGTAATAAGACCAAAAACATCTTTCTCTATTCTACTGGTGAAACCTACTGAAACCTACCTCTCCGATATCGCTTCTTCCATTTCAATTTCGTTCGTTTCCACTTATTTCGATATCTCACGAAGTATTTCCTGCCTCGTTTCTTTATCGAATATCTTCGACGTCCACGCTTGATGAAATTCTGCCGACGCTTTCTCATTGGCAACCATTTTCTTCGGAACCGAATACTGTACTTTCCTCTGCGACATCGAACAAAGCGTCTGACACCCTTGAACCGTAACTTGAGGATCCACCTCAAATAGATTATCTTCCGTCTCAAAATTATATACCGTCGTCCTCCCCTTTTTTTCACTTTCACCAGTCTTCTTCCGAAACGTATATACCAGAAAGGTCCTCTATGTATGAGTGGTGCAGTTCTCTTTCCGACTCTAATGGTGAGGCGCCCACGCTGGAAACCACGGACTTGATACTTTCTTCTGCCTACCTTTACAACCCAACGTCTAATAGTACCTATTCTTCGGTATTTACCGCCAAAACGTAATTTGGGTAGTCGCAATGCTACAGTAGTTATAGAAAAAATATTTCAGGCTGTGATCGTTTTTATTATCGCTTATCACCATTTGTAATCAGATCAAGAAAGGCGGTAAATTTTTTTAATCGTTATTTTTAATATTATATTTATAAATTTCGTTATTATTATTCTTATAATCCTTCGTCATCACCGTCATCAACATTCCAACTACGCACGTGATATGATCATGGGTGATTCTCCTCATAATGTGCACAAAAGCAATTTTCCTGCATTCTAAATTACATTTTTGTGGCGTCAATCGTGGGGGAAAGGGAGTGAGCCAGTTTCCATTCTCTGTAGTAATTGTTCCTGAATCTCTCGATTTTACGTTGAATCTGATTTTACTTTTAAATTACCCTTTAATGGTTCAGAAGGGTGAAACCAAATTTGCCATTTTAACCAATTGCAGCTAAAAAAAATCTTGTTTTCCGGCGCTTAGAGCTTGCAATTTTTCATCAACTACCTTAAGAAACGTCAAATTGGTTCTTCCATTTCCAAGTAACCCTTGTTATATTAGGCTGCCGGTTTCAAACATCTGCAGTATACTATCAATGGTTTGCCTCACCTCGTCGCCGTCTTCTTCGGAGTTTTCTACGTCGCCTACTTCTTCGTCGCCGACGTCTTCTGCGACGTCTTCGCCTACGCTTCCTCAGTTTTCTTCTCCGTCGTCGTCTTCGTTGCCTTCGATATCGTCTCCTACTAACACCTGTGAGAATATATTTCAAGAAAGACTTATCGTCTATTTACCGTGTGTTCAATTCAAAAGGTGGTTAGGGGCTTTTAAAAGGCTTTCCTAAAAAGGACCGTCAAACCCGACTGAATTAACCAAACTTTGTGCATTTCACAAACAAGCGGATGATATCTGTGATTCAAATTTCTCAGTCACTGTAGGTAAAAATTGTGGATAAATCTGTTATTTAAAAGAAACGTGAGTGAATCCTGAAGTTTTCAATTCCGAAATACGAGTTTTAAGAAGCTTGGTGGGAAATGGAAATATAAATACTTATCTAAGCCCTTGCTACCGTATCTGCTTTAATGCGCAATCGTTGTGACTAGGAATTTTTCAGAACAAAGCCTTAGCACTGAGTTATGAACTCATGTCCCCCCCTACCTCTTCTCCTTGGCCCCCTTCTTCGTCTTCGCCTTCGTTGACGGCGTCTTCTTTGGCGTCTTCTCCTCCTTTTTCTCCTTCTGCGTCGTTTTCGCCTTAACCGCCGTCTGAACCTTCTTCGTCGCCGACGTAAAATTCGCCTTCTAGCACGTCGGCTCAAGACTGAAACGTAATTCGAAAGCTATTGTTCAAAGACAGGGTGCAACTAACACGAACATCATCAAACAATACGATACATACAAGTTTATTATTTTTTACAAGACGATACTCTCTAAATGATCGGCCTCAGGGAAATACTGAGATTTGCTCCTTCGAGAAGCTCAATTTTCCCCGAGACGAAGCCGAGTAAGTATCTTTTGGGTGTGTTGCGACGCTAAAGGATCCACCAGATCATCAGTTGTATTACTGAAGCTCTAATTGCTACTAAAAGATGAGTAGGACATCACAAAATTGGCAAGCGACCGTTCATCATACAGCTCTACAGCAAAAAAAAAAAAAAACCTTGTGATTGTATCAGATGTAAACTCTCAAAGCAGATAGGGCTCTTGGGTATTGACTGAGGGTAGTTTAAAAAAATTGAAATGATCAAAAACAGTGACAGTAATCACTATAAAATGGGTTAGCTAAGTATATATTGACCAGCACTGACTTGTCGAACAGAAAATAGTATTCAGTTTCCCTTGGGTATTTTATCTTTTACTTCGGCTGAGAATTAAGTCCTCAAAAATCTGGAAAATTCCAAGGTTTAATGCCCTCCATGTTGTTAACATTCAACAACCTTTAAAAATAATCACCTTTTCTACGACGAGTAATCCGTTTTATGAACCTGAATCGTTTCCGTTTATAGGTTATTTTTCTTCGCCCAATCCTCACATAACGCTTGCGTCCTTTAAAGCGGAAATATGACAAACGCCTTCGCTTTATTCCTCTCCATCTTTTCTTGACCTTACATGACCACCGTCCTCTTCGGCGTCTTACACGGTAGTATCTACGCTTGATGCGTACTGTAAGCCGGACCTTTCTAAGACGCAACCATCTTCTTCTACGTTTGTAGAGCCACTTTCCCCTTCGTTTCTTCAGGCGGCACCATCGCCTCTTAATACGTACCCTCCATCGTCGACCCTTTCGTCTAAGCCTGCACCATTTCCGTTTTATACGTAGTCTTAAGCGCCTTTTGAACCCGACAATGGGATACCTCCTGCCCTTTAGCTTGAAAACGTACTTTCGTATTGTGCGCACTACACGTCGCCGACCGTGGTATTTGAAGATAACTGCGGATGGAAAGTGGTAAGTGTTACCAATTGTACTGCGCTATCCAACGGAAAGAGATTTATCCAGTAGATAGCGTTATCTACCCTTCGAACAACAGGGGTGAGGTGATTTTTGTTGGGATTCCACGTCATATTTATATGCCACTAAGGTCACTGTCTGTAAAATATTTTGGCAAAAATGGTCAGGCTGCTGAAGCATATGTTTGTTTCAGTGCCTGCTATTGTTGTTGTTATTTTCTGCGTGCGAGTGTGTCTTTTAACTTCAAATGCTTTGTACATGAATCACGCCATAGTACTGATGTAAAATACGAGGAACCTGTAACACGCATAAGCCTCTTGGTTTCTCTACGGGTTTCCCCGCCACATGTTAAATTTTCAGTTATATAATATATATGTCTATGTTATCCCTTTTATTTATATCGATGTATCATAAATAAACAAAATAATAAAATGACATTAAACTCAATAAAACGAAAAAAAGAGGTAAATTTTAAGCAGAATCGACAGGTAGACAAATATGCTATTCGTCATTGTAACGAATGTAGGACTAGGTAAGTACGAGGAATGAAATCCTGGACCTTTGGATACTGAGGTCAAAAAGTCAAAGTTCGTCATAAAAAAAAAGTTTCAAGATAAAAATCCCAGAATTAGGGATTTTTTTGTGAAGAATGCTCCATGACATTTATTTTCACAGTATCGCCGTAAGTACGAGAGTAAATATATTTCCAAAGTTATTGATAAAAGACTTACATCGTTTTATTCGTCGTCTCCTTTTTCTTCTTCTTTTTCTTCGTCTTCTTCTTCTTCTCCGACGATTCTTTCTTCGCCTCAATCTACGTCGCCTTCTTCGCCTTCTTCGTCTCCTTCTCTTTCGCCTTTTTACCCTTTGCTGTCTTCTACTTCTTCGTCTTACCCCTCTTAGCGCTCCTAGGGAAATAAAATTAACAAACGACCTCATTCTCAATCGGTCGATTCGCATCAGAGATCAATATTTTACTGAACTGTGAAAGGTGAAGGGTGAAGCTAAGCTAGAGGTGCAGATACTTTTTTTATAATACCAATCTGCAATCCGAAGAGGTGACTTTTTCGTATAAAATATCATCTTGGGAAGAGTGTATAAACACAGTTATGACGTCACATTCCCTGTGTTCTGCTGTAGTTAAAAAGGGTAAGGGTCTAAGCTACGGTGGCCCATAGAGGACACGCTATCTACTTTTTAAATTCAATTTTATCGCGCGATAAATGGTACATTATCGGAAACTTGTTAGGTCGCACGTGATCGGCTGTCACGCTCGTCGTTTCCGTGGACGAGACGACAATGGCTGCAACAGTTGAGGAGGTATGTTTTGAGGTCAATAGTTTGTTTTATTTTCGTTAAAAGATCATTGAGCAGTACTTTGCAATACTTCTACAATACATAGCTCTGTGAATCAGTACAGTAAACCTTGATTTTGTAAACTCTTACGAGACACTTTCAGAGATGGCTGTAAGTACCTGAGAACAAATGTGGATAATCTGATCTTTCTGATTACATTGCATGTTTCTAAATTTCAAGACATCACTCCTGCATCGCCACACCCGTTAAGAAAGAACTTTCCAATTGTTGCAGCCACTGTCGTCTCGTCCACGGAAACAACGTGCGTGACAGCCGATCGCGTGCGACCTACCAAGTTTCCCATTTATCGCCCGATATTTTGATTTCATCGCGTGACAAATCTCATTTATCGTGTGATAAAATTGAATTTAAAAAGTGGATAGCATGTCCTCTACGGCCCACCGTACTAAGAAGTTCTTTGCTTTTAAAATTATTTAATTCCGTTTGTTTCAAAAGACCTTTCTACCTTCAACATACCTCGGCGAAGTGGGATACGAGAGACAACGGAACTTGGGCCACGTTTTTGAGGTCTAAACCTATATCTAAGCCAACGTTGTCTGACTCGACCCACATAACCGATCACGGCAAGACTGCCTCTGTAACTGAGCTTAATTCTGCGTGGTAACATCTGAAGCCTTTTGAAGACATACTTGTAATATCTTCCGTACCGATATGCTTCATCTTGGACGGCAACTAACACAATCGTGCTGAAATATTAACCAGGGGATTCAGTAAAAAGATTCGGTGATAAATTGCAGGTAGGATCCGCTAGGTTACGAAGCCCTCTTGAGAATCATTTGGGATTTATCACTTGGGGTATGAATTGGAAAAATAATAAAGGATGAGGAATAACTGGAAAAAAATTAAGTTAGAAGTAAAGACTAGCGGGATGGATGCAGGGATAGAGGAAATAGTTTCGGTTTCCACACGACTCACACTTGATTCTTCCTGGTATTAATTTTTGCTCATTATTTTAACAACTTCTCTTAGTTAACGATAGAAAATTTCTCGGAAATATTTGTTCCCTGCTCCAAGTGATGGCCCGAAATTGCAAACAAAAAGAAATAAAACCTTAAATCTCACGATTACCAAATAGGGTCAAGAATATCCTCAGTTAAAAAATAGATTCGTGTCACATCAGAGCACAAGCGGTTGGCAATGGAACAAAACTTGTTGAGTGCCCAGAAACTCTTTTCCTATCTCGCAGAGGTAAATACTATATATACTGTAGGAAATTCGATAACGGTAACTTAGGTTAACGCAACATACCCGCTTCTGATTCTGTAAATAAAGTTCTTGAATCTCTTTGCTTGATTACGGCTGCCATGAGTGTCAAAACTTACCCTTCGGAAAACCCGACCTGTTGGTCATAACCAGATTGCAAATTCAGTCACGTAATTTTTTTTCCCATGAAGATACACAAGCTTCATAACAGATGCAAAGGAAGCTTAACTAAAACAATATAACTGCTGTAAAGTATTTAATTACTTGGTGCTGGTTATTTACACGAAGTCTATCCAAACCATGGTTTTACGCAGTTAGGGGGCTTTCAGACTTTCTAAACAAGAGGATTGATCTGATTAAATATCTAATAAAATCATATTCAAAACTTTTAAAATGCGTCTTTGTCGACTACCTTTTCCTGCACTTGAGGCGGTTTATTAGAATTTGATTTTGCATATGATTTTTTCCATTTGTTTTGATTGTCTTCTGCTACCCAGAATACAATACATTCTACAATACAGCCGAGACCACTGGCGCCTTCATTATGACAACTCAAAACATGTCACTCAGAAGAGTATTTAGAAAAAAAGTTCACTGGCAATAGAACGTCGCCTGACATCCAAATACGCAAATTTGACAACTGAAATACAGTTACATCAGCTGGGACATATGCAAAAAAAGGAAATGACATCCTAAGTCTACTGTCTCTTACCAGTTCTACGGCTGACAAGAACAACATTAAAACCACGCCGGTGTAGAGAATAGTCTCTTCCATTTACTCTGATGTAGGCCCGCGAGCGTCCGTACAATGTGCGTCCCCTTACTTTATCAACAAAGCCTTGACTTTCCAATCTCACTTTAATGAACCCTACCAAAAAATAATCAAAGCGTAAAATAAACTGAGTAATTTTCATCATAATTACTTATAATAAGTGTGACTTCTAACCCTAATGTTGCTCAGAAAAGGTAATTTCTTCTACGACACAGAGTTCGGCGATCACACATAACAACAAAAAGAGGTAAACCTTCTAAAATTGTTCCAAATGTGAATTTCTTTTTAATAATCGAAATAAGAAAATCAATCAAAAGCAAGAAGTGCCGCTAAAGTGAGAAACGAATCAACGCTGTCGGCAATGTCTCTTCTTTTTCTTCTTCGTTTAATTCGTCGTCGTTGTCTTTTTGTCTTTTTTTTTCTGTTTTTCTTTCTTCAACTTTCCTCTTTTCATTAATGGGTAAGGGTGAGGTGGAGAGACTTGTTTCAGGGAAAAAGCTATTATTCCTGATTTTCTCCGCAACCGAGGAAGGAGGGTGGGAGGGGGAGGGTTTAGTCATTATTTTTTTTCAGGAGATGTTCATTGGAGAGAGGGTAATCAACGATAGCACTGGGATCATAAAAGTACGTACGTTGTATTCGACGACCTCTTCGTCTTCGTCTTCGTCCCCGTCGCTTTCGTTTGAGGTACCGCCTGATTCTTCTAAGCAATCTTCGCCGCCGACGTCTGATTCTGCGCAATCTCCTTCTTCTCCTCCTTACCAAAAGTTTGCGGCTATAACGTCCTGCCATAATCAAAAAGTTTCTATTAGCAAAGTCGTTTCCTTTTAATGCGGCGAGACTCGTGTTGATAGGTGCAAAAAAACAAAAAAAAAGAAAGAAAAACGGAGAATATTCGGAATCCTTTGACTTTCCTCGAACAAACAAACTACTGGAGTCAGTGCACTTTGATGATCTTTAATCGAACGACCCTTACATCAAAAATCCGATTCCTCGACGAAAGGCAGATTGTTGTAACTTTTGGTGTGAACTTGATTTCTAAACTTAAACGTTAATTAGAGTCAAACGATGCATTACAATGTTATGCATGCAAGTGTTATCAGCCTACAACTAAGCGTTTGACGGCATCCTCACGATTGGGAAAATGCGCAAAAGAAGACACATTCGATTCCGATCTCCAAAAACTTTAGTCAGAATTTCTGATGTAATTCACTTACCAGGCGAAGGATTTCATTGAAAAACTAAAGGGACCTGCGTGAACAAGAATTTGTTCTGCTGTTTCCTAAGTTTCTCGATACCTATCCCCAACCTTTCCAGCTTACTCAAATAGCCGGCAACTGAAAATTGCCTAACTCTTCCAAGAAAGTTTTAGACATCGGAAATATAGTTAACTTAGCACCAACAATTTTAACGATATTAATTACCATCAAGACGACACATTCGTAAATTGAGCTCTTTCGTATGTCCAAAAAACAACCTTTCACTTACGGGAACGTACTACTGCCAGAGGTCGAGTCCGTCTTCCTTTACGGATGAGTATAACCTTCCTCCCTCTTCTCTTGACTGTAAATCTTTTTCCTTTGAAACGGACATAGCGTATGAATCGCGTTTTTACACGCTTGTAACGCCTCCCGATGCGAGCGTACAGCTTACGTCCACGAGGTCGTATACTGCATCGCCTGCGTCCAACACGTGCCGAAAGCCTGACAGGTTTGAGTTTGAGCCAGCGATTTCGGGAACGGTAATACCAAACACTCTTTCCTCTGATGACTCTAACCCATCGTGGGCTGATGAATGTATACCAGTATCGACCTCTTCGCTTGAGTGGCCTATACCTGCCCCTGACGTAAACTGTCAAGCGAAGCAGAGGCCTAACCCTTCTCTTCCAAGTCAGCCCTAATATTGGCCTCCTTATTATCGGCTTACGGCGTCCGTGGTAAACAACGAGTGTCCTCCCTAAAAGCAAAAAGGTACGAACATTACGTTAACTTTAAGAATTGAACCCATTTGACGCATTAGAAAAATAAATCAAGGCTTCTCATTGCTATACTACAGTACATTTAAATTGTACACTTAATACTGCGTTATGTCACAGAAAATGGGAACGGCAGATAATCATATAAACTTCAGAGAAAGTTTCTCGTTTTTGAGCCATCTTAAGATCGCATCCATCGCGGCGCAAGAAAAATACATCATTCTCTCTAAAGTGAAATCATCAGGGCGCCGACTTTCCTGAAAAATGGATTGGTGACATCTTAAAAAAATTGCGACCGCCCTAAGAAAGAGTACACTCACGTTTTCGTCTCCTGCGTCGTCGTCTCTTTCTCCTTATTTTTTGTCTTCGATATCTCCGTCTTCGACGTCTTCTACGACGATTTCTTCGTCGGACTCGTCGTCGTTTCCTTCTTATTATTCTTCGGTACTTTCTTCCGGAAACTTCAGCATATCAAAAAGTCACAATTAGGGTAAGCCAAAAAAGATAAGTTGTCATGACAGATAAGCACGCACTCAGGAATGAGGCGCGCACTAAGGATTAAGTCATCATTACAAATAATTTTTTCTTCTACTTTTTCTGGTTTACCTAAAGGAATACACAAGATACGTCAGCGTTTGGAAGGACGTGGAATTTCACTGGACATTTCTGTGCTTCATTCAGATTATTAGTAAGGATTTATCAACATAACCTTGACTTTGCACGTACAATCTTAAGAACCCTACCAAAAAATATAGAAATGGAGTCAAAGAACAGCGATCCCAAGAGGTGGCTTTTTTGTATAAAATATGATGGTGGGAAGACTGTATAAGCACAGTTATGACGTCATGTTCCATGTGTTATGCTGTAATTAAAAAAGCTAAGTGTCTTAGCAGTTTTTCCCTTTCAAAATTATTTAATTCCTTTTGTTTCAAAAGACCTTTCTAACTTCAACATACCTCGGCCAAGTGGGATACGAGAGACCACGGAACTTGGGCCACGTTTTTGACGTCGACTCATATATCTAAGCCAAGATGGTCTGTGCCCACCCACATAACCGATCAAGGCAAGACTACTTCTGTAACCGAGTCTTATTCTGCGCGGGTGGATTTTAAGCCTTCTGAAGACGTACTTGTAATATCTTCCGTATCGATATGCTTCATCTTGGATAGCAACTAACACAATCGTGCTGAAATATTGACCAGAGGATTCAGTTAAAATACGGATAAGCTGGATGGATGCAGGGATAGAGGAAATAGTTTCAGATTCCACACGACTCGTACTTGATTCTTCCTGGTTTAAACTTTTTCTCATTATTTTAACCACCTCTCTTAGTTAACGATAGAAAAATTCTTGGAAATATTTGTTCCCAAAAGCACCTTGCGATCGCATCAGCATAGACAGTAAGAAACTCCTGCTCCAAGTGATGGCCCGAAATTGCAAACAAAAAGAAATAAAACTTTAAATCTCACGGTTTCCAAATAGGGTCAAGAATATCCCGAGTAGCTAAAAAATATATTCATGTCACATCAGAGCACAAGCGGTTAGCAATGGAACAAAACTTATTGAGTGTCTGGCCCAGAAACTCTTTTCCTATCTCGCAAGGTAAATACTATATTAACTATGGAAAATTCGATAACGGTAACTTAGGTTAACGCAACATACCCGCTTTTGATTCCGTAAATAAACTTCTTGAATTTCTTTGCTTGATAACGGCTGCCATGGGTGTCAAAGCTTTGCCTTCGGAAAACCCGACCTGTTGGTCATAACCAGATTGCAAATTCAGTTATGTTTTTGTTTTTTTTCCCCTATGAAGATATACAAGCTTCATAACAGGTGCAAAGGAAGCTAAACTGGTTTTACGCAGTGGGCTTCAGACTCTCTATACAAGAGGGTTGATCTAATTAAATATCTAATTAAATCATATTCAAAACGTTAATAATGCGTCCTTGTCACTTGCCTCTTCCCATGCTTGAGGCAGTTTATCAGATTTTGATTTGAGATCTCAGTTGCTCTTTATAATCTTTTCCAATTCTTTTGATTGGCTTCTACTACCCAGATGATTTGGTTTGACGACACTCAAGCGAAAAGCGCTCTATAATACAGCCGAGACCACTGGAATCTCCTGTTCAGAGTGCGTATCTCTCAGATTTTCATTTTAAGAGTTTACAGCATGTAACTCATAAGAGTATTTAGATAAAAGTGTCACTGGCGATAGAACGTCGCTCGACATCCAAATGCCCAAAGTTAACAACAGAAATACACTCACATCAGTTGGGACATATGCGAAAAAAAAAAAGAAAATGAAACCTCAAAGTCTACAGTTTTCTTACCAGTTCTACGGTTAACAAGAACAACATTAAAACCACGCCGGTGTGGGGAATAATCTCTTCCATTTACTCTGATGTAGGCCCGCGAGCGTCCGAGCAATGTGCGTCCCCTTTTTTTATCAACAAAACCTTGACTTTCTAATCTCACTCTAATGAACCCTACCAGAAAAAAAAGTAAAGCGTAAAATAAACAGAGTAATTTTCATGATTACTTTATGGGTGTGACTTCTTGCCAACGCTGAGAACCCTACCAAAGAAATGCAATGTTTGTAAATATGTTTATTTCTTCAATGTCCAGAGGTTCTGAATCACAATGATGCCATTACGTTCCCTGGCTAAGCCTAGTTCAGAGCTATTTATTTTGGGGGAACCACTTTTTTTTAAGATTCAGTGTCTCCTTTTAGACAAAATAACGAACAGCTGTGGATAAATTTCCTCAAAGATGTATGCGTTTATGAAAAATTGAGCCAGCTTAAGCCAAGTTTCCATATGAAGCACCAGGTGATCAAACTGAAAAAAAAGCTCATTTATATATTTGGATGATTGTAGAAGTTCCGGTTGCCTAGCTCTTTGGGAATTGTTCGGTCTGATTCCATCGAGTGGTGCCGATCGCTTTAGCACTAGTTAGGGTCTAACTAGAAAACTACCTACTCAAAAAATTGCGGTTGAAAAACGGAAAAAAAAATTGTAAACTCTATGAGTAATCAATACTAATTAATATCAATCAATACTTACGGCGGTAAATAATTCTGAACCTCCTTGTTTTTCCATATTTGCCGTTTCTCAGTTGTACACGGTACCCTCCTCTACCTCTCCGCACGATGACTTTCTTCTTTCGATACCTGATGTATCTCGTGACGCGACGCTTGCAACGTCTCCAGCGTCTTTTGACTCGAACAAGCCACTTCCTTCGTCGGCGTCGAACCCTGCGTCGTCGACCTCTTATACGACAGGTCAGTCTAACGCGTCTTATTTTCTTCCAACGTCTCCGCCAACGATAAAACCAGCCTTTACCGCGTTTTCGCAGCCCACACCAACGTCGCTTTATACGCACCCTCCAACGGCCACCGATGCGCTTTATCTTCCTGTATTTTCGTAACAACTTGATTCTTATTTTACGTAAAAATCGTCGAATGATCTTCTTCTTTCGGCCCAAGCGAACAACATATCTCCTTCTTCTCCTTACCACACAGCGCCGTCCATGGTATCTGATAACTCTCCTTGCTAAAATTAGAAAACTAATTTTTTAATGATGATACTAAGAATCCAAGAAACAAAGTAAATTCTCTATTACTAGAAAACTGGATGCTATTAAAAAGTGGAATAGCAAGATTCTATTGATTTTCGTAAAGTATGCGTATGATTAAGTATGAGTAGTATAATAAAGTATGATTAAGGTTATTTGTGCTTCTTTAATCAAAGCGTTACTTTCGCAAATGAAGACACATTTAGGAGATTTAACAATCACAACATCAAATTTTAATAAGCATATTACCTGATCCCCTAGGCCTTTGTCTTCCACCTATGACGAGAACAGAGAAAAGTTAGATGCTAACTTTCAGTGAAGACCACATAAAAATCAACATTTAAATGAGGCACTAAGAAAAATTTAGTTTCTTATTTAGTTTCTATTTTATGTACCCCTTGTTCTGATGCGAATCCTTGCGTAACTTGGGCCTCGTCTTTGAGGTCGACTCATATATCTAAGCCAGGATGGTCTACGCCGACCCACATAACCGATCAAGGCAAGACTACTTCTGTAACTGAGTCTTATTCTGCGTGTGTTGATGTGAAGCCTTCCGAAGACGTACTTGTAATATCTTCCAAACCGATATGCTTCATCTTGGATGGCGATTAAAACAATCCTCCTGTAATCATTTAAAGAGGCCATCATTGTATTATGGGATACTTTTTTTAAGCTCGCAACATTACCATTATTGATAGCGGGGGGAGGGGGGGAGTTGAATACGTAGAGAAAGTATAAGAGGGGGTAGAGGGGGTATGCTGCCGTAAAAACCAAACCCTGTTTATGACAAAAAAGCTGTTTGAGATCGTGGTGTCTAATTCAAACCCGTCTTACCCCGTACAGTATAATCAGACACAATATTTAAAATCATAATTTAAAATGTTACTGCAAATATGGACGCATGTAAAGCCCTTACAACAAGACTAAAACACCAGTTACTCCGTTCTATTGCAAGCCGCGGCGATGCAACATTAAAGAACATAAATTATGAAAGTAGGAAAATTAATTTCACAATCGTTCTTTTCTCACGGTCAGGCTTTTTACAATATTGACAACGGTCCGCAATTTTTTTCCTCGCCATTCGCGGCTAAGCAAACCAGCAAAAAAACTGAATAAGTTATTTACCGGTCTATCCGTATGAAAAACCTGTACCCTTGACCTTGAGCAAATTTGTGCCTCCATGTATAACAATATAAGGACAGAGGTTAAAATGAACTTACCCACGCCTGATTCTGTAAATAAAGCTCTTGAATCTCCTTGCTGCTTTCCTGCTGCCATGAGTGTCAAAAGATCGCCTTGCCTCGATACGTCCTTTAGAATATAATGACAAAATTATCAATAATGTATGAATTCCGCAATTGATTTTTTCTAAGCCCAGATTAAGGCGCTTTGTATCTTTACTTTCAGGAAAACGCTTGGTACCTCTGTGGAAACTGAGTAGCTGCCTTCTCGGGTCCGAAAAACATCGGAAGATTGGGGAGAACGGAAAATTTCTCTATGTGACGGTGGTTGATACACGAGATTAAGGCCCCGTCCATACGTATCCGGATAAATTTGAAAACGGATAAATATCTATACGGTTACGGGTTCCGTCCACACGTAAACGGTGTTTTCACACACCGGAAACGGATAAATTTGAAAACGCTCTCCAGAGTGAATAAATTTGAAAACACTGACTAAGCGTCTCCGTGTGGACGCCTTATCCGGATAAATTTGAAAACGATTTGAAAACGATGACGTAACAATTAAAACCTAGTCCAACGCGTGCTCTCGGCCGATCGACCATTAATGAAAACATGGCGAATAAACAAGCTCTAGTTTCGGTACTAATGAGCTGAAAGTGCACTGTTTTCCTTGTAGTGATTTTGCGACTCGTTTGTAACCTAAGACCGAGTTCGACATCGATGCGCGTGCGTGGCGGCCATGCTGTCACGGATTTCTGGCCATGCGAACACTGTTGATAAGTTTGAGAGGCCCAAGAGCACAGCCAAGAGAGTTCAGGCTCAGGATACGCGAGACTGCGGGCACATGTTTTGCTCTAAAGAGCATGCTTAGTAGGCGACGTCATCGTTTTCAATTCGTTTTTGCGTTTACGTGTGGACACAAAAACGATTCACAAACGGCAACGTGTGGACGCGGATAAATTTGAAAACGGATAAATATTTATCCGTTTTCAAATTTATCCGGATACGTGTGAACGGGGCCTAAAGAGCCGTCATCCTATCCACTATTATCGAAATTAGATTTGACAACTCTGCCCATTGTTTATTTGTTATCCTTAATTATGCTCCTAAATATAACGCCTGTACTGCAAACTATTTCTGTTTAGCGATCACTTCTATTATGGCATTTTCCCGTGCGACTATCAATTGTAGCAATGGATTACTACAGATGTAAGTATGAATTAGGGGGCGTTGATAAAGGTATTACATATCATTTACCGTTCGGCCCGACGTTACTCAATCAATAAGAAAGCTCAAAGCTCGGGGGACCACACTGGAATGTTAAGCCCGGCTCACGCCATTTCAAACGGCGCTCACACTTGGATTTTGAAGTGAAATGCGCGCGGGGCCATGGCGGTTAAAATAAATGCAGTTTTTGGCCAACTTTGGTTTTTTTTCGCTAAAGCTACTTGTTGCTAAGCACTGCCCACAGTATGGCCCTTCGCGCCCACATGCCGTAAATGAAAAGTAAAGAGAAATTAACCTTCCAATCTGTAACGTGGACGATGTACATCATAACTATCACTATTGGACTTAAAGTATTCTTCATATTTGTAAAAATACACGTCCTCACCAGTTTTGTAGTTGACAACAACGACATTAAAACCACGCCTGTGTAGAGAGTAATCTCTTCCATTGACTCTGATGTAGGCCCGCGAGCGTCCGTACAATGTGCGTCCCCTTTTTTTATCAACAAAGCCTTGACTTTCAACAGAAAAAGATAATCTTCCTATAAAATAAAACGAAAAAGGCCTCAATTATACATTTTTTAAAATATCACGCTTTTCTAACATCCTTATAGTTAGCGAATCTTGTCCGCAGCTGGAAAGATAGATAGCCCTTTAAAATCGGAATAGCTTTTTTACTAAAAGAAGATTTTCCTATAGATTCACTCCTCTCTTAATGGAATTAAGTGCTCTTGATGAAGAAATTTATGACATAGCAAAACCGATGAGAATTTTATTCCTTTGAGCAAGATGGTGTTTTTGCGAATGAGAGGATATTTTCGGGGCTTTGCCGGCCAGAACAACATCAAATGAAAAAGGCAATTAAGATGATTTGTGCTTGTGTAATCAAAACGTTATTTTCGCAAATAAAGACACATTTAGGAGATTTAACAATCACAACATCAAATTTTAATAAACATACTTCCTGATCTCCTAGGTCTTTGTCTTCCACCTATGATGAGAACAGAGAAAAGTTAGATGCTAACTTTCAGTGAAGACCACATAAAAATCAACATTTAAATGAGGCAATAAAAAAAATTTAGTTTCTTATTTAGTTTCTATTTTATGTACCCCTTGTTTTGATGCGAATCCTTGCGTAACTTGGGCCTCGTCTTTGAGGTCGACTCATATATTTAAGCCAGGATGGTCTACGCCGACCCACATAACCGATCAAGGCAAGACTACTTCTGTAACTGAGTCTTATTCCGCGTGTGTTGATGCGAAGCCTTCTGAAGACGTACTTGTAATATCTTCCAAACCGATATGCTTCATCTTGGATGGCGATTAAAACAATCCTCCTGTAATCATTGAGAGGCCATCATTGTATTATGGGATACTTTTTTTAGCTCGCAACTTTACCATTATTGATAGCAGGGGGAGGGGGGGGGGAGTTGAATACGTAGAGAAAGTATAAGAGGGGGTAGAGGGGGTATGCTGCCGTAAAAACCAAACCCTGTTTATGACAAAAAAGCTGTTTGAGATCGTGGTATCTAATTCAAACCCGTCTTACCCCGTACAGTATAATCAGACACAATTTTTAAAATCATAATTTTAAAATGTTATTGCAAATATGGACGCATGTAAAGCCCTTACAACAAGACAAAAACACCAGTTACTCCGTTCTATTGCAAGCCGCGGCGATGCAGCATTATAGAACATAACTTATGAAAGCATGAAAATTTATTTCACAATCGTTCTTTTTTCACGGTCAGGCTTTTACAATATTGACAACGGTTCGCAACTGTTTTCCTCGCCATTCGCGGCTAAGCAAACCAGCAAAAAAAACTGAATAAGTTTTTTACCGGTCTATCCGTATGAAAAACCTGTGCCCTTGACCTTGAGCAAATTTGTGCCTCCATGTATAACAATATAAGGACAGAGGTTAAAATGAACTTACCCACGCCTGATTCTGTAAATAAAGCTCTTGAATCTCCTTGCTGCTTTCCTGCTGCCATGAGTGTCAAAAGATCGCCTTGCCTCGATACGTCCTTTGCAATATAATGATAAAATTATCAGTAATGCATGAGTTCCGCAATTGGTTTTTTCTAAGCCCAGATTAAGGCGCTTTGTATCTTTATTTTCAGGAAAACGCTTGGTAGCTCTGTGGAAACTGAGTAGCTGCCTTCTCGGATCCTCAAAACATTGGAAGATTGGGGAGAACTGGAAATTTCTCTAGGTGACGGAGGTTGATACACGAGAATAAAGAGCCGTCATCCTATCCACTATTATCGAAATTAGATTTGACAACTCTGCCCATTGTTTATTTGTTATCCTTAATTATGCTCCTAAATATAACGCCTGTACTGCAAACTATTTCTGTTTAGCGATCATTTCTATTATGGCATTTTCCCGTGCGACTATCAACTGTAGCAATGAATTACTACAGATGTAAGTAAGAATTAGGGGGCGTTGATAAAGGTATTGCATATCATTTACCCGTTCGGCCCGACGTTACTCAATCAATAAGAATTCTTTCTGCTCGAAGCTCAAAGCTCGGGGGGCCGCACGGGAATGTTAAGCCCGGCTCACGCCATCGCAAACGGCGCTCACACTGTGATTTTGAAGTGAAATGCACGCGGGGCCATGGCGGTTAAAATATATGCAGTTTTTGGCCAACTTTGGTTTTTTTTCGCTAAAGCTACTTGTTGCTAGGCACTGCCCACAGTTTGGCCCTTCGCGCTCACATGCCATAATCATAACTATCACTATTGGACTTAAAGTATTCTTCATAATTGTAAAAATACACGTCCTCACCAGTTTTGTAGTTGATAACAACGACATTAAAACCACGCCTGTGTAGAGAGTAATCTCTTCCATTGACTCTGATGTAGGCCCGCGAGCGTCCGTACAATGTGCGTCCCCTTTTTTTATCAACAAAGCCTTGACTTTCAACAGAAATAGATAATCTTTCTGTAAAACAAAACGAAAAAGGCCTCGATTATACATTTTTGAAAATATCACGCTTTTCTAACATCCTTATAGTTAGCGAATCTTGTCCGCAGCTGGAAAGATAGATAGCTTTTTAAAATCGGAATAGCCTTTTTACTAAAAGAAAATTTTCCTATAGATTCACTCCTCTCTTAATGGAATTAAGCGCTCTTGATGAAGAAATTTATGACATAGCATAACTGATGAGAATGCTATTCCTTTGAGAAAGACGGTGTTTTCGCGAACGAGAGGATATTTCGGGGCTTTGCCAGTCAGAACAACATCAAATGAAAAAGGCAAATTTTACAAAACCTACTTCGTGGTATTCGTCTGATCGGATAGCGTCGTTTGCCTGTATTAAAGAACAAGAGATAATGAATTATATGCTAGCTTGCAACGTGCACTTACAAAACATCACTCAGGTGAGGCACATAAGCAAATTATGTGCAAGCATTCTTTGCAACCTTCAATAGCGTCACTATTTACCCCTCCCCTTCACCATAAATTCCGGTCTTTCTCAATTCAATACTTACGGCGGTAAATAGTTCTGAACCTCCTTGTTTTTCCATATTTGCCGTTTCTCAGTTGTACACGGTACCCTCCTCTACCTCTCCGCACGATGACTCTCTTCTTTCGATACCTGATGTATCTCGTGACACGACGCTTGCAACGTCTCCAGCGTCTTTTGACTCGAACAAGCCACTTCCTTCGTCGGCGTCGAACCCTGCGTCGTCGACCTCTTATACGACAAGTCAGTCTAACGCGTCTTATTTTCTTCCAACGTCTCCGCCAACGATAAAACCAGCCTTTACCGCGTTTTCGCAGCCCACACCAACGTCGCTTTATACGCACCCTCCAACGGCCACCGATGCGCTTTATCTTCCTGTATTTTCGTAACAACTTGATTCTTATTTTACTTAAAAATCGTCGAATGATCTTCTTCTTTCGGCCCAAGCGAACAACATATCTCCTTCTTCTCCTAACCACACAGCGCCGTCCATGGTATTTGATAACTCTTCGTGCTAAAATCACAAAATTAATGTTTTAATGACCTTTAAACCGTAAATACCAAAGGAGACTAAATCTCCACTGGTAGAAGAAATTTTTTAGTGTCATCTTTGAGGTATCTGAGATAAAGACGATCCGTGCCAGAGAAGAGAGGAGGTTGGCACTAGCTATGGCTGAAACCAGATGGCGAAGAACATTTTTTGTGGACAGTAGCAGTGAATCCAATATTGAAATTGTGTCTATGGTAAATATCCCTTGATGACAATGTGTGAATGCTATTTGTGTTTACATCATCCGTTAAGCAGAGGTACAAGTGTACGATAGTAAAGTTTGTTTATGGGATCTTCTCTGTATTTGCTATTTTTTTGATGACATCCAAATTAACTTTAATAAGCTAGAGTGAAATTTAAAGTTTTCAACGTTACTGGCAGAAAAACTGATACATACGTCTTCTAAATCGCCTTCCATATCCTCGTCCTTTTGAGATAAAGAGTAATCCATGTTTAATAGGTAAAATGCTTGATTAATGCAGAGGGGGAACTGATATACGTGCACTTACAGAAGTCAGATTGAAATTAATCGAGATTGAACTCTTTTCAGATGTGTATGGTGATGTTATAGAAGGTACTCCATACGAGTGGTTTTAAAATCGAACGAGCGCCCGGTGCAAGTTTGATTTGAAATCACAAGTATGATTTCAGGCCGAAATTGCACTCCATTCAGTTCAATTGCCAATTTATTACATCCATTTTGAAATCGCAAAATTCAGTAGCTAAAATACATGATTTGTTAGTCTGTACAAATTGTTAATTGATTCAGTGCTGAGCTAGTTTGCAAAAAGTTGCAAAAGTTGTTTCTCATTTTCCTCTAATGTTATTGGTGTCTTTAACCAGGCCTTGAAGTTTGAACGGTTGTTGTGTTACAGTAAAGATTTCTCATTGTCTGGGAAAAGATGCAATTTAGAGAAAAATATTTTGCGGTTCGCTAATAAATGCACCAATGATATTTCTTACTTCTCGTTTTAGGGATACGCATATACACTGCACTGGGTCCTCTCCTTTTCCGACGGCTTGCCTCTCTGATCCACCATCGGCGATGGCCTTTGTACCCTATGAGGGCGTAACTACCCCTGTAGCCAAACCTTAAGTTTCTCCCTTTTGCGCCAATTTTCTTCAAGACATTGAGGTATCGTTTTCCATACCTAAACGCTTCATCTTGAACGGAAACCGCAACGACACTCCTACAAAATTAAATTAATTAAATTAATTAAAATCAGGATAATATGGAATCAGCTCAGCTATCTGGGACCTCTTCATAATGATTCCTATGATTTACTTTATATATATGCCAGCACCTCGCACAAGACTACAAGCAGCGGGGAAGTGGGGGAGGGGGACGGGGGCAGTGGACTGTAGAAGGGCTTTACAAACATAATATTGCAATATAAATATTGATTTATTTTGTTTCGTAACAATATATGGAAGGTTTTACTTACCCATATGGGATCTTTTTGATATAGCTGTAAAAACGTTTAGCGTGGTTAACACTTCCATGAGTGTCAAAGGAAACTCTCCGCAAGGTGCGACCTAATGAAGTAAAAGCGTATATAACAAATCATCACATGGTGCTGAGTGTCAGTTCCTTTTTCATTTAATTGATAATATTCAACGAATACTTTATCAAATCAAAGAAAGTTTTCCAAAGCCTAGAGGCTGAGAGAGACTAAAACATTTGACAGATGAATTAACAGTAAGCTATTGGGTGAAGTCATGACGGCTTAGGCACTCCTATAACCCTCTACCAAACAACTTCAGTTCAATTCACAACTTTTTTCACGTAAACGCTGTAAGATAAAATTCGTCATATTTCCACAGTCAACCGTAGTTATTATCAAGAGAAAATAGAGTCGGAGCAACTCGTTATGATGCTTATTGAGTAGTTTGGCTTCTCAAGTGATTTCGACGTCTCTGTACAGGTAGTTATTTTTTCGAAGCCAATGAAAGCAAATACAAAGCTCTGATTATCACCAACAAATAAAGTAACTGCAACATACAAGGGCCGAGAAAAACAGACAACCATACAACAGTTATTAGTATACGCTATAACAGTTCACCTGTTCTCTTGCTAATAACCACAACATTAATACCACGTCGGCCGAGAGACTTTTCGACACCGTTCACCTTGATGTAAGCGCGAGAACGACCACCCAACACAGGACCACGCCCAGGACCGTACTTTCGGTCTTCGAAACCTTGACTGATAACACTCACGTAAGTAAATCCTAAAGAGAGCAATAAAAATGATCACGAGAAAAATTAATGTCATATAATGCTGACTTCGAAAATTTACGACAGTATAGCGAATACCGTAAACTAGCTCCATTGGGTCCCCGTGAGTGGGGGAGACAGGGACTTTATGTATTGGATTCAGGCTTTTAAGAGGGGAGAGGAGGTCATTAAAATCTCACTAATAAGAGCCAATGTACGAGTCCTTACTTTTCTTCTTTTTGTCCGCCGGCTTTATTGACCGCCGTGTACATTAGTTTGAAAACCCCAAAAAATCAAAACGGAGACTAATCAAGGCATTCTAATGCAAGTATAAAAGAAGAAAACAATTTCAAGAGGACGGGAGCTCATTAAACGAGATATTATTAGAGAAAACTGCTCATTAGGAAGGGGGTTCATAGGAAAGTTCGCGGTAAATACATGTCTTGATTTGAAAAAAATTATCAGCCAGACAGGTTCTCTTCGAGGTTAATGGGGTTAACCAGTTTTTAGGTGTCGAAAATTGACAAATTTGAACCATATGTCGAGTGAAAAAAAAAGTTTGCTGTAAAAATTTTTACACATAATCGCAACGGAAGAAATTGATTGTCAGTCGTAAAATTAACCGTCGGTCGCAAAGACCATCACTCCATTGACACCCTCTTTAAGGTGATGGAAAACCAAGTCTTTTGTTCGTCACAGCTACACAGGTTAACTTACCTTTATAACGTCTCCTTCTTCGTCTCCTTCTCCGCCTTCGTCTTCGGCGTCGTCGTCGACCTACAAGACGACGAGAAAGAGTTTTAGGAAAGATGTAATTTTATTTAAAAAAAAAAAATTACAAATTAATGGGATTTAGCAGTGGGCAATCCAGGAGTTGGCTCTTCTTGTCCACGGTTTCCAAGATGAATTGGAATATAGAATGTTGGTTTTTATGGAGGGAGGAAAACCGGAGGACCTGGAGAAAAACTTTCGGAACAGCGAAAAACTTAACCGACATCTGACACCAGGCCACAGTGGTGGGACGTGAGCACTTTCACCACTGCGCCATCCCTGCTCCTATTTTCTTATGAATGTGTTGCATCATATTTGGAAAAAAGGTATCTTTTATTTCCTACGAGAGAGTTTTTACGCTTCCTTCCTAAACACCAAGGAAATTTCAGTAAACAAAGGCTAACTGGGACCGTGGTTTTAATAAATAGAAATCAGGTTCTCTTTATAAATGGGTCTTTTACTTAAGACCATCAGTGATAATGCACCGATCATTTCGAAGCTTCATCTCCCCTAGGCAACCCACGGGCATTTGACTATAAACCGTTGGGGGGTTGAGGAGTTTGAACATTGTCTGAGCGGTGTAAGGAATTTCAACTGAAACTGTCAAGTCTTTTTACAGCGGAATAGACGTGTTTTATTGTTTAATAAGGGGAAGGGGGGATGTTGACACTTGGAATTGATCGACACACGACACACATGGCTGCGCCACATGTGCAACTTTTTCGTTCTTACTATATATTGAACAGACGCATGATAACACTGAACCTATTTGTTAATCTTACGTCTTCTTCTTCGCCTTTGCCGTCGTCTTCTCCTCCTGTTTCTTCGTCTCCTTCGCCTTCGTTTCCTTCGGTATCTTCTCCTTCGGTTTCTCCTGCGGTTTCGTCTCCCACCTTCACGTTTTAGAAAAACAATTTTGAATAATAAGAAGAATTCATTTAATTAAACTGAGGTGTTTGCCCAATAGCTGTGGGTTGTGTCACCAAGGAGCATCGCACAGCTTGTTATGAAGTCGAAATATTTCGATTTTCACTAAATTTGGCCGAAAGTCTTATTCACGTAATCACTTACTAGAGCGTTTTTGGTACGCCGTGGAATAGCGTGACTCAGCTGAGGAAAATAAAAGATTTCTGACCAGGAAGGTAATTAAGGCTCCAAAACAGTATGCTGGAGTTAGAAATAGTTTCGCCAAACCCGAACTTTTGAGATAACATACAGTTATGAATCTGATGTTTAATTATTCATTTGTTCCGTTATAGAAAAAAAAAACATAACATAACATTACTTTACGATGGACCGTTGAAATTGATCATAATGAGACTACTTATGCTCTAACTTCACAGGGTTACACTCACGTCTTCCTTTGTATCTTCGTCGCCGTCGGACTGGTCTTCCTGTGGAAAAAAAGCCCATGAAAGTTAAGAAACAATTCTTTTGAAGACTGCGTGCGGTTTGTAAGTTATTTTCAACTTAATTAGCAGTGCATACAGAAAATAGTTAAGAATAGTTGTATAATCAGCTGAATAGTACAACCATTTTAGATAAATAGATAGATCGACAGACAGACAGACAGACAGATAGATAGATAGATAGACAGACAGACAGATAGATAGATAGATGTATAGATAGGTAGGTAGGTAGACCAATAGACAGACAGACAGATAGATATATAGATATATAGATGTAGGTAGGTAGACCAATAGACAGACAGACAGACAGATAGATAGATAGATAGATAGATAGATAGGTAGACCAATAGACAGACAGACAGATAGATAGATAGATAGATATATAGATAAGTAGGTAGGTAGACCAATAGACAGACAGACAGATAGATAGATAGATATATAGATAGGTAGGTAGGTAGACCAATAGACAGACAGACAGACAGATAGATGGATAGATAAATAGATACATAGATAGAAAGATGATAGATAGATACATAGATATATACAAAGATAGATGTAACGATTACAAGGTGCCACTTTTGAGGATCACATAATAATTTTTTGTAAGTTACTCTATTTCTTCTAATCAAAATTTTTTGACAAACTTACGCCGATATCCACGACGCCACTTGAGCTTTCGACCGCCATACCTCGGTTGGAAACGATTTCCTTTCCTCTTGACCGTGATGGGTCTACCATGATAAGTAATGCGCCATTTGAAGTGGGAACGAATAGGTCTCCACCGCTTTCCATACAACATAAAAAACTTTCTTTTACGTCGTTTCAGGCGGCACCATCTTCGGCCAAAACGTATTCGCCAAGTAGTCGGTTTTCTTCGGAGACGGTAAAGTTTCCGACGATACCTAATGTACCAACGCATACCTTGCCGAATAATAGTGTGAAAGACACCTTTGTATTTGACGTACCACCGACCACGACGTCGTATCAATGTCGACCACCTGTTGATAACATAAATTTGATATCTGCCTGTTCGACGAACTCGGAACCAGCGCTTTCCAATTCGAACTCTCCAAAGTCTCTTCCATCGTCGCACTATACGGTAACGACCTTTGAAAAGAATTTTTTTTCGGCGCCATCCTGGATACGAAGTCAAAGAATAATGAATTCAGTATATACTAAAACAGCGGATAGCGTTAAAGGCGCGCTCTCACTGGCCACTCAAACTCCGAATGTCCTTTGCAATTCCCCTCCGCGAGCAACTCGCGCAGGATTTGCGCCCGAAAACATCGTGGTCGTTGCAAGAATAAATGAATTAAAATCAGCTCTATGTGCTTATTATCTCACTATTTTGGTGTATATCAAAACAATTATTCATCTAAGTGACGGTGGCTATCGTTTCGCGCTTTACGGCTTTCGGTGAATAGAAGTTAAGTATCATTTAGGTTTCTGCTTCGTATGTTCTTTCCTATCAACAATGTACTAACCACATACAATGTTGTCAGTCAAATGATACTAGACATTTCTGATAGAACCATGTAGGAATAAGGGGCCACATTTAATACGTTTTGACACAGGCAAAAAGAACTTGTTCTAGTGAGCGATGTGCAAGATCTAACGACCTATGTAAACAGTGATAACAGAAAACTTTTTCGCCAAAGATAGGCCTACCTCGCAACCCTCGCAAACGTCGTCTTCGTCGAGCTGTGGGAATTAATTTAAATTATGTTAATTCAGTTATAAGTTGATTGTTTAGTGCCTTGTTTACACATAAGCATATTCTTTCTAAAGATATACATCGGACGTGTCTTTTTCATTGTCATAATATAAACCTTGACAAAATAATTGCAACAGCAGGTCTACTTTGTAACTAACCTCGAATAGTTAGACAAACGTTCACTAAATTCACGTGTCGCCTCCAATCTACAGACCAAAAAGTAAGAAAGTGTTAATATCATGGCGTGGTATTTCGACCTTTTGAACGCTCAAAGTCGGTTGAGTACTGCACGTGTTTCTACGAAAATTAAGATTTATGAACTGTTTTGCAGTCTTACGCCACATATGTTTCAACATCTTAAAAATAGTTCCAATTCTTTGAGGAACTGGGGTGGGAATCAAGTGTGAGCACTCAGCTATGCCTTTGTCAGCTATGCCTGACGTCAGGTTAGAGACGAGATTTAAATATTTAACTCACGTTTACTGAAGCAGATGTGGGACAGTCTGGGCTTACGTCCAAGGCCTACAAGACATAATAATCCTCATTAGAAATGTGCTGAACACTTTTGTGGGAACCAAATTTCCGTTTCCAGAGACACCAAATAACTCACTTTAGTTTTTGAATTAAAGGTTTAATCCTCACAAAGTGAAACCTCAAATCACTAGGAAAACACAACTCAAAATCTCTGCTCTCTCAAAAAACGTCTCCGATACGTATTTTTACCAGGTACGTAACTGGAACCGAGGCTCACAATTTCAAAACGAGGTTATCAGTCACGCAACTCCAAAAAAGAAAAAACAGTCACGACACTTTTTCCAAACTATAACCCTAAAAGCACATATTTTGTAGCCATTTTGGCCCCGTTCAAAGTTTTCCAGCTTTCAAAACGCCTAAGGTGAGTTGCTTACCTCTAAGACGCAGTCTTCCAAAGCGAGTGTTTACTGTAAACCGCTTGCTAGAAGCTAAAAGAAAGTTAAATATGAAGTGTCAAGTGTAAACTTCGTCAAACAAATGAGGAGCCCTGCTGTAGGGTTCCCTTAAAAAATACTTCACCGTATCTCGAAAGGAATATAATTGACATTACTCCCTCTTAGTAACTTTTAACGCATTTCACGTTTATCTCAAACTGCCAACTATAAGCTGAGGCTTTCTTTTATTCTTACTTTTGGGATTCCCTTTTTCGTTTCTTCATTCTTCGTTTCTTCATTCTTCGTTTCTTCCTTTTTTGTACTTTTTTTAAACTTGTTTGTCTATTCATTCACCTAACAACTGTCCTCGACTTTTTCAAGTACAATGGACTGATACAAACAACATAACGAGATCCTATCTGCACAGCTTAATGAACAAGTTTAGTCACAGCATATTACTTTGTGTCATATTGTGTCAGTTACATCCAGTTACACAAACGTTAAACCATAGAAATCTCTGATAACTGACAAATGATATGAGAAATGCATAAAAAAATACCTGCATCAGCCTGGGTAGCATTGGTCACTGCATCATGCATGGGTTCTTCTGACTCTAAATATACGCATTTTAAGAAGTAAACCTGTTAGTTTAAGGTGTGGGCGAGAAAAATAATGCTGTTAAAAAAATTAATTCCAACACAGACCAACCAACTAACCGTTGTTCGGTTGTATTCCATTTTGCTCTATGATGTCCTCTGGTAAAGTCCTTTTAACTCGGACTGAATGGTGACTTTCAAAGTCAGAATCTTTTCCATCGGAAGAATGTGCAGCTGAGCGAATATCACTCCTAACAAAGACCACTCCATAACTGAAAAATAAATTGATTATCATCAGAAAAAGCTCACAGGAGAATTTTCTTTTCAGGAAAGTAAACACAAATGTTACTGTCACAGCATCGGTGCTAAAAGGCACCTCACCTTTACATTAAAAGAGGTTCAACAAGTTTGGAAATTTATCTTGAAACCTTATGAGCGATGTCAGCTCCAGAAAGCTTATCATTTTCATTTCCGCCAGTAAAAATATGAATACAAGAATTCAATTATAACCGCTTTAAGAGATTCCAGGGAGTAACCTAACCGTTCGAAAATTGCCTTAAAATGCACTTTCTTTGAAAAGAATTCCACAACCTAGTCGAAACGCACAGTCGAAACCACAGCTGCTTCTTTGGACTTGATATGTAAACATAATTATTTGAGTCAAAAATACCGTTTTGTGTAACTTCTGAGTGTTTAATCAGATCGCAAAGATATGGAAAAAAGAGGAGCAAGTCTGTGAAATGTCAATGGCAATTGTCTGGGTTTGCTGAGCAAGATTCAAACTGGAGTCTTTCTGGGTAGATTTAAAGACAAATTTCTTAATGGCGAGGTTACTCTTTACCCTTTACAACCTAACATGAGTATGCATATTTTCCATACTGTTCTCTCTACATTTCCTAAGGTGCTGACGAGGAGAATTTGGTTAAAAATCAAGAGCTTCATTAACAAGAGAGTATTTCCTTTACTGTCGTGACCTTAATGTTTGATTCAGGGGAGATATTATAAGGAGAGTTAGATGCTAGTCTCTCTGCGGATTCAAAGGGGTGAATCTCAAAATTCGGTCAGTGCTATAAATGAAAGTTTCTTTCTACATAGTTGCTATAAAAATTAAATGATTTTTTAAATACTTCGCTGCCAAAGCATTGACAGCATTTAGTACTGAATGAATTAGTAGCAAAAATTTGTGAACTCTGCGTATTCGTTGTCATAGACTCAGAACTTCCTTCTGAAAATTTATCCCCCTCTACTGTGAAAATAATCAAAAGTGGACTCATGATTTAGGTTTAGTTATTCACTTTGATGAAAAATTGTTTTTTATATGATACAAATGTCGTTTGAAGGTTTTCTCAAAGCCCTCACATACACCTTATGGAAATGGCAAAATGGCAGACAGATTGTGTTAGGCATCACGGAGCCAAGTCATATGAGAGTTAATTTATATGGAGTTTTTGGATTTCTGAGTGTGTTATCGTAGGATAGTTTCAGTGGGTGTTAATGAGGTAGAGATTAAGAACAATAATTCAATAATTTTGTGGTGAGCAGGGAAGGTTGTACTAACACATTCAAAGTAGCTACAAATTCATATTAACCTCTTTTTGACTAAAAAGGCAAACTTTCCGTGACTCGCGTTATGTAGTTCTACACCAGTTAACAAGTTTATATTTTTAAAATGGTACCAGCTGCTATTTTTATTACATTGGGATATCGTGATCATTTGTTCCGCCATTTCGTCTATTTTACGAATAAAACCTGTTTGTTAGTCACTGCCTTGATATTCGCAATATGATCATGAGCAAGATTAGTAAGTTTATGATTTGCCTTGCATCACTTTTTTTGCCATCCTCTACCTATTCTACAATTATTCACCCAAGTGGAGGTGACTTGTGTTGGATATTTACCGAGCCGCTAAGCGTCGAAGAATATATCTATCACTTTAGCCGATACTGAGGTGAATAATTGATTCAGTATGTTCCACACAGAAACCGAAAAAATTACTTTATTTCTATCAATATACCAAAAAATTGTCGAAAATTAAATTGTTATGCGCGATTTTGTCTCGTTTGCTGCTTGGAGGTGAATAGTACTTGCTGATCACTTCCCAACCAGCAAATCAGCGCGCGCTAAAAGCACTACTCACCTGTTTGGTTTATATTAAACAGCATTAATAAAATGATCAAGATTTACAAATTCTGATCACGTCAAGGTGATCTTGAGGTCGAGTTCTCTACGGGTACATGTTTAAAAGCACCTGTAGTTGACAAATCTAAGGGTAAACTATTTATGAATTCAGTTTATGTAACGCTAACACCTCGTCCAATTAAATAGTAGCATGTGTTAAAAGACAAGTTCTTGTACGTAAGCAATTCGAACCCACTGCTGTAGCTATTTGCAGTTTTTTTGTATTTAAGAATAGCGATTAATTTTAACCTTCGATAGAAGTTTTTATCACTAACATTAATTACTTGAAAATGACAATTTAAAACACCTAAATTTGTGAGTAACAGTCCGCTATAATTTTAAAAAAGGTAAATTTTGTGATAATGAAAATAACAATATGATATATATGCATATATCACAAATTTGTTAAAATATAAATGGCAAATCATTTCCCAATCATCGTATGATAATCACTTGATCTCTTAAGTGGTTTGAATGTAAGATGCTCAACGAGAAAAATTCAATCGTATCACTAGAATAGTCAAGTTTTTTTCTCTTTTTTATATATTGATGGGTTTCGTAAGCAGAAAAGTCACTAACCTGTCCCTCGGAATGGTTCAAATCACAAAAAGTTCTGTGTTTACAGCGTAAGATTAAAATCCGACCCTAAGTTGAACTTATCATAAAAGTAAAAATTAAATCTCAAAACGCTCCCCAGCATAACCGGACACCATAACCAGCAATAAACAGTATTATATCTTTCATATTAAAAATTTGGGCTCACAAAAAAAGGAAAAATGTGACACGGTCTGAGATCGACAGCCACAGAGCTGCTCCTATTAAACCTACATATCTTTTAACAGGTTAATCTAACATCACTCACACTAAATCTAGACTGAGTCATAAAATCACGAAATGAAAGCCCTTGGTAAAAGCTGATTTATCCATAAGTCACAAGAGAAAATAATTCAAGATTCATTTGTACTTACAGGAGTAGAAACAAAACCCTCATGCCGGGGTCGCCCAATTCAAGGACGATCTTCACCCATGAGGGCAATACTGACAAAAGACCAAGCTTCTCCGATCGCCAGATAAATACATTCAGACATTCCCATACATTTATTCATCATTCCACTTAACTGTTTGTTTTTTCATCGAAACGCAAAACTAAGGCAGGTATATGAAACTTTTTTACTGGTGAAAACAGTTGAGCTCTACAAATTTAACACTTTCCTTTTATTTCCGTCGAGAATTTCTAAGACGCGCCTTCGATCTGGATGATTTGAGTTGATAGCAAACTTTCACACCAACGACTCACAGATTATAAATTTCTCTTCTCTAGGTGTGAAATTGTTTGTAGAATATAATAAAATGATATAATACCTGTTTCACTTTGACAGAGGCCTTATTAATTGATAGCACAACAGTTAATTCATCCAACAAAAAATTATCATTGAACCTATTTTAACTACAGAGATATTTTAGCTTAACTTTCTCAGCGAGAAATCGCCAAAGGTATCTTTCCTAAGCCATGAAATGCAGCGACACACTATTAAAAATCGATTAAAGGACGTTTATTATAACAATCACGGAGCACATGAATATAGGTGATTTCTTAATGAGGTTAAAAGCAAAACATTTCTACTTGTGATCTTTCAAAAAATATGAACACCTGTTAGTTAGTGTTATATCTATACTATGAAAACACAAAACCATGGAAAAAAGCCAGCATTTTGATTCAAAATAAATTTCAAGTTAAAAGCGTTACAAAGTTGACTTTTATTTAAGAAAAAAAATGGGGGATTAAATACCCTTAAAAAAAACAAATACACACCATAAACAATATGAGCTGAGGTGGGAATCTCGAAACACTTCCAATAGTTACATTAACGAGAACTAGTTTGTCTTCGTTTTAGCCTCTAAATCTTGTCTTCATCAACAAGCAACAGCTTTGAATCGCATCAACAATTTGAGTGGAAATGAAAAACTGCTACGTTAAGAAAATTTTAAAGTAGGACTTTTCTTCGAACAGATATGATGCGAGAAAAGGCTTCTATTTAATGTTTTGTCTTTATCGCTTTCTGACGTCTTGTTTTTTCCAACAAATTCACGCTGACCTCTCTAACTGCTGAGCTGAGAAAATTCTACCGGTTACAAAATCGGCCAATAATAGTTTTTCACACGTTCATTCAATTGGTTTATTGTCGTCAAAAAAACTTTTTAAACTGTTTTTATTTTTCAATAGAAGTAACACCAAACCCTAGTTGGCGCTGCCTGCGAGCTTCAAATTTGTTTCATTCGCTTTTTACTTTACTTTATCAATGGTTCGACGCAATTCACTGGCTATTGTACTTTGTTACAGGAGCCGTAAGAAGGCACGAAATTCCACCCAAAGGTTACCCCGTTGGCACGTTACGAGCATTTTGGAGTAAGCCATTTTAGTTTATTGTTACAAATTATCACATTCTGATTACACTCACGCGAGACATTCAATGCGAAAAGTTTTTTTTAGGATGAGTCAGTCAGTCTTCTGGTGTATGCGTCCTGAAACTTCCATTATGCCACGCGAACCTCTTTAACGTGCCATCAGAATATTAATTTCTGACTAATTCGTTCTCATGTCACTCAAACGTCAGAAATTACCTTATTTCTTGTCAAAAGGAAGATCTAATGCATCTGGGACCAGAAATCTAAAGGACAATGCCTCTACAACCAAACCAATCAGTGCACCATTAAAATCAAACGGGTGCAAAGACTGTGTAAAGGTAGTAAGTTTCTAAAGAAACTGTGGTGCTGCGTCGGTGGGAGAGTATATATATGTTATTTGCCGGCTGGGAGGTCCGTATGGTGAAAAACTGTGACCGAGGTCTTGAAAATACTGCCCGAGGCCGTAGGCTGAGGGCAGCATTTTCAAGACCGAGGTCACAGTTTTTCACCATACGGACCGACCCTTAGCCGGTAAATAACATATTTATTGTTTTTAAACTTGACGAAATTCTTTCCGAAAGAACCCGAATGATTTATGGCCGTAAATACGGCAAGATCTTCCATAAACTGAACAATTTTTGAGTGGGTAAATGGTAGTTAAAATAGAGGTGATGCAAATTTAAGAAAGATGCCTCAGCGAAACATTTTCAT